CTTTCACTGGTCCACAGGCTCCACCCTATGTCTTTATTTTGCCACCCCCTATCCCCACTCCACTTCTTCTGAAACATTTATTCTGGTCTATTACTCATTTCCCGCTGCCTTCACTCCACCAGACACCTTTTCCACGTGTGGGTGGGATACATGTGTGGGATTCTCAGTTTAGTTCGGAAATTCTTAAGCAGGGTGACGGGTTAAAACAAACCACAGGAACTGACGTCAACAACAACAAATTACATTTATAGAGCGCCTTTCACGTCGGGAGGATGTGCCAAGCATCATATCGTAAGGCATTAAAATACCAATTTTGTCTCCAAAGATGGACTTTTGATTCGTCAATCCCTTGGACTCCACATTGCGCTATCTGATATTTTTTGCTGTACATAAGAAACAAGTTAATAATGTTCCCTCAACCTATTTCCTGTGCTACTTAACACGAGGAACAGATCACTTTGATGCTTTGAATTCAAAAGTGGGCAAATTATGGGTCAGTCTGAAAGAGTCCATCCAAAGTGCTCAAACTCTGATGAATTGAGATGCCTCTGGATTTGGCATCTCCCTCCCAATGGAAAGTGTGCTGCTGATGATCTGAAGTTAGAGCTTTAGGGTGGGTTTATTTTTAAGACCTTTCGCCCACCATCGTGCCAAGATCTACATCTGTTTACAAAGGCACACGTAATGAAAGGAATTAAAGATTGCACGCAAATTAAATGTCACATCTTGATCCCTTTACGATCGATTTCTTGCGTTGTCACTCACTTCTTTGGCAGAATCGGGGAGTTTCCACTCGGGAAGCATGCAGTGGCCATTTGTGTGGAAAACATGAACCCAACACTCACTGAGATTAGGGCCAGGTTACCTCATGCCCTGATTGACAATCTACCAAGTTCAGGTGTCTATTTAAAACTTTTTTGGCTCAGTTCTGCATTCGATCCTGGTCTGCGCCTGAGTGTTCCATGGTACTTGCACACACATACACACACCCTGACTCAATGATGCACAATAAAGTTTCAAGATACTTTCCATTCCACGAGGGTTCTGAAAGTGTCCTGTAAGTAGGTGTAAATTACAGTATTTCTGAAACAAGATTCCCTAATTTACTTAATGCCTTTTTAATATCTGAGGACCATCAGAGAACTCCACTCCGAAAAAAGATTGCATCAGAGGGAAGTTCCTGTGGGTCAATGAGATGGCGTCGTTCGGATGAGATGTTAAACCAAAGCTGTTCAAGTGCATGTTAAGCACTATTGGGAAAAATTAGTGCCATCGTTGTTAACATCCGCCGGCTTCTCCACCCACCCCCATTCCCCCCCATCTTCATGCTGTTTGTGGGATTTTGCTGTGCTCAAATTGTTTGCTATGTTTGCCTACAAATACTCAGTTCACTCTAGTTACAATGAATTCTGTGAAGGATTTCTAGTAGAAATTCCCTTCTCTCTTCAAATGGGATCCTTAACATGCACCTGAATAGGCCAGGCAGGAACTTTGGTTTATTGTCTTAGCAAAAGACGCACTCCTAGCACTGCAGTGGAGTGCCAGCCTAGACCTGGGACTCCACAATGTTATGACATAGGGCTAGAACCCACTGCATTGCGACTCAGAGGCGAAAGTGCTGCCAACCGAGCCAGGCGCCCACTGGTGACTGACAACTTGCAACCATTTAGGGGAAAAAAGCTGAGCTTTCGCCTGCATTTAGCTCACATGGGGAGTGCGCATCGAGGCAGGAAGCAAAGCAACTATCCAGACAAGTGAAGCATTCTTACCTTATCCATGTGGCAGCACTATTGAAACTCAGGCATATTTACATCAGACTCATTAATCTCTTCCAGGCGGCTTAGTAAACAACAAAAAATATTTGCTAACTGCAAAATATTTGCTAACTGTGAAATACTGTGAAAGCATTAAAATGTCACGCCATAATTCCAAAGTCTGTGTAAGTTTTATAGTGTCTGCAACTTCAATGCACTGTTTGTTTATAATGTGGTTCCTTCACGCAAGCTCTAGTGTTGGATATTTCCCTAATAACCTCATAACAATTGTAATAAAAAAACAAAATACAAAGATTTCATTCTACTGTTAATGAACAATGTGCCTGCAACATTCCAGGTGCTTTCACCTGCAAGTTCTGACACGAGACTTTGAATTATTATTAATAGGAAAGAGGAAAGTAACAAATTTCTTTCTTTAAAGAACTTACACTTTTATAGCCCTTTATCACGTTGAAATGTCTCCAAGCTCAAAAGTCTTCGCAAGTAACAAAGTGTGGTAACTTTATTTTTCTAACCATTTTTGGCCACACCAAATTCCCGCAAACAGCCTAGAGGTGAATGGTCAGTTTTTCTTGAGCATCGTTGTCCAGGACAATGAGAGAGTCTCAATTCTCTTTGACATATTGTCTTGGGATCTGTAAAAGGCAGGAACAGGCAGATAAACTTTGGTTTAGTATCTCATCTGAAATAAGGCAACCCCAACAATGGAGCACTGCCCCAGTACAGCACTGGAGTGTCAGCCTAGATGAGGAGCCCTAGTCTTCCATGTGGGACTTAAACCCGCAACCTTATGACCCAGAGGTGAGAGTGCCACTAACTGAGCTAAACCAGCTCTGTCTTTACAATAGCAGAGTTGCTATTATTAGTCTGCATTAAATAAATTGTTCTCAGTGACAGTCAGGTATATGCAATTGGCCTCAATGTTTTCACACAAGATCATAAGATTGGTTTGGATGATCTCTTCCACTTAGAATAGCCATCCTACCTTCCTCCAATCACACCATCAAACTGATTTTTTAATTAGTCCATCCAGCGACCTGGTCTCAGCCAAGGTGTCCTGGCAAATCAACCACCCTTCCTGGCAATCCAAGCAAGAGAGGAAGAGTAGGGCAGAGATCGCATTTCTGATAACCATCCAGTGATTGCTGATGGAAAGGATATATATGAGGAAGTCAGATTCAGACAGAATCAGACTTGGCTATCACACGAGCTTCCTCATACTTTCCAGCTTACATATAAAGAATATCAATTTGGGCAAAATGATTTGGAGGGTGGAGTGGGGTAACTCTATCATTCTATGGTTCTACTGTGCACAGAACTACAGAGCTGGGAATTGGGCTATGGTTTTATGGTTCTATAGTTCTTGCGCTTGCGCAGCTATGTCCAGCTGAGACACCTCCTTCATGAAAAGATGGGAGAAAACTGTGGTATCATTTTTAAAAAAATTAAGCTGGTGAACAAACCAGACCAGAAAGTTGCAGGTACGGACTCAGTGCTAAGTTAGCTGATCTCAGCCTGAAATGTTAAGCGTTATCCCAGCAGACACTACCCGACTCTTGCCAACCAGCCCTAATACTCGACGGAATTAGGTAAGCAGGGTGTGTCATTTCCAGGGAGAGAGAGTGCGCATTCCATTCCAGACACAGGGAAATTTTTATGTGTGATTGCCATACATATGTGGAATTCTCAGTCCTGGTTTGGATACTCTTAAGCAAACTGATGGGTTTCTGGATGTGCCAGCATCCGGCTGAATCAAACAAAAGAGAGATCCCATCTGGAAAGTGCTCAGGTGTGGATATTGGACACAAGTATGACACGCCGTGCAGTGGAATATCCTGCCAACATTCTCCATCCAGGCTTACTCAGGAATGCCCCATGGAGTCAGGTAATCAGAGAGCAAGCCGATACCTGTAAAGAAAGGGAAAGGGGTGGGAGGGGAAGGGGAAACAGTCAAATGCCTTCAAGAAAGGAGCAAGGGGAAAAACTGGAGGAGAAAACTTGGCAATAAAAGCAAAGGAATAGTGAACAAAGATCACAAAGGAAAAGCAAACTAACGTGATGCAGATGTGAAGTGATATCACATCATATAGGAATTGGCAGCGGTGTGTTGTCATGAGAATAATTGTGGAATAACACGCAGGAGCTTTACAGCTCAACGTGTGCTGAAAACAGAGACGATAATTTGGAAAGAATTTGCATTCTTATGGTGCCTGTTAACATTGAGAAATTTCTGAAGCCTTTTCACAGCAATTGCAAGAAAGTGTGGTGACTGTTTTCGTTTTGCGCATTGCAAGCTCATGCAAACAGGCAGGCGATGAATAATAATTATAAGAATGACCCATTAATCTGGAGGATTTCTGGCCAGGATATTGAGACTAGCTTCCTTATCTTTTTGAAGAGCGTCATGAGATTGCCAAACTGAAATAAGGCTAATGGGTCCTCTGCTCAGCATTTCATCCAAAAAACATCACCTCCTCAACAATGCATCACTGCACCTGACATGTCACCTTAAACTAAATAATTTTGATAATAATTTTTGACTTGATGTGGTATTGGTGAAGTCAAAGTGTCTCAAGGCTTCCAAGATGTTAAGCCTGTGCAGGTTGGCATGAATGTGGCACAAACAGCCACCCAGTGGCTGTTTGTGCCACATTTTGCTGCGTGCAAATTGACTGCCACACTTGCCTGCAGATAGGAACATAAGACCATAGGAATTGCGAGGTGAAAAAAGATCAAGGCCATCTTGTTCACCTTCTACCATCCTGGTTGTCTTATATTACAATAATGGAGATGTTGATAGTAATTAATTCTGTATGGATTAGTGTACCATCACGCTTTGGCAACCTTGGGTCCAAAGTTGCCACATGGAGTCCTGTAGCTCAATGGTTAGAGCACTTGCCTCGCAGAGACCTGGGATTGATTCCTGGCAGGGTGAAATGTTAGGCAAGTTTCCTTACTCTGCATAACTCTGTTTACCTAGCAGTAAGTAGGAATCTGGTTGTCAGTCGATTAGCAAATCATTTTTTCGGGGGTAGTAATTCCTTCAAAAAAAATAAATTGGTCATTTCAATCTATGACTGTTTGTGAGACACTACTGTGCGCAATTGGCTGCTTGTTGACATTAAAGATGTCATATTAAATGAAAGGATCTTTATTACCTATGAAAATAAATGCAGCTAAGAAATGAGTACTCCCGATTTCCAATTGTTGACTTCTTTTTTACAGGACGAAGAAAAGGTGGAGATGGAAGAGGCATTCATCTATGAGGAGGATTTTGATGTGGCAGACAATCCCGAGGAAGGGGGGACAAAGGAAAACATTCTTCGCAGGATTGCAACATATGCATCAAAATTAAAAGAAATTATTGGCAATATTATAACGACCACTGGAAAAGCAGTTGTTACCATTTTACTTGGTTTAACAGGTCTGTACCGATGTGCACTAACCACTAAACTGTGTAACCAACAATAAGGGCATCTGCTGCAATTTCATACAGCACTAATATAGCACAGTCCAGGGAACCCCGACCTCTCCAACATGTTCAACATTTAACATAAAATCTTATTAATAGGGATCCATTATGGGCCATGTGCAAATGCATGTCCATTGTGCACCATGTGTAAAGCATACATGGGCACAAGTAATTTCAAGTATTTATTCAATCATGAATATAATTGGTTGTTGTCTACATAATTAAGGATACCTGTAATTCCCTCCGTGCACATCCATTTAAACACGCGTTTACACACAACGCATGATAGATCCCTGTAGATTGAAAGAATGGAGAGCGAGTTAAGGACTGTAATTCAGTCTCAGTTGTTAGGCAATTGTACTGTTGTCGAACCGTTCAAATTTCATTCCAATCCTTGAGGACATTACTGCAATTCCCTTTGATTGGGTTGCTGCCTATAAAATGCCTTCAGGTACCAATTGCACTTTGTTAAATTAAATTGGCACAACTATATCACAAAAAACAGCTGAAAACTTGCACACTGCAGTTCAGGGTAAGTTGTGCAGCAAGAGATGATGAGAAAAGAATGAACACCTGCATAAATAGTCTTACTGATGGAATCGCAGACCATGTTCGAGCGCACAATTTTATATAGATTAATTCCTGCAATGAAGCGAATGTTCAGGGAAGCTAACTGCGATTTATATCAGTGGGAGTTTTATGCAGGATCCCAAGTGCCTTTCCAGATGGTGTCTGAATGGACATTTTTGCTTTCCGGCAAAACTGTGAAGTAACAAATGATTAATGACTGAATCAATTCGGACTCAAAAGGCTCTACCTGTGCAGGAGCCTTTTATTCTCTTCTGCATTTGTAATCTGTGTTCCCAATAGCACATTATATATAGGGTCTAATTGGTGGTGTTTCTTAACAGGATTCCTTATTAAAGAATCTCCTAATAAGGAATCTCAATCCCTTAATAAGGAATCTCATGATAAGGATTTCCCTTCTTTTAAAAAAAAATCCCTTAATAAAGTATTGGTTTGATGTGAGTAGGAATATTCATCAGTGTCTCCAGAGTTAGCGTTGTTGGCTCGATCAAAATCCTTAACAGCACAAATCCTTCATGGACAATTCAATTCACTTCCCTGTCAATGCTGTTCTTCATGTCCAGCCCTGCCCGCCTCATCCCCTATCTCCCTCCGCCCCACCTTTAAAGGCCACGTGAAGATCCTGCTTTTTGATTGCATTCTCAGTCATCTTTCCCTTTCCCCCCACCCCACCACCCCAACTTTCCTCAGCTTCCCCGAACCCCCAGATCAGTCTCCTAGTTAGCTGTGCTGAGTACTTTGAGACGTCCTTTGAAGCGCTCCGAGATGCTGCCCTGCGTGAAGGGTACTAAATAAATGTAAGTTGTTTTTGTTATCCTCCTGTAATATATACTTTCTATTCCCCACTCCCCTCCCCCTGCAGGTATAATGCTGCCATCACTGACCTCGGCAGTTTACTTCTTTGTATTTTTGGGGTTGTGTACCTGGTGGTCTTGCGGTCGACAGTTTGATCCGCTGATATTCAGCTGCTTGTGTGTATTAATGGCCATATTCAGTGCAGGACACCTGATCGGACTCTACCTTTACCAGTTACAATTTTTACAGGACCTCGTCCCTCCAGGTGACTTCTATGCAAGGTAAGAGCGCCTCAGCACAGTGATACAGCAGCTGCTGTCTTTCATGTGCCCTTAACTGCAACCTTTAAAAATTCCACCCCCCACCCCAAAAAAAACCTGTTCAAACGTGCTCACTCTACAACCTCTTCACTTCCTTTCTAGATTTTTTTCTTTTCGTTTTCTGCTTTTGCTTTGCATTTACCCACTAACACACAGTCACCACACTTGGGTTAACTTGATCAGGGCTCATACTGCATTATAATGTCATTTCCTCAAAGAGCTGATAGAGTTGGAAGTACTTTGAATTTTAAGAACTCTTCCCTTTCCTTTTATCCCAAACACTCTCAGTTTGGGACTCTGTTAGGTTCGACAGTCAATTCGCTATTTTACATTCCTAATGTGAGCTCAGATTTGCATATACAGGGTGCCCCAGCTGGACTATTCTAATCCCCTCCTCGCTGGTCTCTCCAGCTCCACCATACATAAATCCAATTAATGCAAAACACTCTGCCACCCGGATACTCACCCACACAAACTTCCGTATTCCCCCCATCACACCAGTCCTTGTCAGGCTCCTCTGCCTCCCAGTCACCGAACGGAGTGATGTCAAGATCCTCTCACTCGTTTTCAAATCTCTTCATGTCCTCGCACCTCCCTACCTATCTGACCTGCTTACCCCCCCGACCCCCACTCCACCACCTACTGCCTCCACTTGGCTGGCACCTGCCTCCTGTTCATCCTTCGTCCCCTCCGCTCCACCATCGGTGGCCGTGCCTTCAGCCACTACACCCCGAAACTCTGGAACTCTCCCTCAATTCCTCCACCTGGCCCCCTCCCTCCCCACCTTCAATTTCCGCCTAAAGACCTTTCTTTTTGATCATGCTTACGGTCACCTTCCCCCCCTCTCTCCCCTGGCTCGGGGTCAGACTCCGCCACTGTGAAGTGCTCCAGGATGTTACCCCACGTGGAGGGCGCTATATAAATGCAAGTTGTTGTTGTTCCTCGCTTCTATAATGCTTCCCTGTACATTGCTGCCTCACTTATAATGCTGGTATCCTATGGAGCTATGCTGACCAGAGCATGACACACCTGACTTCCGGCACTGATAGCGGCACTGATGTAATTTCCTGCACGCTGCACGTATACAGGAAGCAGTGCTGACTTTATTTCCCACATCTTGCGGGATACAGGAAGTGCTGACCATATACAGGAAACACTACTGCTGTGAGGAGTGACATGATGACCTGGACATTAACCATGTTTTAGCGCCTTTGTTATAACGCTGACTCTGGGCGATCAGACCCAGAAAAACGTGTTATAACAAGGTTCCTCTGCAACATGGCAGAGAAACTGAATTTCAATAGTGATGTGAGTCTCAATCTCAAAGCGATCACTGAAAGCGTTCTGATATTTGCAGCATTTCATATATCGCTCTTCCATTACTCCAGGGTTAGTCTGTTCCTCATATTTTTTCCTCCCCTCAAAACGGAGGCCCATGCAGCTGCTAAGTGCCCCATCTAATGGCCCAAATTACAACTGCTGAAACTCTCCTGATGAGAGGAGCTCCATTTGAATGGCAGGGGAGTTCAGGAGTCAAACGCTCCACTGCCAATAAAATATGTATTTACCAAAATTGCACTTGGCAGAGGAGAAATTGTTAATATTGCAGAGTGCCGCTGGGCTGAATCCTTCCTTATAGGACACAGCTGCAAAACCGTGGGTGCAAGTGCTGCTTTTGCAAGAAATGCCAGGTGAAAACAGTGTTAGTGCCAGTGTAAATAGTGATCACAGGGCTATGCCAGATAGAAAACCAGCGCTAGTGTGAATAAACATGAAAGCACATGAGATATGCTCCTATTTGGAGCAGGGTATGAATAAATTGAAAGAAGTGCTTAAACTTGCAAATTTATTTCAAAATAATGCACTAGGGTGTTTTTTTTTGATGACCATAAGTTCTCTATCTCATTCTGTCAAAAGTTCTGTAACTGGTTATTGTCTTTCCCTGGCACCAGAATTAATAGAGCAGGAATGAGAGTAACAAGGGACACCTTTCAATCTTCGTTGTCCAGGTCTTCTTTCATAACTTCTGATTCCAACCCACATGAACGAGCCTTGGAGTCTCTTTAATGTGTTTAAAGTTTCACCCTCAGTGGGGCATCTTTCACCTCGGCAGGATGTCCCAAAGTGCTTCACAGGATATATTGTATAGTGTAGTAACCATGTGTTTTGTGAGTGACCGCAACAGGCAATTTGTGCACAACTACGACCCACAAACAGCCATGAAATGAATGACCAATTTTACTCTGGGGGATTGTTGGCCATGACATGGGAGAATCTCCTATCACTTTTCAAATAGTGACAAGGGATGCTTAGAATGCACCTGAATAGGTAGACGGGGCCTGAGTTTAACATTATCTATTAACCTAGTAGCCATTATCCATCAGGATATAAAGTACAAGAAGCTCTGTATTCTTAAAGTAGCTTATTTCCTTCACTGGATTGCCCAGTTGTCTGAAATTTAATTTGAATTTACTAAACGAAGGGACTATAATTTAAAATGATTCAGATGAGATGGAGCTCACTGGCTGAGCACCCAGGAAATGTTGATAGCACAACTTCACCATTTCTCATGGAACCAAAGATTTGTCTTCGCATATTTTGTTATTATAAATGGTGCCGTGGGATCTCATGTCCTATAAGTGGGAGATTGGTGGGTAACATAGTTTGTAAAATGGGGTATTGAACTATACAGAGCTTTCAAGAGCTAGGTCACCTGGAGATGTTTCCAGATAAGATGGGAATTAAAATTAGAAAGCAGTGCTGAAGGGGATAAATGACCTTGCTGTTTCCCACAGTGAGGTCTAAAATGAGCACTGGGTTAACAGCCCATGACCTATTTGAAACCATTGAACTAACCTGCAGTGTCTAGTTACATCTTACTTTGGAATCCTACAGAATAAGCAAAGTAGCCTGTGTTCTCCATTCAAATTACATATTACATATGTCATATAAATGCATTGGACTCACATTTATAATAATAGCTTTTGCTTTTGCTTTTGCTTTTGAAACTGCAACATAGAAAAGTTTCAAAGTGTTTCACAGGTAATCGATGAGAAGTGAATTAACGGTGTATTCGATAGTGATGTTGCTGTATGTGTGGGACATCGCTGTGTGCAAATTGACTGCCAATTTGGACACAGCATCGTAATGAATAACCAATTTTATTTGGGGGATGTTGGCCAATGCTGCCGGGGATAGTCCTTTCTCTTTCCTCCCTTTTCCAATAGAGCCATTGAATCTTTAATTGCCACTTGAACCTGATGGTACACAAGAAACTGTTAGCCGGATATGAGCTTAGTTCAATCAAACCCACTATGGCACCGCTGTATAACCCAGCCTGCCCTTTTATGTATTCTGATCACCATGTTTTAATCACTGTATTTTCTTGGCAGAAGCAGCTGCCTATTTCCACACTGCAAGGTTATGCAAACAGCCATGAAGTCAATCGTCGGTTTATCTGGGGAATTTTTGGGAAAAGCCTCTCATGGTCTGAGCCTTAAGACCATTGTTTCAGAATTTAAGATGGTACAGAAATTTGGACAAGTCTTAAATTCAGTCTGAATGTGCAGGTTGAATTTTCGGCAGGACCCACCCAAAATGGACTGCAGAAAAAATTCCTCCAAATTCAGGCTGGAGTGAAGAATTTTCCAAATTAGCACAATGCTAGAACAACGATCTGAAGACCATAAGGAGGTTTTAGTGTCTTATTGCCACCTAGTGTCTCCTGTTGAAACATCGGCATGTGTAAATATTGGGCAAGGATCAGAATCAGTCTTGGGTTTTGATGACTGAATTGCCTGCCAGTACTCACTGTCTTGGCTTATAAATGAAAGACTCCTTCAGCAAGGTACTGGACAATGAACAGCATTTGTGGAGTTGTTCCTAATACGAGTTCATCCCTTCACAGAGTAGAAAAGGGGGAAAAGAAGACATGGAAGTCAGGTGTTAGTCTTTCTTGTTATTAAAGAGCCTGCTTGTGTTGGAACCAAGGATCCAGAGGGATATGTGCTGCCTCAGACCCCATTTACACAGCACGTATAGCAGTGAATCACAACAATTCGCCCCCAAATAAGCACCATAAAGATTCGGACCAAGAGCTGAAATCAATATTACGCAGCAAATAGTATTTTCATGCAACAGTGATTCACTTAATGTATCTCCAACTTCACAACTATTGATTAAAGTTTTATGTGCAATTAGCCTCAGTCAGGCAGTTAAAAACACAAGACTGTAGATCATAACCAGTGCAGTTCAAAGCCATCCTGCTTCAGTTTAGTGTGATGCATCTGTCAAGGGGACATTTTAACATAGATAAGAGTAATATAGAGGAAAGCAAATTATAGATGTATAATGAACCTCTGACATCCTCTCCTTGAAAGGGGAGGTGGAGGGGCAGAGAGGTAACTACCATAGAAACATAAAAATTTACAACACAGAAGAAACCCATTTGGCACACTGTGCTGGCTCTTTTAAAGAGTAATCCTATCAGTCCCAATAACCAGGCCTTTTTTTCCAAGCCCCTGTTGTTCATTTCTGTTTAACTATCTCTCTAGTTGCCTTTAATATGGATTCTACCTCAACCACTGCTCCCGACGGGGCATTCCATATCCTAACCACTCGGTGCGTGAAAGAAAATCTGCTAATCTCCTCAATTTGTTCGTTTACTAACTATTTTAAATTGATGCCCTCCAGTCACTGACTCACCGACTAGTGGAAACAATTTCTCCCTATTGGCTCTATCAAAACCTACCGCATCATTTTAAAGACCTCTATCAATTTACCCCTCAAACTCAGTTGTTCCAGTAGAATCTCCCTATAGTAGGATTAGGAGTTGAATTGACTCCAAGGAGTCTACAGGCTACAGTAAAGCAAAGCATTGTTGATGAGGCTTGGAGATGTGGACATGTTTTTCAACCCTGTGAATAAAACCTTTAAGTGTCAGGGTAGAGTTACTATAGTTACAAGTTACTATAAAATACACCATTTCTTTGTGTTGCTAAATTGTGCTACACCATTAAACTTCTGACACTGCACTGTTTTGTTATTTTCCCCTAAGTAAGTAATTCCAGATATCCATTATTAATGAATAATGATAAATGGCAAACAGAATTGGAATGTGTGTGTGCGTGTGTTTAACCGCGAATCATCTTTCACCATCTTTCTTCAGTTACAATTGAGCCTTTAACATTCAGCTTGACCTTTGAGTCCACCATTTAGAGTTTATCTTTAATGCCAGCCAACGACTTAGTGGAAATTAGTTTGAAAGCAATGAGCAGAATGGGATTAGATGAGATGGCTCAAGTGGAGAAAAACAGCAGCGCGGGTATGAAGGGCCAAACAGCCTATTTTTGTGACTGTAGTGCTCCAGGATTGTATAACATTCACTGGTCCTTACCTAGGCTCTTGGGTCCCTGCAGTTATTATTGCTGAGAGCCAGAATTAATTTTCCTCCTGGCTTTCCTCCCATCTAACTTCTGCAAAAGTTGCTCCTTTGTGACTAGTTACCAGTTGGCTCAGTTGAACCAAGAGATTAAAACAATAACAATATTGCTTTATTAAATCTGATGAAAATAATAAACATGTTTAATTTTAAAAAAGGAGTAGTTGAGACTGTCAATAAAGTAATAAATAAGATGCGGTGCTCACCAGGTACTCTACACTTGTGGTGTGAGATTGCTCAGAGACTCATTTCTGGTTGTGCACCTTAACCCCAGCTTCAGGAGTGCAGTCCCTTAGCAGCTCTCTGACCTCTCTGCTTCTTGTAATACTATGGCTGTTCACTTCATAGCTGTTTTTGAGACATTGCTGTGCATAAATTAGCTGCCACATTTGCCCCCGAAACATATAGGATCTTCACTTTACAGTATATCCAGTGAAGCACTTTGAAACATATTTCCAACATGAAAGGCGTTATATCAAATAAAAGAATGATTATTATTATTACTCTTTGTGCTTTTGCGGAATCACTGTTTTGTACTAAAATATGGACTATTTTGTTCTGTGATATTGGCAGTCTACTTTCCACTAAGTTGAAAAACAAATTTATAGCATTTTCCAATTGCAAAATTCACCTCCCACAAATCTCGAGACCAGTAAAGTCCAGGAAAAGGTGGCTGTTTTGTTCGCTGGCCTTTTTCCAACTCAGCAACTTGTTTGGAGGAATTTCGCAAAGCGGAAGTTATTTCCAAATATTAGCTGTGCTAATATTTGGAAATATCGTAAATTGGAGCCCTTTGTGTCTACTTGGCAGTCAGTGACTGTGATCAACAGATTTCACAAAATTGAATTATTGATTGTGTATCAGAGAGGAGTTGTGTGTGTTCCATTTGTTCAACTCCATTTTGTTACACAGTTCTTGTGACTTCTGACTGGCAAGAACTTGCCAGTCAGAAGTTTTAGGTTTCTTGATCAAACCTCTGAATGGAAGAACTACAATAGAAGAGCAGCCATGAACATGCATGTACATGTAAGATGGCAACATATTTGTCTTCAAAGTGGTTTTATTCTCCCTGTTATTAATGAAAGAGTAAGGATTGCAAACTGATGGAAGCTTGCTTGTAAACTTACTCATACTGCAGTGTTGCCCATTAAGGTTGTTGGTTCAAGCCCTACATTTAGGCTTGGAACTCCTATAGTCTAGATTAATACTCCAATGCAGTGCTGGGAGTGTGCAGCATTGTTGAAGATGTTATCCTTCAGATTAAATGTTAGACCACCTCTGCCTATTCAGGTGGATGATAAAGATCCCATGACACTATTCGAAAACAGAAGTGAGTTTCAGGGCTAACTGTCCCCCAATAAAACTGATCATTCACTTCACCCTTGTTTGTGGGACATTGCAAGTTGGCAATTGTGTTCACCTACAAAATACACATTGCTCCACTTTACAGTAACATCCCGTGAGGTGTTTTGAGATGCCCTCTCCTAACATGAAAGCCTCTATATCAAATGTAAAAATTATTATTTATAATGCAAACACAAAGTCTGTCTCTTGCTCCTTTGAATAGGTTGTTTGGTGTATCACCAGTGATTCAGACAAACTGTTCAACTACATGGAAGATCATATCCTATCCGAAAGTATCATGGCCCCAACATGTCAATCCTATCATGCTGTTGATGCTCTACTATATTTTGGCAACACTCATACGTCTTTGGCTACAAGAGCCAGTTAATGAGGTGAGCAATATTTCAAGTTAAGAGGTACTTGTGCCCATATAGTATTTATTCCGATAGCATCTTAAACCTGCCATATTTTCCATGTGCTTGGCTGTTTAATGTTACTTTGATTTTATTGCTTTGCCTCACCACTCCCATCCTATCAGTAGTTTAGTGTTTCTATGTCAGCTATAGCATAAAATGACATAGTGATGGGTTTCCATATAGTGTCAGCCTGTCTCAGTGGGTCGCACTCTTGCCTCTGAGTCAGAAGGTTGTGAGATGAAGACCCACATTGAGACTTTGAACTCACACAGTGTAAGATGATACTCCAGTACAGTGCTGGGAGTGCGCTGGATTGATCGAGGTGTCATCCTTAGGATGAGATGTTAAACTGAGATCTCATCTGATTCTTCATGTGGATGTTAAAGATCCTATGGCACTATGTAAAAAGAAAAGGGAGTTTATTCTGATGTCCTGGTCAATAATCCCCCAAATAAAATTGATCAATCAAATCCTAGCTCTTTATGAAACAATGCTATGTGCTGGGGTCTTTTGCCAACACGTAAACAATCACTAAACTCTGCATTAAAATCGCTGGCAAAGTTAGTGATCAGTTCACAAGTTTTACCCCTGTGTTTCCGTGAACATCTTCTGTCAAGTCACCAAGTTCTGTTATGTTTTGCTTTTTTAGATGATAGAGGAAGGGGATTGTGAAAGAGCAGAAGAGGAGGAGGAGAAGCAACCATTTGGAAATAGCTCAGGCTCACAGGTCACAGCGGAAATGAAACGTAGTATGTGGTCTTCAGCACACTATGCAACTGATGAGCGAAGGGTAAATGACTTTAGAACAACAACAACAAATTACATGTGTATAGCGCATTTCACATCAGGAGGACGTCCCAAGGCGCTGGAGAGTCAGGAATCTGCACCCGAGCTGGTAGTTGGAATCAGGAGAGGTGAAGGGCGGGGAGGGTAGGAGGGTGACCGAACAGGCAAAGAGGAGGGTCTTGAGATGTCGTCTTGAAGGAGGCAAGGGAGGGGGGCAAGCCAGAGGAACTGTGGGAGGGATTTCCAGAAGGTGGGAAATCTCAGAAGGCTCAAATCTCAGGTTGAAATGAACAGGCACAGTCCACCCTCCGTCTACTGTTAAGCTTTCAGTTTAGCGAAAAGCTGGGATACCAGGTAACTGGCAATTGAACGTCTCAGACGTAGCGATTGAAAATGGTGCTGGGGTGTTCATCTCCATTGCACACAGCGACTTTGGATGTGATGAATATTGATCGTGCTGCTGAATAGGCTCCATCGTGACTAAACAAAATCGAAGTGCCATCTCAAACCACCAACTAATATCTCTAATATTCATGGAGTCCTTTAGCTCAATAGTTAGAGCACTCACCTCGCAAGCGAAAAATGTGGGTTCAATTCCCGACAGGGCAAAATGTTGGGCAAGTTTTCTTACTCCACGCGCCTCTGTTTACTTAGCAGTAAGTAGGAAACCGGATCACTTTTGGCGGATCGCTTTTCCGGGGCGAATAAAGTAACATTCTGGGGTTAATAATTCCTTCAAAAACACACAGAAAAAATTGGTCACTTCAATCCACGACTGTTTGTGGGACACTGCTGTGAGCAATTGGCTGCCGCATTTCGCCTACAAAATGCACAGTCAATTCACTTTACAGTAGATTCTGTGAAGCGCTTTGAGACGTCTCGAAGACTTGATAAGGTGTTATATCAAATGCAAGGATTATTATGATTAATCCTTGGAGTCCTGTAGCTCAGTGGTTAGAGCACTCGCTTGCAAGCGAGAGACCTGGGTTCGATTTACAGCAGGGTGAAACCTTGGGCAAGTTTCCTTGCTCCACACACCTGTTAATAATCCTTCAAGTAAAAAATAATAAATTGGTCATTTCAATCCACGACTGTTTGTGGACACTGCTGTGCGCAATTGACTGTCGCATTTCGCCCACAAATATACAGTCAATTCACTTTACAGTCTATTCCGTGAAGCGCTTTCAGACGTCTAGAAGACTTGAAAAGCGCTCTATCAAATGCAAGGATTATTATTATTATTTTTAATGCCACAGTCATACGTTACCCAAAGGAAAATGTTACTGTAAAGGTTTATTCCACCGCATTTCATGCTTTACAAAAATCATGTTTTACAGATTATCCTTTTGAGGGATAATCTTATGTGTGGTGTTGACTACTAAACCAGTATCTCGTGGAGGTAGAAGTTTAGGTATTTTAAGAGTGCTACTGTTGCTGTATTTTCACCCTTTATTATTTATCTGACTTCTCAACTCTTTCCGCATTTACCTTAATACATTTACTGATTCTGTTGATCAAGCCTTGATACAAACGCCATGTGCTTTTGAGTTGGAACACTCTGCTGGTGACGATTGGGTTGTTCTTACAGAATGATGTCCACTCGCTGCTACTGTGGATCGGAAGGTTGATTTACAGGCAAATAGAGGAGCTGTCTTCTTACTTTTAACTTGGTCTCTGCTCAGTTTTGCTGTGTTTTCCTCCTTTTCTGTCTCTCCCTCCGTCTCCGGGCCTCTTTATCTCCTCTTTCTGTGTTCCTTTTTCCATGGTCTGTCTCTGCTTTGGCTTCATCTCCCTGCCCTGACTCCTTACAATTCCCAGAAGAAAGTCAGGCTTGACACAGAGTACAACATTGAACAACCTCTTCAACTACCCTCAGGCCTGTTTTACTGTGCAACTAAGCCTCTTGCCACCAAAGTAAGTTTGCAAAATGTGGGCAACATTTTATGCTAGAAAATATGTTAACCTTACTATCTCCTTCAGGTAATATTACTTAAGCATTAAGAAGAATTAACAAGCAATGGTTAATCCAATAGCAAACTGTGCCGTCCACCTCATGTTACTTGATGGTTTAATCTTGTTGTAAAGCATTGCTTGTTTAAATGGGGATATAGGGATAGATGGAGAAAGTGCGAGAGCTTCCTTTACGCACTTTCATGTGTATGTTCTGGTACTCTTGGATTGAAAGCATATTAACAACAACAACAACTTGTGCCTTCACGTCGGGACGACATCCCAAAGCACTGGACAGTTAGTTTTGGACCCAAGCTGGGGGTCAGGATTGGGGAGGGTGGAGGGCAGGGGGAAGAAACAGTGTGATCAAAAGCACGGTCGAAGAGGAGGGTCTTGAGATGGGTCTTGAAGGAGGCATGGGAGGGGGCGAGGTGGAGGGACTGCGGGATGGGTTTCAGAGGGTGGGGGCAGAGTGGCTGATAACCCATCCACCAAGGGTGGGGGGGTGATCAAGCCGGGAGACGTCAAGCAGGCTGGAGCCCACTGAGCGGAGGAAAGGGGCAGAATTGTAGGGGGTTAGGAGGTCGCAAAGGTAGAGGGGAGCAAGGCCATGGAGGGCGGGTGAAGGCAGAGAGGGTCATGACATGGATGTGGGGTAGAAAGGATAGTTGAGGGTCAAACAAGATGCCAAGGTTCCGGACTAGCTTAGTAAGGTGGTGTGTGCAATCATGGATGGTCATGCTGTCAGGGCCTGAGGTGTGTGAGGTGTGGAGTCGCTGACGGGAGTCAATCAGGAGAGCCTCGGTCTTGTTGAGGTTCAACTGAAGAAAGTTAGCTCTCATCCAGGACTTGATATCTGACAGACATTCTGTCCTGGAGATCCTGGAGTCGAGGGTGAAGGCAGAGAGGTGGAGTTGGGTGTCATCCGCATACATGTGGAAGTTGACCCCATGTCTGCGGATGATGTCACCAAGTGGGAGAGGAGCGCACCAAGGATAGAGCCCTGAGGAATGCCGCACGAGAATGCCGCTAGAGAAGAAACCATTTGTGGAGATGAGGTGGAGGCGGTGTGAGGGGTATGATCTGAACCATTCATGTACTGAACCATGAAGGTTGGGGTGAGAGGAGAGGCAGTGGATGAGGATAGAGTGGTTAACGGTATCGAAGGCAGCAGAGAGGTCAAGGAGGACGAGGAGGCAGAGGGAGTGCTCATCACAGATGGACAGAATGTAATTTGTCACTTTGACTAGGGTTTATCTTGTGCTGTGGACGGCATTGAAACCTGATTGGTGGGTTCCTAAAGGGACGCAGGAAAGGAAAGAGCAAAGCTGGGAAGCAACGGCTTTTTCCAGGACCTTGGAGAGTAAAGGGAGGTTGGAGATGGGGACAGAGGAGGAGATGGGGAGGGGTTAGTAGACGGAAGGGCAGCTGAGCAGATCCCCTCAACTTTGGATTTGAGGAAGTCCAGCATCGCGTCGCAGTTGGCATTGGAGGTGAGGATGGGCAAGGTGTTAGAGGGTGGGCGGAGGAGCCGGTTGGTGATGGAGAAGAAGAGCTTGGAGTTGTCCTTGGCCTCCAAGATTGTCTTGGCGTAGAAGGATGATTTAGCGGTGGCGAGGGCGGTACGGTAAGATTTGATAAGATCCAGCTAGATCTGCCAATGGACCGTTAGGTTCGATTTAAGCCAGGTGCGTTCAGCGACATGTACTTGTGCTTTACGGGAGCGGAGGTGGCTGGTGTACTATGGGGACTTTTGTGAGTAAGAGATGGTTCGGGAAGAGATGGGAGCAGGGAATCGAGAGTGGAGGAGAGGGAGCTGCGGAGAAGAGTGACCAAGGAGGATAAGTCATTGCGGGAGGAAGCCCAGAGGGGAAGGAGGCCAAGGAGGTGGACGCATAACATGTAGATATGAGGCTCTACAAGCTTGATTCTAACATTGTTTTCTTTCTTTGCTTCTTCCAGCTGCTTACAATCACCCAGGATGACAGCAACTCCTCTGATGTTAGTATATGTAGCTAGTGTCTGTACTTACTTTGCAAATGCAACAACAACAACAACAACAAGATTCCATTTATAAAGCGCCTTTCACGTCAGGAGGACGTCCCAAGGCGCTCCCAAATGCAGAGTGATTATCAAAGCTAAGAATTTTCAAAGCTGTGACTTTTAAAATGCTCGTGACTGTATGAATCCACATTGCTGTTTTTGTTTATCGTACCACAGGCCTTGCTGGTGACAGTAAATGGAAACCCTGTGGATTACCACAACATGCAATCCGCACTGCAGGCTGAGAATTGTCCCAACTCACTGGAGATGTACTCTATGCCGCAGTATAAATGGGAAATGACCGATGAATCCCCAGGTAAGTAAGACTTTAATTCCTTCTGAGCTCCCGCTGAGCATCAAGAACTGACCTGAGCCTCTCTTTGATCAGAACGGAAATCCTCTCAAGTATTTGAGTCAGGTGAATTTCTTTTTTCTTTGGTCAGACCAGTGTCTGACATGTGCTGACCAAAGCACACTCTAGGGTCCCCAGACCTTGGGTCTCTCCAACCTGCGATTAATACTTTCCGGAATTGGATAAGTAGGATGCGTTCCATTTCACCATGCTTAAGAGTATCCAAACTAAACTGAGAATTCCATGCATCCCACGAAACACATGGAAATCCCCAAGAGAGATTGTTGGACACAGGAGAGTCACCACCCAACAATGAAAGAGCAGAAATTTAATTTCTCCTTATGCTGCACTGTTTTTTGTGTGTATTGTTTGCCGACCAGGAATCACGTAAATTATTAATTGTTCCGCTTCTTTACTGACAGACAAACAGGAAGAGGCAAAAATTGCAGAGACGCCAGATACCAGCAAGAGTAGTAGTCTCATTATTGTCTTCCGTTTCATCATGAAGCAGAGTTACATCTGCGCACTCATTGCTATGATGGTAAGTGCACAGGATGGTAACTATGACTCTACATGTACCATAAGTGACAGCATTCCCAGCTCCACATTATCTTGAGTGCTACAGTGCAAAAATCCTATCGTGCATTGATTCACTGCGAGATGCTCTCTCACCATTTTTACATTGTACACTAACAAAGGAGGGGATCGAACAGGGTATTTGTTGTTCATTAAACTGACAATTAAAAGTATGGTAACAACAACAACTTGCACTTATACGGTGGCTCTCATGTAGGAGACCATTTCAAAAGTGCTTTACAGAGATACAGCGGGAACCTGAGCAGAGTGGGGTGGTTAAAGGAGATAGACAGATGTGCCTTCCCTCCTACAATTACAAACAGCAAGTTTTTACCATCTTGCTGATTTTCTCTTCTAGGCTTGGAGTATTACTTATCACAGCTGGCTCACTTTTGTGCTATTGATCTGGTCCTGTACACTTTGGATGGTTCGTAACCGACGGCGATATGCAATGCTCTCTTCTCCCTTCATGGTCTTTTATGGGAACATCCTCCTATCCCTGCAATATATATGGAGTCTCGATCTCAGAAGCAATGAACTGCCTGAAATATCAGGAGTCTTAAAAAAGATGAAAACCACAGCTTGTGTTGAACTTGGTTCAAAGGTTGGTTTTAAATTGATCTAAGACTATTTTATAGGATGTTTAGCAAAAGCATGTTGGCCTGATTCTTTGGGGCCTATTTGCTTTAGGTTTACAATAGAAACACAATAGGTATTTGCGTTTAGAATAGACACAAATCTCAGTTGTAAAACAATCGGTTCCTATTGAATCGCAATTAAAAGTTTAGATCTTACATTTAGAGGTTAATAATTCAGGACCAGAAAGCTTGAATTTAATCTTGTTTATTTCCACTCATCCTTTCAAGATTGAAAAAAGCAGATGCCTGGAAAGAAATTCCAACTGAGTCTAGATTTACTCTTTGTTATGTAGCATTTTAATGTCCAGAAAATCTAAAATACAAAGTAAATGTTGTGGGTCAGCCTGGCAGAAAGTCTCAAAGCATTTCACATAAACGATATAGAGCACTGAGCAGCAAGGAGGAAAAGGAGAATTTAAGGGTTGACCAACTGCACAGTCAAAGCGACATTTTAAGAAGGATTTAAAGGCAGTCAGAGACGGCATAAAGAACAAGGAATTTGGGAGAGATTTACATAGAGTGTGCGCACAGCAGTTAAAGGCTTGTCCACTGATGGTGGGATGGAGGGAGTAAGGAACAAGCAATCAGTAGACCAGAATAGGATTCTGTTGTGGAATAAGTAGCAACCTGAACAGAATGTTAGCAAAATGCAATGGCACTTCTCAAAACATGTAGCAGTTGACTATTTCTATTAGTAGAACGGTTGAAACGTGTTTTGTGTTTCCTGCTGGACAGGCTCTGTGTATGCTGACATTCTGGCTGCTCCTCCGGCAATACATCACGGAGCTTCGGGAAGTGGAGAAATCCAAGGAATCTACTTTGTCAGAGGTCAAAGTGGAAGAGAAAGGTCAATCACAGTCATTACATTGCTCGTTTACGAATACCTTGGAAGAGTTGTTCTTAGAGGGAATAATGATTCGCTGCTATTGTCTTCTCAGTGTTCTTTGCAAAAAGAAGTGGATTAGAAACTCTGGAAGATAAGTCAGGTGGAGAAAGCTATATATTTTCTCCCACTGACCCCAATTTGGTCTGACTACATATGGTCCTCATTTTGGCAAATGTGTGCTAAACATCTCCAGTAACCACTTAAACATTAAATGATAAATGTTACTTGGTGACTTGCTTTGCTGGTCAAATGCTCCAGAAAATCCCCTCTAACCAAATCCCTGTTAAAGAGAATCCTGCACTTGCTCCTGATCAGATAAATCTACTCCTTTTCTATTTTCACCCCTTGAAACTGCCTCCATCTGTCTTACCCCACCTCTCACTCTCTATGGGTAAACTAAAACAAATCTTTAAAAGACACAGAACATAAAAGGAAAAGACCTTGGAGATCTGAGTCTATGTGTAGTTTACAAGGCTGTAATTGACAGTTTGCTCACTGGGTTCAAATACTTTTGAAAAATAAAAGACATAAAAATAGATTAAGTCAGTGTTTCTCAACCACATCGATATCAGGGACCTGCTGAGTTTCTTATTAATATATAAACAAGCCTGTCAGATCATTCAGAAGGTTGTCGGCTCAAGTTTCAATTCATAACTTTGAGCTCACAGTCTAGGCTGACACTCTCGTGAAACCGAGGAGAGCGCAGCATTGTTAGAAGTCCTGTCCTTCAGATGAGAGGTTAGACTGATGTTCCGTTTGCCTGTTCAGGAGCTAAAGATCCCATGACACTGTTCGAAAAGATAAGGAGTTTCTCCAGGTGCCCTGGACAACAATTCCCTAATAAAACCGGTCATTCACTTCAATGGCTATTTTGGGGAAATATAATTAGTTGCCGAGTTCACATTTAAATACACATTCGCTACAATTAGCAGTAAATCCTGTGAAGCACTTTGAGATGTGATAAGATGCTATATTAAATGCAAGAATTATTATTATAATTTAATCTAAAGAGATCACTGGTATGGGCCAACTCTGGGATTATCACAGATCAACACTGGTCATAGAGAAACACGGCATAAAGCAATAGAAGACCGTTGGCAACACAGAGTGACATTTTAAAATTTTAATATGTCCTTTAACACTACCAATGTTGTGTTGCCTCATAGAAGATGACCAGCAAGGGAAGGAGATAATGAAGGTGGTGGGAAACCTGGTGATGGGAATGTTTGTCAAGTATTGGATATACGTTTGCGGAGGAATGTTCTTCTTCGTCAGTTTTGAGGGCAAGATCGTCATGTACAAAATTATCTACATGATGCTTTTTCTGTTCTGCGTTGCTTTATATCAGGTTAGTATTGCTTCAAGCAGCCATATGACATTATTGGGTATTGATTTTTTTTATTTTCCCCCTTATGACGTTTATTGCTCTGCGCTTTCAAAACCTTTTGAAATATCTACCTCTTTGACTGAGCCTTCGGTCACCTCCCTACTACATCTTGCACTGCTTGGGCTCTTGCTCCTACTGCAGACCCTATCCTACTCAAAAAGGCGCTAGAAAAGTATAACTTATTATTCAAAACCACAACCCTAAAGGGTGAGAGAAATTTCTCAAATATGTTTGGACTTTTTGCTCAATTTTACTTAAAAAAATGGCAGAAAATGGTATGGTTTTGGAGAATCTGAAGTGATATTATACTTGTAATCTTGTCAGAAATTCTAGCAGTGTACAATTTCCCATCTTTTTGTTCAGGTGAACGTTAAAGATCCGATGGCACTACTCAAAAAGAGAAAAGGGTTTCTCCCAGTGCACAGACCAACAGTCCCTCAAATAAAATTGATCTTTTATTTCATGGCTGTTTGTGGGACATTGCTGTGTGCAATTAGGCTGACAAGTTTGCCTACAGATACACAGTCACTATGCAGTAAATACTGTGAAATGCTGTGGAATGTCCACCTGACATGAAAGGAATTATACCAAGAACAAAAATGATTATCATTATTATTAAATACACAGTTACTACACTTCACAGTATATCATGCAAAGCACTTTGAGACATCCTCCTGCTGTGAAATTGGCAGCATAAAATGTAAGGATTATTTTTAAGGATTAATGTCACTTAATTTGACCATCTTAATTACATTGACTTCCTCGGCTCACTGTAACTATATTCTGTGTGTTTTTCAGGTGCATTATGACTGGTGGAGAAGGATCCTGAAGTACTTTTGGATTGTTGTTGTTTCCTATACTATGCTAGTGCTCATTTTTGTCTACACCTATCAGTTTGAAGCGTTTCCAGGCCTTTGGCAAAACATGACCGGAATGGATAAGGAAAAGTGAGTAACTGAGAAAACCAAAGAATTTATTTCTAAAGATGGCTTGGAACCTGTGCTGAAATGTTGTACTCAAACCTCAGTCATTTTTTTTTAGAAAGGAACTCCAGTGCATTGCCACAAATCTCGGGATAGTCATGAAGAGAAGGGAGTTTCTCCAGGTGTCCTGACCAGCAATCCTCTGGATAAACTGGTCATTCACTTTGTGGGTGATTGTGGGATCTTGCAATGCACAAATTTTGTCCAAAATGTGCAGTCACTACACTTGTAGCAATTACCTGCCAAATGTTTTGAAGTTCTCATAACAATCCTTGCATTTGATTTGATATAGTGGCTTGTCTTCGAAACATCTCAAAGCGCTTTCCAGGCTTCACTGTGAAGTATAATCAGTGCATTTTGTTGTGAGGCACCAAGGAAAATGCAAGTGTTATCACATCCTCACTCTTCCATTCCATTGCACAGTGTGCTGGAGTTTGAAGGATGTATTGCTTATGTCCACAGCAGCATGAATGCATCAGCTCCTCTCCATTTTCCCTCCCATATTGAAAGAAACCAATACCTGGGAAGATCAGAAACGTCAGATCAGTTGGGATTGGCGGATTACGTAGAATTATCACGTGAGATATGTGGGATACTGTAGAATTAGCAGATGGGAATTCTCAGATAACATTCTGTCAGATCACACAGAATTGTCAAATCACAAACATGAGATCATGACGTAACATTGCCAAACTGTACATGTAAAATCATTAGCAAATCAGATCCCGTCCCAAAAAAAGATGAGACAAAGTGACACTTTGTACTTTGAGGCCACTCTGCTTCCAGCAAAACTGTATAAATTAAAGTAATTTGTGGAGCAAATTGCAGCTCTGTTCCTTGTTGATGAGCTGAACTTTTCTCGACAATGAAATAACACACGCATCAACTTATAATTTTGAAACGCTTTACGACTTTATTCCATAATATTAACCTAACGAATGCCAGTCGGACTTGATGTGAACATCTTGCTGTTGATGTGCCTTCTTCGCAGCCCTGTAGATTGCTTATAACCTGTAACTGGGAAATAAATTACTTAATGAGAAAACTTTATGGGAAACTAACTAGTTATGAACCAGCTAAAATAACACTGAAAATGATTACCACACAGGCATACGCAAACACACACTGCTAGATATGTGAAGCTCTATCCTTCAAATTTACAATATTGATGAACGCATTTCTTCTATACATTTTCAGCACAGAGGTCAAAAGGCAGCCACGCACATATATTAAAACGTAATACAGTAGAATTTATTGTTGGCCTCATGATTCTCATGTGAGGAGGATGTCTCACTGTGCCTCATAGTGTGGGCTTTGTGGGCACCTGAGCTGGTGTTGTGTGTGTGTGTGTGTTGGGTGCGGGAGGGGTGGTGGTGGGGGGAAGTGGGGGGAGGGGGGCAAAGGGGTAGAGAGGAGTAAGAGGGCCAAACAGCTAACCTGATCAGAAACTTGTGCTTTTGGGCCTGACATCATTCAGCAGCCTCCCATTGCATCTGTGATGGGGAGCTTGGTGTTGCTATGGAATGGCTGAACCTGTGGCCCATCACTCCAGTTTCATGTTGGTTTACCGAGTACTTTGGCTCAGACCGGGGCGAGACAGCTTAGATTTACCCTGACTATGAGGTGTCACCTCAATCGTGATCCTGCTTGTTATTGCAACAACACATCATCAGGAGTAAAACTAATCTATCCCTCAAGGGTCTAAACCAACTCACGTTCCCTATTAGTGGGTGAACAGTCCAACACTTGGTGAATTCTGCTTCACAAACTCTAAAGTGTCGCACTTCCGCCAGCTCAAAAAGTGGGCTATAAACTTCCATCGTTGTAGCAAGTGCGAGAATCTGTACTTTATGCATGTTATTTCTCCTCTTATTAAAGACTGAAGGACCTTGGATTGGAGCAGTTCTCCACCACTGATCTGTTCACCAGCATTTTCATCCCCACATCTTTCTTGCTGGTCTGTATATTACATCTCCATTACTTCCATGACCGTTTTTTGGAGCTTACAGACCTTAAAGCGGTTACCAGCAAACAGGAAAGCACTATCTACAGGTGAGAGCTGCGCTGTTCCTTTGCTTTTTTATTTAACTAGTTGTTATTTTCCGGTCCTGTGCATTCCTCTGTTCCTCACCACTTAAACTTCTAAATAATTTTTACTGTTTCAAGTGAAATGCCTCATGAATGAACTCCCTGGTTACTCCTCATCTTGGGGTACAAATTCCATTGAGTGTTACACAGTGCGCAATTGATTATAATGAAATCCATTTTCGTGTCTACGTTTAAGTCTCACAGGTTGGAATTTGGGGTGCTAAAGCAGAGATATTCCTGTTGATCATAGTCTGATTTACCTTTGCAAACATTCAGTGTTTTCCATTACTTCTGAAGCTCTGTGTGCTACATTAAGTTTACTAACCTCATTCAACTGTGTCTTGTGTTGCATTGGCTAATTCGTCATGATTCTTAATGTTCTTCCTTTTTCCTCTGCCTCTTATTTCTCCATCATCTCTGTGCATCTGTGTGCTTCCCATTTCTTCATCTTCCAGCCATGCCAAAGTTAATGGTCGTATGTATCTGTTAGTAAATAGGTGGGTACTGCTGTGCTTTCCATTATTAAGCGTAGAAGTCATTGCATTATCTATTATTTATAAACCTTGGCATGCAAATCTTACATGTATTTGGGGGAAGGTTTCATCAAACGCTCTTAAACTCCAGCAATTCCAAAATTCCACCTAGTCTTAGCCCGTCAGATATTTTGACTTAACATTTTAAAACTGCAGAATTCAGCCTTAATTTGGCAAATGGATTTCCGCAGTTGTTAAAGTGAACCGAATTTCCAAATTTAAGAATTCTCCACCATTCTGCACAATCTCACATTTCAATACAGAATGGTCCTTCAGCGAGGACCAGGAGAAATTTGAGGCCCCATGAATTTGCATCCCCCAAAGTTAAAGGGGTTGTGAAATACGTCCGATGCCTACAGTAGATTTTACATGAGAACATAAGAAATGCTAGATGAAAAAAGACCAAGGTCCATCTAGTTCGCCTTCCACCTTCCTGGCAATCACAGACACATACGTCCCGAACTACCTATGTACCGTATCCCATAATGTTATTTCCTAAAAGAAGACTATCTAATCTGTGTTTGAAAGATCAATACTTCCTGCTTCAACCATCTCCTTAAGGGATCCTGTTCCACAGGTTCCCCATTTTGAAATAATTTTAATAATTTTTAAAGAGGCCTTTTTCTGATAGAGGTTATCGGCTTATTGGTTTGAAGGTTTATATTTCTTTAGGATAGTTATAGTGTCGAGTTATGTGTTATAACCTGGGGTGAGATTCTAAAAGAAACTCCCCAGAAATAGGCAGAATTAAAATACACGCAGCTGGTTACTTGGCTGGTATTCAGTTTGGGAACCAATGACACCAATGGGCAAACATCCAGGTACTGAAGAGATGCTCGTCTCTCACCGTCTATGAGTGCAGTCTCTCTCTGATTGTGTCAGGGTCTGACAACTGAGCACATCTCTGGGATTAACCTGAAGTTTAAGATAGCTCAAACTAGGAAGACCGGCCCAGTAATGTCTAGGGCCTAAAACATAGGATATTTTTCTTTCAACTCTGCATGCAAGGTTTTATATGGGAGAGGTAGTTTGCAATGAATGTGTACAGTTATACTTTGTTTTGTATAGCTCCACTTGTGTTCTGCTTCAACAGAGTTAGGGTTACAGTGAAAATGTATTATTTTAAAACACCAACAAACAACAATAAATCATATTTGTATAGTGCCTTTCACATCGGGAAGACATCCGAAGGCACTGGTTGGTCAGGGATTTGGATCCGAGCAGGAGGTTGGGATCAGGAGGGGTGGAGGGCAGGGAGGGGTAGGAGGGTGGCTAAAGGTGGGGTTAAAGGAGAGGGTCTTGAGACGTGTCTTGAAGGAGGTAAGGGAGGGAGCGAGATGAAGGGACTGTGGATGGAGTTCCAAAGGGTGGGGTCAGAGAGGCTGAAGGCCTGATAGTTGATAGTGGGGCGGGCCGGGCTGGGCAGGGGATGTGGAGCAAGCCAGAGTTTGCTGAGCAGAGGAAGCGGACAGATTGATATGATTTTAGTAGGTCACAGAGGTAAGACAGAGCAAGCCCGTGGTGGGCTTTGAAGGCGAGGATGAAGATTTTGAACTCTATCCTCTAGAGGATGGGGAGCCAGTGGAGCCAGGGGAGGGTGGAGGTGATAGCGTCACGGAGCCTGGTGTGGGAGAGGACACGAGCTGCAATGTTAACTTATGGAGAAAAGAGTTGGAAGACCAACAAGCAGGGAGTTGGCATAGTCGAGCCTGGATGTAATAAATGTTGTGGATAAGGGATTCGACAGCCTGAGGGTAGAGGCAGTGGCGGAGCCATGCAATGTTGCAGAGGTGGGGGAAGGCAGACCGGGTCAAGGCATGGATATGGGATAGAAAGGACAGTTGAGGGTTAAACAAGACGCCAAGGTTTCAGACAGGCTCAGTGAGGTGGAGAACAATTCCAAGATTCCAGGTAAGTAAGAGGAGGGGGAGGGGGTGAGGGTAGAACTTCTACCTGGGTTCAGACCTATGTTTCACCCACAAATATACAGTCAATCCACTTTACATATTCTATGAAGCACTTTGAGTCACCTCAGTGACGCGATAAGATGCAATATCAAATGCAAGGATTATTATTATTGCACTATTTTCTTAGCATTTTGGAGCATCTGGAACTTGGCAAGTCTCTTCAGTTAAGTCTCAATTTTGAAGTCGATACTGAAGAATATCCAAGAACTGTAGAAAAATGGCTTACAAATTAAAACTGAATTGAAGAATTTGCCATGTTCTGGATGCTCTGAAATGACAACAAACCCCCCAGCTTATCAGACTCCAGGTATCCAGAATTCTTACGCAATCAAACCGAACCGCTGTAGAACCAACGTATAAGATTATAACTGCTGACATCTCTACAATTGCTGTTAGGGACTTTTGCATGGTAGTCCCCAATGTATTTTGGTGATGTAACATATGAGGTCTGTTGTGCTGTATTGTTTCATGGAATTCCACGATTGGGAATCTAATGTCATACCGTCCACAACAGGAAATATATTACTGTGACCCATGGGAATGCTGCTCTGACCCCAACTCATTTGACAAACAGCTGCAATACAAGATAGTCAAGTAGATAGTCTAGTAGTTTGAGATCAAGGCTCTCAGGCTTGGGAGAAGACTCAGACGGTATCTTGTAAAGGTGCAAAAATGTTTAAATGAGATTGAAAAGAAAATCCAGAAGACTTTGGGATTACACCATGAACAAAGTTTAGAGTTGCAAACAGCATTTCAGGACAGACACCAGATTGGTTTCCTTTACTCAGAGGGTAATCAAAGGCTGGATCAGGTAGCCAGGAAGGGTAGTTGAGGCCAGGACACTGGACTTATTTAAAATGCAGCTTGATGCATCATGGGAGGACGGTAAGGTGGGTCTTCTGGAAGGATCTTGTGTCAAAGGATCTTCTCCATCCGAATCTCTCTTGTGATCTTGTAATCCACTTTTGGAGCAGTGTTCCCACAGGAATGTGAATGGGGTTCTCTATTGAGAAAGTTTATTATAAAATAACACAAATTAGCCTCACCACCATGAACGGAATCGATTACTTTGCTCTTGGGTCGGAAGAGAGCGGCAGAGTTCAATACATTCGCTTGTGAGGTTTGGAATGACAGTGGATGCTTGAGTGAGCTGCTGGTTTGCAGATGTCAGCGATGACTGATCGGAGCTTGCATGCCTTATTCTACTGAGAAATGCACGTTGCTTCAGCATAGCAAAGGCTGCTGCACTGAAAGGAATACAGCACGAGAGGCGACCTTTAACAGGAAGGCTGGCAATGATGCACTTTGTGCAAAATCTTTTTTTTTCACATTTTGAAAACAAAACTAACATTCTTTCTGTACTCATTCCTCTTTTTCTTCCCATGTGAATTACTCTGTACAGACTCAAGCAATACCTTTCAAACCGCCAGAACGAGTAAGTCTTTCAAAGACATGAAATGCTTGCACTGACATTTCATGCTCACCGGACTTGAACTCTTTGACAATTTTCTTTCACTTTGGAAAATGTCATGTTTAAGTCCAACTCATAAAGCAACTGCAGGCTGCCCATTTTGTAGCCGCCTCTTAATGTGAACCTGTCTCGGACAATTGCTTGATCTGGCTAGCGATTATCCTCCTCCCAAAATGTAACATGCTCGTGTGGGAAAAACATCAAGGATAATAGCATCAAGTGCTTGCCATTCTATCATGCGAGGTTATCGAAACCCATGCCACGCTTCTGACTGAATGCAATGCAGACATTTTCTGGGATGTGTAATGCAGGGGCAATTGCAGCGGGATTCGAAAAGGATTTGTAAAGATCGACTCCTCCAGGTTACCAGACGAGTGTCGATTCCGACCCCGTGGGAACTCTGTCACATCGATGGCCTGGGAAGACAATGGCAATGGAGCAGAGTTCCCACAGAGGTTGGCGTGACATGTACCTGGTTGCCTGCAGGAGTTGATACACAAAGAACTCTTTTCCAGCCCCGTGGTGACCACTGCGATTACTCCACACCTTCTTCCCCCTTTTTGCCATCGTTAACCTGTCTGTTACCTGCAAACAGGTTAGTCAACCAGGATGGTAGTCTCCCAGACATCGGGATGATGAATATTCCCACTGGCACGCAGGTCGAGGAAAGGAACGAGGATAAAAAGGGAGAGGAAAACGAAGAGGAGGAAGAGGAGGATTCCACGGGTAAACATTTTTTCATATGCTCTCTTCAGCTTCAGGGAGGTCAGGCGATTCAACAACAACAATAACAAGATTCCATTTATAGAGCGCTTTCACGTCGGGAGGACGTCCCAAGGCGCTGATTCATCGCTCAACTCTCAATCCAAGTTATGAGAGCAAACCAGAAGTATGAAATTACCCACCCAGTCCATCTAGTCCTGTGAGACCATATTGTTTGAAGCTTAAGAAAGTGTTGAAAATGCTTAAATTCAGTCTTAATTTAGAAACCTGTCCTTTCTATAAGTTGTAGTGGGGGGAAATAGCTTCTAAATTAAGACCTTGTCATTTTGCACAATCTAAACTTTTCGAGGCAAAATGGTCTCAGTTGCTTAAGATTAGGGGGAATCTCAGGTCTAAGTCTTGATGTAGCCTGTCGGTAAAATGGGGGCAGTTAGCAGCACGCCACAGGCACAAAGGGCTTCTCCTGTGCTCAAATGTCTCTAATTCAGTGAAGAAGAATTTGGGCCATTCTTCTTAACCCACTCTTTGTGTTAATAACCAGCACAATCCACTGTGGGAAGAAATGTTCTCTGGTTTCCATCTCTCACTGTCCGTCCGAGCTCTGCACACATTATTAATAAAACGCCATCTCCATCCTATCCCATCTGATTGACTGATGGGCTGCAAATATGCCTCCGTGCTTGTTTTATAGTTGATGACTTGGTTCCTGCTTTCCTGTGTGTCTCTCTGTCTCTTTAGAAGAAAAGACCAATAAGTGGCACCTGGTCATTGACCGGTTGACTGTCCTCTTCCTGAAGTTTATGGAGATCTTTCACAAGCTGCAAGTTGTGGTCTGGTGGATCTTAGAGCTGCACATCATCAAAATTGTATCATCTTACATCATTTGGGTATCGCTGAAAGAGGTTAGTGAGAGGTCAGGGTGCGTTAATGCTTTTAATGCTTTCTAACTTTGATATCTGCTGTATCAATCGAGGGCCTAGTAATTCTCAGATTGTTTCCTGTAAAATGCAGAGTCACATTGCTTTTCGACCCATTCTAGAGCACAGAGCTCAACACCAGAACCACAACAACTCGCAATTATACGTAGCATCTTTCACGTGAGAGAACGGTTTGAAAATCCTTTACAGAGATGGAGTGCGGGTTCGAGCAGAATGGGAGATCAGGGACGGAGGGTTAAGCAGGAGGTGACAGGAGCTACAGTTAAAGAGATGGGGTTTTTAGATGAGTTTTGAACACAGAGAGGAATGGTGCTAAGCGGAGGGATTTAGAGAGAGAATTTCAAATGGTTCAGAGCGTGTAGTGGCCATTTTTCATGAGCAAAAGTGACAGCCAATTTGGGAAAAACAAGGTCCCACTTCAGTAATTAAAGTACATGCCATTTTATTACAGTATGTGTTCCACTGTTAATGTTGTGCCGCTAAAACGAAACACAGCAAAGTATTTCTTCTGCTTCGTCTGCAGGTTGCTCTGCTTAATTATGCGTTTTTGATCTCGTGGGCGTTTGCTGTGCCATTCGTAAGATTCCGTCCACTGGCGTCCAGTGTCTGTACTGTCATGACCTGCATCATTATTGTGTGCAAAATGTTGTACCAACTATCAACCATCCAGCCCTCCAATCACTCGGTGAACTGCACAATGGTGAGTACGCAGTGTTCAGCCTTTCGCTCCTGTTGTGTGTAATGTAACTTCAAGCTCCAGTCGCTTAGTTTGCTACCTGCATCGCGCTTGTACTCTGTGGAATCCTGCAAGTTGTACTGCTCGAGATCAGTTGGGGTGCACACGTGGTGGGGGGTGAAGGAGCAAAGGTGGCCACTTTGGAGCTGGAGCTAGAGTCTTTGAGAATGAAAAGGATAGCAGTTGGATCCTGAAAAAGCTAAACACACAGGTATCAACATAATCTCTTGGTATTGCAGTGAAAGAGATGAACCATTATGGACAAAGGATACATTTGTGGACTGAATTGTTCTGCAATTGTAGACGTAACGAGGCTTGGAAAGTAATTATTGCTCTCAACGCTCGGCATAACAGCCAAGCCTAACCTTAACCCACCCAGCTACCATACACATTCATTACCAGTAGATAGTTCAGGACTGAAAGTAGGAGTATAAACCATGGCTGCTTTTCCTCTCTGTAAGCCAGGGAACAATTTAACCTCCTCATGCAGCCCTGTCTGAGACCTGTAATCGAACCAGTCAGCTTCTGGTACATAACTACAGTGACAACTTATATAAGATTTATATAGCTCCCTTTCCACGGGTGAGCGTTGCGAAGTGCTGAGATAAGTTGCAGCACTATCCACCACACCATCGGGGCTGCCACCATCTCAGTCATTTTCAAAGGGAAGGCAAAAATCACACAGTGATGTTGGAATGGACATAGCAACATGAATTATCGATATTGTCAGCTCTTTCATTTGAACAATTTATTTCCTCAGCCACAACTAAATCAAACAAACATACAAAAAGAGGCTGAATTGATCAATTCGTTACTCTACTACGGCCCTGTCGATCCAGCGAACTGGATTGGACTCAGAAAATTTTCTCCTCTTCTTGTGTACCTTAAGGTAAGAATTCCTATTTAATTATTGCATTTGACATTGAACCTTTTAGGGCAGGAGGACGTCTCAAAGTGCTTCAGAGGATTCACTGTAAAGTATAGAGACCGTATTTTTTTGGGTAGGTTATACGATGTTGAATGCTCACAAAATACACAGCCATTCCACTTTACGGTATATCCTGTATGGCACTTTGCGTACAGTATATTCTTGTAAAGCCTTCCTTCTGACCTGATAGGCACTACATCAAATGTACGGATTATTGTTATTCTCATCTGCTACCTTTTGTGACCTTCTAAAACCCTACCAATCCATCCGCTCACTCCACTCAGCATGCACTGACTTGCATCACACCCACACCCCCCTCCACACCCACACACATACCATACTTCCATCAGCAGTCGGGCCTTCAGTCTATCTCTGGAACTCCATCCCGGAATCCCTTCAGCTAGCCCCTTCCTTCAGCCCCTTCAAGGTCCATCTCAAGACCTTCATCTTTGACTGCGCCTTCAGTCACTTCCCACCTCCAACCTCCCCTTTTGGCTTCAACCCCCAACTTGGACGCAAACTCTTGACTGTCCAGCACCTTGGCACATCCTCCCTACATGAAAGGTATTACATCAATACAATTTGTTGTTGTGCGGCCAACCAAAAAGATAAGAAACATCATGATTCTCAGCATAAACTCAACAGAATGTTCAGAGTGATATGAAGTGGAGGGGGTGAGCACCAAAGCACTTGGTATGTGATGGCACAAGGTCAGATAATGATGTTAAAGCCTCCGCACAGAAGAGCAGGCTTAGGAGTGAACAACAACCCCTCCTGACATTGAGGGAATGGCCTCGCCCAAGTCCACTGAAAATTCAACATGGACGCATTGTTCTGACGGAGTGAGAGATTGCTGCGCAATCAGCCGGCCATTAGGCACTCAGCAGGCACAGCAGAGACTGATTCACTCCCATGCTCTCTCTTCTCCTCTCGGTGAGGAAACTCTTTGCTCCATTGACTCACTTCCTGTGCGCAACTGGCTGCCGGGTTTCGCCCACAAAATACACAGTCAATTCATTTTCCAGTATAGTTTGTGAAGCGCTTTGAGATGTCTCGAAGACGTGATAAGGCGCCATATCAAATGCAAGGATTATTATTATTTAACAAGATTAAGCACTCGTTCAAGGTGTGTCTGAGTGTTTGTGAAGGGAGCAGGTGAGATAGTTATATAAGGGTAATATATCTGGCAGGGGTGTGGGGGTGGTCAACGATTTTATATCAAACCAGAATATATTTTCCCTTCTTCAGAACATTTGAAAAGTTTAGTCACAAGATTTTCTTTTCAATAACCGTTTTCCTTTTCAGAACAATCTACTGATTCTCGCTATTTTAGCCTTTGAAGTGACTATCTACCGGCATCAGGAATACTTCCGATTGCGAAACAACCTGACAGCCCCAGTGGCGAAAACTATCTTTCACAACATCACCAGACTCCACCTGGACAATGGGCTGGTGCACTGTGCAAAGTATTTCATAAATTACTTTGTTTACAAGTTTGGGTTGGAGGTAAATATCCGCAAAAAGTCATTTTAAATTAAAAAGAAATATAACCGCAGCAATTTACATTCATGTAGCGCATTTCATAAAAACAAAACCATTTAATAAAAAAACAAATAATAATAATTTGGTCACTCAATCCACTATTGTTTGTGGGACACTGCTGTGCGCGATTGGTTGCCGTCTTTTGCCCACTACACTTTACAGTATATTCTACGAAGCGCTTTAAGACATTGCGAAGACGTGATAAGGCATTATATCAAATGCAAGGATGATTCATGTATGGAGAATGGGTGACTGTTCCCCAGCCATGAAAGTGTATTTTACCTGTGCAAACAGACGTCAGTGGAGTAACAAGGGGCTGAGAATCAATATTGAAGATGTAACAGTTTCTGTTTTAAATTTCGATTCAAGTTTTTGTTCTTATAATCATTGTGGATTCAATTGGATTGGCCCCTTGTTACTTGTCTGTAATGACATTCCTCTACTTGTGTTTAACCTGGCCTAGTCTGTAGCACGCTCGCTTCTGAGTCAAAGCTGTTTGGGTTCAAGCTCTGCATCAGGACTCTTAACGCATGTAGTCAAGGTTGGCACTTCAATGCAGTGCTTAGGGGGTGTGTTACTTTGTTGGAGGATGAGATCTTAACGCAAAGTCCCATCTGCCTGTTCAGGTGGATGTTAAAGATCCCGTAGCACTATTCGAAAAGAGAAGGGAATTTCTCCTGGTGTCCTGGCCAACAATCCCCCAAGTAAAACAACACAACATTAGAAACAGATATGTATGGGAGCAGGGATTAGGCGGAACGTAGTCTCATGTGGAGTTTGAACACTGGTACGGATGAGTTGGGCCTGTTCAGTGCTGTTCAAAAGTCTGCGTAATTCTGTGAATCTTTCTGAAATTAGCATTTGTTGGGGCTTTTTTTTTTTGCAGATTTGTTTTTTGATGACAGTAAACGTGGTCGGCCAGAGAATGGACTTCTACGCCATGATACACGCTTTCTGGCTGTTCGCACTGCTCTACCGAAGGAGAAGGAAAGCCATTGCTGAGATCTGGCCCAAGTACTGCTTTTACTTATCGTGTATCCTCACCTTCCAGTATCTGCTCTGTATTGGCATCCCACCCGCAGCCTGCAAAGGTACAAGTACCACCTTTTAGTCTCTGCTTTTAGTTTAATAAAAGTCACCAAATGCCAGAAAAATGTTAAGACCACCTGTCCAAGTGTTGCTGGTGAGACAGGGATGGCTGGGGCTGTGATCAGCAGTACCCTAGATTAACTGTCAACCCGCCTGACTCAGGAACCCAACCACCGAGAGCGCCACAGAGGGTTGATCCAATTCCGACATTCTGTTGCCCAGCATGTCACCTTGGAACCTCAGCTCCAGAGAGAGACCCTGCTTTCCGCACACACAAACACACACACCCGACCCCAAAGAGGATAGTTAGTGGCATTGATGTGACTCTTCTGGGTCTTTTCTCTGCTCCTGACACTAATGACAGTGATTTATCTTGCTTATGGAAAGTATTTGTCAAGCAATTTGTCAGACAGCTCTGCCCCTGATGAATTGTTATTCACAAACATTGTTATTTTGTTTGTGTTGCAGAGTATCCATGGAGGCATCCTGGTGCCAAAATCAACTCAAACTTTATTAAGTGGTTGTACTTCCCAGATTTCATCACGAGACCTAATGCAATCTTTCTTGTCTGTGAGTATTTTCCACAGGGATATTTAATCACTTTACCCAGAGAGTGGCAACTACACGCAGTGCGCTACGTGACAGAAATAAATATTCACTGAAATAAAATATCGGTCAAAAGAAGATGCAAGTTGGGTTTATTTGCTTCCAGATGACTTCATGCTGTTGCTGATGGCCGCTCTGCAGTGGCAGGTGTTTGAGGATGAGAACAAGGCTGCTGTACGGATAGTGGCTGGGGACAATGTGGAGATCTGCAGAGATCTGGATGCAGCAACGTTCAGTCAGCACAATCCTGTACCAGACTTCATTTACTGCAGGTGAAGGAGGGGCCCTGGCACATATTGTTCAGGCCCAGCAAGAAACACAGCTTTTATCATTGCACGTATTAGACGTGAATGCACTAAATTTGTAGCACTAATACTGCTACTAATAATAATGATCCTTGTATTTGATATAGCACCTTATCATGTCATTGAGACGTCTCAAAGCGCTAACAAGATATATTGTGAAATGAAGAATTGTGTATTTTGTGGGCGAAATGCGGCAGCCAATATTTATTATTTGATACTGATCCCTATCACTAGCTCAGAAAGGAGAATGATCAGCAGAAGGACACAATTTATATAAGGAGGAGAAAGGGACAAGGGGGCAGATCGTGGAAGCCGAGGGGATTACTCCTTATTGAACAGTAGCCCCTCCTGATTGTTAGAGCAATAAGCAAGAAACTAAACATCGTTTGAGATAGAGCTTTTTGGTCAAAGACCACTTGACAAGATGCCAAGTTTTTGAGTTATGCAAAATATAATCATGCTAATATTTTCTTAATTATGGGATGGTTTAATGATCCGCTTTGTTCTTTGAAATGGCACTGACCGTGAATTTAATTTACTCAGTTCTGCTATTACCATTGAGCTGGAAGGATTGCTTACAATATCCCAGATTAAACTGCTCAGAAAGGAGAACATACTATAAGAACCCCTATACTACAACTAAAATCAATAGCAGGAAATGATGGCCTCACACTGACTGCTTAATCCATTCCAATCCATTCTGAAGGCGTCCTTTAAAAATATTATTTTGTTGAGCTCTTCATCCTCTCACATTGTCAGTGTAATAAATAAGAGATGTGGGGCAATTTACTGTTTAACAGAGCATTCCTTTCATATAAATGTTTCCTTTCACTCTCTCCATTTGTTTCCAAAAGCATAATGCCGGGTCTGTAAATTGCTCACCCACAAAATACAGTTACTACACTTCACAGTGTGAAGCCCTTTGAGATGTCTATTCTGACATGAAAGGCGTGCATCAAATGCAAGGATTATTATTATTTAAATCATTATTTTATTAAAATATAATGATATCATCAAAAAATATTTTTTCTCCCTTAACACACATACATAGATCCTACCTGGACATGGTGAAGGTGATTGGATTCAGCTATCTCTTCTGGTTTGTTCTTACCATCATCTTCATCACTGGCACTACGCGGATCAGCATATTCTGTATGGGTTATCTGGTTGCATGCTTCTACTTCCTACTTTTCGGTGGACAACTCTTACTGAAGCCGATTAAAGTGATCCTGCAGTTTTGGGACTGCCTCATCGCCTACAATGTGTTTGTGATCACAATGAAGAACATTCTCTCCGTAAGTACCGGCTGCAACTTTTCAAGGCACATTGAAAGGATGATACTGGAGTATCTTGTTTGTGAATTAACACATTGTGTAAATATCTCCCACAAAACACACTTTACATTGTATTCTGTGAAGCGCTTTGAAGAAGTCCTTCTGATGTGAAAAGCCTTTTGCTGTTTCTGAGACATTTGCTGATGTAAATTAGGCAGATAATAACACCACTTCTATGTTTTATGCCCTAAATAAAAGTTAAAGAGTGAAAAGTCAGCAAGATCAGCACGTGGAGTCCTGTAGCGTAGTGGTTAGAGCACTTGCCTCGCAAGAGAAAGGACTCAGATTCAATTCCTGGGCGGGGCAAAACCCTAGACAAGTTTCCTGACTCCACACACCTCTCTTTACCTAGCAGTATTAGGAACCCAGTTGTTAGACAATTGCAGATCGCTTTCCGGAAGTAATAATCCCTTAAACAAAAATAATAATAATTTGGTCACTAAATCCACGACTGTTTGTGGGACACTGCTGTTCGCAATTGACGTGTTTCACCCACAAAATATACAGTCAATCCACTTTACAGTATATCCTGTGAAACCCCTTGAGGCGTGATAAGGCGCTATATTAAATGCAAAGGTTATTATTATTATACATTATTTGCAAAATAAAAATGTTAAAGGATGTGAAGGGAAAGCAGTGAAGTGTGATTAGAGGAGGTGATGTTGCATCGTGCTCTGGAATGGTTTCTGGCAGAGTGGGTCTGAAATGCTGTACACTGTTCAGCACCTTGGGACGTCCTCCCAACGTGAAAGGCGCTATAAAAATGTGATCTTGTTGTTGTTGTTGTTGAATTCCTTGTCTTCCTCTTGTTTTCTAATTGTGCTCGCAATGAATTTGCTCTTGAATTGCAGATCGGAGCGTGTGCCTATGCTGAGTCTCTGCTCAAGAAAGCATGTTGGATAATCCAGACTTTCGGCCTTGTCTGCACTGTAAAGGGGTATGATATGCGTAAGTAACGTACTTAATCCACTTCACCATAAAGGCAATGGACCTGACTCTGGACTTTCAACTCTGGGCATTGATATGAATGCACGCCAAACCGATTGGGTGACCGTATCTTCCGTCTCCTGGCTGTGTGAAACGAACAGTGTGGATTTCAATCTATTGCTTGGTTGAAATAATACCTTTTGTTTTCCCCTAGCTCCTGATAGTCGTGAATGTCCATTGCCCAATGGTGAAGCAGGCATTATATGGGACAGTATCTGCTTCTGCTTCCTATTGCTACAGAGAAGAGTTTTCATGAGCTACTATTTCTTACACGTGGTGGCCGATATAAAATCAGCACAGATCCTTGCATCACGGTAAGTTCAACATTGAACAATCTTTATCAGATCAAATACCTGATCAGCTCATTTTATTTGGTAAAAAGGCACAGGCAGGATGGGCCGAATGGCCTCCTTCTCTGCTGTAATATTCTATGATTCTATAACAAGGGCAGTAACAAGAGAGGTTTGGATGTGGAAAGCTCTTCAGCCTATCTGATCTCTTCTTTCCTGAATATGCCACCTACCATCCTCTCGTCACTGCACCAAATGAATCCTCAACCATCCTTCTTGTGATGCATTGCCTTTATAAGCACTTTGAGATGTTACCTGACGTAAAAGGTGCTGTGTCACACAAATCCACGACTGTTTGTGGAACAGTGCTGTGTGCAATTGGCTGCTACGTTGGCCTACAGTATATCCTGTCAGGCATTTTGAGATGTCTCAATTATGTGATAAGGCACTACATCAAATACAAGGATTATTATTATATGTATCAATAGAAGTTTTGGTTTCAGTAAACCTCTTATGTTAGTACTGATTTATTTTTCACCCACACCTCACATAACCTAAACAAGAAGGATTAGCTAGAATCACTCCCAGGTGATTCTCAGGGTAAAGAGGCATTTATCAGTTATTGCCAAAAGATCATCTCTTATTCCTGTTGCAATACAATATTACTCGTTGGGGTGTTTCTGAGTCTAATTTTCGAGTAATGAAACTTGAGACAATGGGGTTGTGACAAAAACTTGTGATGCAGTTAAAATCCTATATATCACACCGACCCATGATACCTCAGGCCCGAAATTCCACCTTGTCTTAACCAGCGAGAAGATATTGTCCTAAAATTTAAGATTGTACAAATTTGTGGAATTCTTCAATTCCATCATAATTTCGAAGCCAATTTCTTTTTAAGCGTTGTGTAAATTCGCTTTCCAAATTAAAAGTGGCTTGAAGCATTTTCTTCGATTTCAGTCAATATTCTGCACAATTTTAAGGTTTTAAGACAAAACAGTATTGGCAGGCTAATGCACCACAGCCCCATTATAAGATGCCTTTTTATAATGCAAATTTGCTTATAACGCAGTTGCACTGTGCACCCAATTTACTGTGTATGCATGAAGCCAGCCTGCTCACTGCCCATGCACCAACTGGCTTTCACACTTAACATGGCCAACTGGCCATGAATGTCTTTGTACATGGCCATTTGACCGTCTCCAGCATTACTTCCTGCTTTGCTCAAAGGAGTAAGTGACCAAAGTAATAACATAATGACCTGGACGTTGTCCATTTTAGCTCCATTCGAACATACGCACAACAAACAGGAAATGACATTGGGATTCATTCGATTACCCAGGAGTCGGCCACACAGGTGGTGGAATCCGATTCGATAACAACTTTTAAGAGAGAAGTAGATCATTATTCGGGGTCGACAAGTTTGCAGTGCTATGGGAAGAGAGCGGGGGAGTGGGATTGAATTGGATAGCTCTTTTCAAAGAGCCGGCACAGACACAATGGGCCGAATGGCCTCCTTCTGTGCTGTATAATGATTTTGTGTAGGGATTTTGGGGGCCTTCATGAATCACAACCATCCCATTTATAACAATTGCATTAGGTGGAACTTCAGGTGCTCCGCTTAGACCCATAATTTTCTCAGAGTACAGTGACAGAAATGTAAGTTTATGTCACGAGCATTCTTTCCATTGCGAGGTGCCATTAAGCACAACGGTTTCACTGTTCGAGCACTTCTTTGAACCCTATGGTCCTACTATGAACCTTATGGCATCAACTATACTGTTCTTTAAATATAATAGAGGTTTTGTCCAACACTTCTCCTCTATGTTCTCCCTCAGAGGTGCTGAGCTGTTTCAGGCCACAATTGTGAAAGCTGTGAAGGCCAGACTTGAAGAGGAAAAGAAATCAATGGATCAGCTCAAGAGACAGTAGGACCAAATTTTAAGTGACAATTGGCATGAATGCAATAGTTTTTTCTTTGTCACGTCCTGCTCATGACGTTTTGCCGAGTACCGGTTCCACATTAATTGTCAGAATAATGTCTCTTAATAAGACTGGGACGGTATGTAGTGAGTGCTGTGTGTTGACTAATATTGCTCCACTCACCTGGAAGACATGCTTACCATTTTCCTTCTCGCAAACAGGATGGACCGCATCAAAACACGGCAGCAAAAGTATAAGAAGGGCAAAGAGAGAATGCTCAGTTTGACTCAGTCAGTAGATGTAGAGAATCCACCAGTCAAGCAAGAAGATGAGGATGATGATGAAGGTATCTTAACAGCCATTGTGGGAGATGATAAGATGTGTCTTTTTTACTTGTGGGGGCCTGGGAGTGGTATGCTGACAAATACCATTAATATCCTGTTTTGAGTATCAATCAGTTGACTTTCTTTTGTTCTCAATATTTCTACTATTACGTTATGGACTTAGAATATTCAATACTTCGGGAAAAACAAGGTAATTTATTTTAGCAACTCACAGCTCAGGGTTTCTTAACAACTTTGCCAAGTGCTTTTTGGGGTCCAATTCGCAATATCAGCCAACCAGACTTATTGCGGTAATTGTGATTTCCCCTTTTGAAACCTTAAATTGACAAAGTCTGTGAAAGAGAACAGGCTGGTGTCCTGGTCTGCAGACTACTTTTTGGACTTTGCCATCGTAGTGAGCTATAGTGGGCTATTTAAGGTCCAGAATACACAAAAGTACAAAGGTGAAATACAGTATCACCAAAGAGCTTTGCTGAGATTGCACTTTTGTCACAATCTAAGTCACTTGTTATCTCACTCAATGGTAACAATACTTTCAGGATAAATTTCTTAGCAACCATTAATACTATAATACATTCCATTAACAATACTGTGAAAAATTGTTCATCCTTCTGCTATATTGTAGGAAAATGGGTGAAGGAAGAGTGAGTATTTTATAGTATAGGGTAACATAGTAGATGCTCTTTCTCAGAGTGAACATGCAATTCTGTTTGCATGATATCAGGACAGATTGCTCTACCAATGCAAGCAGGCCCTGAGATTGAATTGTCGACTTATATTCTCTGTCTGGCCATCAATACCCATTATAGCTGTCTGCTCCAAACCATTGTTTAGCAAGCATTGAGAGGACAGTAACGGTGATAACGCTGTAAGACCTGAGGTCTGTGCTATCGCTTGGCAGGTAATAGAATATTCTATACAAACAGTTGGCAGTGGTTTACTGGTCCATAAGGTATTCAATACATATTGCTTTCTACGAACGCTGATGCAGACTTGATGGGCCAAATGGCTTCATCCTGCAAGGTAAATTTCTATGATTTGATACTATATAATAACATATACTATAATTATAATGGATTAGTAGTCATTTTAAGTGGAGTAACTACAGCCAAAGTTCATATGTTGACATATCGCAGTGAACAAAACCTTGCCTTTCTGTTGTGAGTGTTGGGTAAGAATGACAGTTTCCTCAAGCCATTTTGAGAAATTATTTTTTGCTGCTGCGTTCATTACCCTTCTTGTGAAATACTGACGGCGAATGTGCCCTGCTCTTCAACCTCATCCCTGCCAGGTACACAAATCCGCCACTCATCCCCCACTTTCACCAACCCCCAATGACGTCTCATTGCAACAAAACCAGTGTCACACTTGAGACTCTCTTTCATACAGAATCCCTGCCGCGTTCAGTGTAGCCGACACCAGTCTGTTGGGTGCAGCAGTGAGATGCTAGAATTTGCTACAATGCCTGGCCCAGGCCATGCCCTGCAATGATGTCTGGTATCACAGTGGGAAAATATTCTGCCCACCGATAAGCACCAATTCCTAAAAGATGAGATTTATAGAAAGAAAGACGTGGAATTTGTGGACTTGATTAGATGGACTAGAGAGCAACCCACTCTCCCCAACCCATCCCTGGATCAAAAATAACTTTTAGGGGATCATCAGGCGATATTTCTTACAAGTTAAGCAAATGGGAATTCCTTCTGGTAACCGAAATACATCCGTGTACTTCCGAAGTGGAATTTCCAGCAGGATGATAGGGATTCAAATAGAATTCCTTAAGGGATCCTCAATGAAAAGGTTGGCGAGAAAGGATGGCTTATTCTTCTTGGATGGGAAATTGACCAACATTTACCTTTTAAGTTTAATCCTGGCCAAAGGAGAGATAGTCCGAGCGATGAGGTTTGAGACTTCCCTCCGTCCCCCCGAACACACACACACACACACACACAAATATAGAACGTGCCCTGTCTGATTTAATTTTTTTGGTTCTTTGCTTTGCTTCACATAATTAACGTTTGGACCTATTTTGTTTTAGGAGAAGCAGACAAAGAAAAATCCAAGGGCAAAAACAAGCAGTGGTGGAGGCCTTGGGTTGACCATGCTTCCAGTAGGTTTGCCTCAGTTGTCTGTCCGTTATAGTTGTTCAACACGAACCTGATTTCCTTGAATAGATAAACGCCATTTTGCTTTTAGTTTAAAAAAGAAAAAAAAAGTGTGTTTTATTTTAACCAAAAAGACTTATCCCGACTTTCCTCCAAGCATGGATTTACTTTAGTCGAGTGCTGTTGTTTGGATGGGTTTTATGGGTCAGTTCTAACGGTGCACATGTGTTGATTCAATAGAGCCTTCTCCACTAGTTCATTCCCACAATCAATGTCCATGTTAAATCCATATCAATTGCGGATTTGGGTGTAAATTGCATTGGGTGACTATTTCACTTAACAATGACTGTCAACTGTTAATGAAACTCATCATCTCTGAATGATTCATTATCCCAACCCCACCCACACCCTTGCCCACACCCACTACCCACCAACATCCCCACCCAGAAACCGATCCCCACCCCACCAACACCTCTATACTACACCCACCCATCCCATACCCTCACCCATGTTAGAATTTTATACTCAGTGACAGGCTGACACTCCAAAAGACTACTGGAGATGAGATGTTAAACCAAGGTCCTGTCTGTCTGTTCAGGCGGTATTAAATGTCCATGTCACTATTCAAAAAAGAATGGAGTTTCTTCCGGTGTCTTGGCTAACAATCCCCCAGATAAAATTGGTCATTCACTTCTTGACTGTTTGTGGGATACTGCTATGTACAAAAACTGGCAGATACTATTCGTGCAAATTAATTTAACTGATGTGAAATCTAAAATAATTTTCACTTCGTACAGGTGAATTAATGCAGATTATTAAATTAGAAATTGGCTGCTACGTTGGCCTAGACCCACAGTCACACCACTTTGCAAAGGCTCCTCTGAACGTAAGTTGCTATTTAGCAGACCTGCACCACTCACTGACAATCTATTGTGGATCGAAGATGGACATGAAAATTGATGGTTGTTTAATGAAGAATGTGGCAAATGAGGTTAACTGGTGTAATTTTCTGACCTGTAATGCCCTCTCCCCCACGACTAATGTTAAATCTAAATTTCCATATGCATATGAAACATAGCAATGTTATTCTGCCAGAGAGTGCAAGAATCATCACTTGCAGCTGCTTGACTAGCTTCAAACAGCATTTTTTTTATCGATGTTTCCTTGTCTTACTCCTAAAAGTCCCTTTTACTAAATGAGGCATGAAAGCATTGGGAATCCTTATCTATTCAAGGAAACAAGGTGTCTGTTTAAATATGTGATACAAAACCAATTAGGAAAAAACTGTTTTAATCATATCTTGGAATCTAAGGTCAGTTCTGAGGTGGAGCAGCTTTCACAAAGAACATTACCATCAGGACCACATGTAAAATTGAGGATCTTCTTCTGTCTATTCTTGTCATACCTCCTTTCAGAGAAGTGCGTGAGGGGTGCTATTTGCTCGGTAGTGCAAAGAAGCTGAATTAACATCAGAAAAACAAGCTTCCAGCTAGTCTTATCCTACAAGACCATTTTGTCTTAACATTTAAGATCACATAAAATTATGGAAATTTCTGCAATTCACTTCTGATTCGGAAAACCTGTTCTTAAAAAGAGACGGCTTCCAAATTAAGACTGAATTTAAGAATTTTTCACAATTTTCCACGATATTGAATTTAAAAACAATATGGTGCTGCAGGCTAAGACTGTGTGGAATTTCAGACCTCAGTCATGAGCATCTTGTTCAGGAATCCAGGATAGCTCCGTGATGGTGTCATTTCAATTGCATGTACTAATTCAGCCCCTTTCCATTGTCACCCTCAGTAACTCCTGCGAGAGAGTTCTTCCAATCATTGGGGGTAGAAATTCCACTAGAATCCTATATTTACTCTACTTGCGTAGCATTTCAGAAATCGCAGAGCTTGACAAACTTGACAACTACATTTCTGTAATTCCATTAAAGAAAACAGAATCTAGAGAAAACCAGCTTCAAAGTCAAGGTTGCGTTTAAGAATTTGTCAAGTTCTGGACCCTCTGAAATGATACATAAATAGAGTTAATCTAGTCCTAGGTAGAATTTCTCTCCTCTTGTCGCAAACATTTCCTGCTGATTGAGACATGCAGAAATAGACAGAACAACGTGAAATAGTGTTGGAATCAACTGTATCTTTCATTTCCTTGAATTTTTGAAGGGGATACCGCATTGGTCGATATTAGCAAAGGTTACGTAGTGTAAACTGTACAAAAACGTACATCAGATATTAGCAGTGCAGTTTCTGACAGAATTATCAATTTGTTAAATTATTTTTTTTAAAAGTACAGCGTGGGAATCGTCCAGTGACTGCTTTTGTTTTAGTCTCCGTGCAAAAAAAGAGGAACAAACTGAACTAGAATCGCAGTACGATTTGCAAATATTCAGGGCGGGTCTATTGCAACCTGAATCCACATGTGGGTCGTACAAATTTTTTTTGGGGGTGTCAGCCGGATGTCTAACACATGCAGCATCCCATCACCATGCTTAATAGTATCCAAACCAAACTGAGAATTCCATGCATCCCACCTACACATGGAAATCCCTGAGATAGATTGCTGGAATGGAATGCACACTCTCTAGCCATAAAAAATCGAAGCTCATCAAAGTGGGAGGAACGAAATCCACTACAAACCTGAATTAAAATGCTTCCTCATATTATGTCATCCTTCAGGCAAATTAGACGTGAATTCTTGACCTTTTGAGAAAACGTTCTTCAATCTGGTTCCGACAGTGTGTCGGTTATACGTGAATGACATTTCGGAACAATTGGGATGAAGGAGCACTCAGACATCCCCAGCAGGGAGTGAGGCTCCCAGCAGCTTTAGTGTAGCACTAAAATCTCGCCTGTCCGCGTAATGTAGGGAGGGGGAAGAGGGATGGGAGAAAGCAGGGGCTCAGGGCATTTTTTAACAAAAAAAGTGGTGGGGATTTCGCCTAGGAATTCCTCAGCAGTAATTTCAAAATTCCCCACCAGTATATTGTCCTTCCATAATAATGATGATAATAATAATGAAAGTAGTAATGATTTTGTCGGCAGTCGGCAAAGTAGTCACCTTTTAGGCAGTTTTTACACAATTTTAGGCAAATGTTACAGAAGATTATTTAATCATTAAAGAAGTATGATTATTACTTATTGGATTCCTGCTTTCGTATTTTTCCAATCATTCTCAGGTTTGAAACAAATACATGAATCATTGCTAGAAATCTGTCTTAACGTTTCTGGCTGTGGGATAAAGGTTCCCCTTTGAGTTCAGTCCCCACCAGCGACAATTCCTTAAAAAATGCCCTGGGGAAATCCCTGCAGTAAACATAGTTTACATCTCAGGCACTTTTTCAACTCCATTAAGTATGAGGTTGCTTCAAAATAATCAATTTTATCTACCTCTCTTCCCCAGACAAACTTGAATCGAGCCTCAGCAACTTCTCACTTTCTCTATCACACAACTATGTTGTCACTTTCCGTCATACCTTTCTCTGTTTCTCCATCCTTTTTTTTACGTGCTTCAGCTATAACCATAACTTTTCACTTGGCTTCTTCTGCCTTGTTTTAAGCTGCTCTGTTTTCCATTCTGCCTCCTCTTCTTCACTTTGTTTTGCATTTCCCTGTGTTCTGGACATTGGCATTAAGTGAATAACCATTCGGAAAGTTTAGCACTGTACATTCCTTACACTCTGTAACACACTAAAACCACCACTGTTTGTCCTATTAATATACGTTACTGTGTGCGTAACCGTGGGATTAAGAAAATTAAAGTGATGACTAAATATGTGATGAGAAATCCGTAAAAGTGCACCTCTTCGCTCATTTCATTGTGCCGGTTGTGTTATCTTCTGCTCAGTGGTTCGAAGCGGAGACTACTATCTCTTTGAGACAGACAGTGAGGAGGAGGAGAATGATGAAGAGTCGGTAAAAAAACATGAAGAAGTTCCCAAAAAGTCAGGTTTCCAGGTAATGTTGTGGAGTAATTTTCCTCTGTGTCCTGAAGTTGACATTTGGGTGCTCTGTGTCCGGTTAAGTACATGTAGTTATTTGGGCCTGAGAGTGTGATAGACGTAATAATTTTATATTGAGAATGCCAATGAGATCCCCTTACCAAGAGGTATAACTTATAAATGTAGCTCTGAACATTTAACTAATCTTTTTTATCGTCTTTGTAGGTACTGTACAAAATTCTGCATTAATGTGTATTTTTTTCCCCCAATTTTGAGTCGTTTGCAGGCTCTTGTGTGAAGGGACTGCAATATAGACCAGAAAGTATCAGCATTGACTCCCAGTCTGTGAGCTGATCCTCACCTGGAGCAGCCTACAGTTCGGATACTTGGATTGCCCTTAGAACCCATGCATTAGTATCTCTAACCTTTATCTTCCCTGCTGAAAAATGCGGGGGAGCTGATGTCAGAGGCCCTAGAATTTCACCTTCTCTTAGCCTTAACTCCTTTGTCTTTGTATTGAAAATCTTCAAATTCCGACTCAATTGGGAAGTTGCTTTTTCTGAGCTGTGTTTTTTTTTGAAAAAAGCCAGTTTCCAAATTGGAATAAATCGGAATTTTAAGATTATTCCAAACGTGTGCAGCGCCTTTAAATTATAAGGCAATAATTTTGAGACTATTCCTAGGACTTCCATGTGGAATTAGGAGCCTGAGGTGAGGGCAGCATTGGCCTGTGAATCCTCCACAGTCTTAAGACCTGACGACACTCATTGTCTGGGCTTCCACATGGGCCACCTACCGACCACACATTAGGTTCCACGTCGGCTTAGCCCGTAAGATTATTCTGTCTTGCAATTAAAGATGACGCAGAGACATGCAAAACTCATCAATTCAGTCTTAATTTGGAAGCCAGTTTCTTTTTAAGATCGGTAAAAAAAAGGCTTCCAAAATAAGGCTGATTTTAAGAGTTTTCCTTAACTGTTCCACGTTACATCTCAAGGCAAAATAGTCTTACACAAGGTTAAGATTCGGATGGAATTTTAGGGGCATGTGAAAGGAGGTGGAGTGCTGGGGGTGCGGGGGAGGCAGGGAGATAGAGGAGAAAATTGTATAATGAAGAAAGAAATTGCTTGCCTATGATAACTGTTTGCCTTTGTTGCACCCGATCCAAGCCGACAAAATGGGATGTAAGATCTTCTTCTTGCCGAGTCGAAAACATGAAAACCAAAAAAGGTTTGGGTTAAATCTTTGTTTTCATGTGTGCAAGATATATGAAGAAGAACAGTAAATAATCCCTTACATCAATTTTTGGCGTTGCTTTCGGATCGCTTGTACCCCTGAATGGACATAAATCACTGCAGATATCTGACAAATACGAAGCAGGATTTTGTCAAAGTTTTCGCAGCACGCGATAAGTCATCTTGCTGTATATATGTGTATTTTGTTTTTAAACTACCTACTTTGCTTTATGGTTTCAGTAGCACAGCGTCCTGGTGAGAAAATGTATGACATTCTCACATCCCTCGCTTCCATTCTGCTGAGGTGCAAGATTAATTGAATGGATGCTTAGATAAAATCCAATCAAAATTCTTGGTGATGCTGATGAACTATTGCACTTTCATAATGTTAAAAACTTGATTGTACTCTCATGAATTGCGAGAAATCTGCGGTGTGAAGATATAAATTTGCCGGTGTTATCGCTGTCCTCATTGTTCCCTTTCACTTTTTCCCTTTGTTGCTCCTTCCCCTGAGGACACCACACTAACAGCACTAACTAATGTTCTTTTCACATCTGTGCTGTCTGACTCTCACATAGATTTCAGAAAATAACACGCTTTTTTTTGGAACAACATATCTAAAGCTGTTAGTTTGCAGGGGGAAAGGGTGAGAGGGGAGAAAGGAAGAAATTCTACCCAGTGTCCAGGCTTACACAATTTCCTAGCATTTTGGCGGGGGCAGATTTAGCAAGTTCTTATATTCAGTCTTAATTTCAAAGTTGGTTTTCGGCAAATTCATATAAAAGCCACAAAAGAAATTGAGGGCCGTGTGATAGGAATTTGGCAAATTCTGGACGCTCGAAAGCGATACATAAATAAAGTAAATCCAGACCTGGATGGAATTCCTGTACACTTCATTTAAAGCTTGATGCCATACCCCAGAACTCACCTGTCTCACCCTCCGCTCAATGAACTCTGGCCTGCTCCATGTCCCCTGCACTGCCTGCTCCATCATCAGCAGTCAGGCCTTCAGCCTTTAGGCGCCTACCCTTTGGAACTCTATCCCTTGCCTCCATCAAGGCCCGTCTCAATACCTTCCTCTTCGACCGCGCCTTCAGTCACCCTCCTACTCCCACCCTCTTTTGCCCTCCACCCCTCCTCAACCAAACCACCAGCTTGGGTCCAAATCCTAGACTGTCCATCGCCTTGGGACATTCTCCCGACGTGAAAGGCGCTATACAAATGTAATTTGTTGATGTAGTTGTGATGGGACAGTAAGGGAAGGTTGTTCTGGAGGTATAAGATCAGAACCAGTCTTGTGACTTTTGGCCTTCCAATGTAGACCAGAAATATGCTAACCTCAGGAATAAATGTGACACTTTGAATTTCTGATTTGATTTTTTTCTCTCTTTCTCATTCTCTCTCTCTCTCTCTCTCTCTCTCTCTCACAATACGTTTAACTAACTATCAGACCTCCTCCTCTCTATTAACAATTGCTTCGCTTTGTTCCTTCTTTATAGAGAGCGGCTCGGAAATTTGCTTCAGCCCTGTTAGCCTTGCCAAAGTCTATCCTAAAACTGCCAAAAACCATACTCCAATTGATAGTCAGAGCTGTAAAGGTATTTCTTAGACTTTTCGTGGGTGTGTGCAACAAGCCTCATTCTGTAGTGGTGTCAAGTAACGCAACACAGTACAACCCCTTCACCCTGACAGCCGTTCCATTGCTAAATTTGGATGTGTAAACGTAATTTGAGTGGCCGCCATTTCTCTTTCCGAAATGGTTGCACTGCTTAGTTTCTTTGAAGACTTTTGTCTTTTGAGACGACTCAAAGATATGATAAGGCGCTATATCAAATGCAAAGATTATTGTTATTATTATTTGTGGAGTCCTGTAGCTCAGTGGTTAGAGCACTCGCTTTGCAAGCGAGAGACCTGAATTCAATTCCAGGCAGGGCGAAACCTTGGGCAAGTTTCCTTACTCCACACAGAGCCTAATAATAATCCCTCCAAAACCAAAAACAATAATAAAGATTGGTCATTTTCAATCTACGACTGTTTGTGGGACATTGCTGTGCGCAATTGGCTGCCGCGTTCGCCCACAAATATACAGTCAATTCACTTTGCAGTGTGTTCTGTGAAGCACTTTGGGACGTCCTCCCGACGTGAAAAGCGCTATATCAAATGCAAGGATTATTATTATTATTATACACTCCAAAAGTGTTGCTTTGGAAAAGTCAAAGGGAGAGGGAAGAGAGGTAGAAGGAACAATGCTTTCAACTTCCACTCTCCTCATCGGCAATGCCTGAAGCTAACCCAAAGTCTTGCCCCAACTCCCGAGAGTGCAGTGGGTGTACTGTCCTGCCTTATGTTAGTAGCGCTCTGTCTCATTGTGCAACTGGGAAGTCTCGCTTTTTACCTGCATGATTTATTATTCATTAGGATTGTTCCAGAGGTACACTCAAAACACAAAGGGATTTGAAACCATCTAAAACGCTGAATTGTTTAACAGCAGATTCAAAACAAATCTTTTGCCCCCCCTCCCTCCCTCCCTCCCCCCCCCACCCCCCCAAACAACATTGTGCTTTCCAAATGTATCTTTTGCAACTTTTTGTAAAAAAAACACAATATTGATGAAAGCCCTCACGCAAATGCGCAGCTTAAGTGATCTGCCTCCTGCAGTTATGATAGCAGCCCTATTGCTAAACCTGCAATGAGCACTTTGTGCCTTGAAATCACCATTATTAGTGGCATAGTTGTAACGCCTTTGAAGATGTCACCCAATAATGGGATTTTGCCCGTTATAATCACACATTGCCAAAGGGGCTTTGCATAGCAACCGCCCAGAATTTCAGCCCAAAGTCCCCAATCATCAGCTCCAATGCGATCTCGGATCTGACTCCGTGTGCCGTGGAATACATGGGATTCCCCACCAAAAACACCGTGGACACGACGAGCATTTTTGCCAAACAAACACTCTGTAATTGTGTCACTGAGTTTGTGAAGCCGCTAGAATCAAACCTCTTTGTGCGTAAAGGCTTAAAAATATCCTAAGGAATCACAGAACACCCAAAATAGAACCGGGGTTTGACAGTAAGAGCAGTGCTCAGGCAGATGGGGAAACGGGAATAAGAGATTTAGACTAAATAGTAGGTTAGATCGTTCAATAAGGCGAGGGATTTAAGTAGCAACAAATGGTTGAACCATAATGGATTTAGTATTTGTGCTTCTGAGCTTGTGCATTGCCAGCAATTATATGTCATGCTTGCTCGTAACCAAATCTCCCAGCTTTCACTGCTGTTTGGTGCCCTTTGTACCCCCACAACACCTCTGACTTGCTGTGTTTTTTTGCATGTGTGTGTGGCTGCTACTGGTGATATCTGTTGTCGAGTACAAACCAACCTAGCAATAAAAAAAGGAACATTTGCAATTCCAATCGAATACGATTTTCATGTAACAATTCATGCCAGAGGCAGAAACCAACAGCTAGTTGGTTGAATTATTGCTGCCGGCAAATTATATTCAGAATTGTAATTTACCACTCACTCTTTTATAATTACCCAACAATACTTCAAAAATAAGATGACTGGTATTCCACTGTTTTCTTTTGTTCTCTCACGAAATACGACAATTCTGTACGTACTGTTGTTGGGTAGTGCTGTACTTTGGTATCCAAAAAATCTTGTGAAAGATACTCACAACATTGCATTCCTGCTATTTGTGGGGCAAGGTCACAGTTCAGGCTGACGCTCCAGTTGCTGTGCTGTGGGTGCGCTACATTGTCTGAGGTGCCATCCTTCGGATGAAACACTAAATCAAGATCCCCAAACTTTCCAAACTGCTGTCCGATGAACCACTTGTGACTTTCCTCCTTTTCCTAGTAGATTTGCTTTAGTGATCGGCCATGGGCTGACCGCCTGATCTCAAACCCTGCAAGAATTGTCCCAGTCAGAAAAGATTGGAATCCGTAGCGTAGTAACTAGCATGCTCACCTCGTAAGCGAGGACCCAGGTTCGATTCCCAGGCAGGGCGAAACCTTAGGCAAGTTTCCTTACTGCACATACCTCTGTTTACCTAGCAGTAAATAGGAACATGGTTATAGTCGATTGGTGGATCACTATCCGGGGATAATGATCCTTCAAAAAAATATATATTTGGTCACTCAATCCACGACTGTTTGTGGGACACACCTGTGCCCAAATGGCTGCCACGTTTCGCCCACAAAATAAACAGTCAATTCACTTTACAATATATTCTGTGAAGTACTTTGAGATGTCTCAACAACATGATAAGACACTATAACAAATGCAAGGATTATTCTGCTATTATTATTTTGTTCCCTTCCTGTCCTCAGCCAGAGACAATCTTTTGTTCCTGGCTTCTCTTTGCTGGGAATGGGATGAACTCTGGAAAGCATAGAGTGCAGCAGATCCAGAAACCTATGGTGTATCCAGGGGCCAGAGATTTAGATCAATACCCTTGCTTCCTCTTTCTGTAGTGTTGGCCACAGTTCATTGATAAACCACAGATACGTACTTATATCGTATGTAGATCTGTTCTCTGCTTGCCCATGGATTTAAACCTATTTTGCTGATAGTTGTTGGGGAAGTAAATGCAGACTCCAACCAAGCCTCGATCAAAAGTTGGCATACTATTGAATTTGGCTTCACTTTGAAGCCAATTTCTTTTAAGAAATGTGGAAAACAGTCTTCAAAGTTAAATTCTCAGCCGAGTTCATCTAGAATCAGACGTTAACTTTACCCCACACGTTGCATGTTAGTGCTTTGACGCAGTGCCTGTTTTGTGTACCAGTACAGCACTACCTTCAAAATTGATACTAACATTCAGAAATAAATTGCACAGCAGATTCCTGACTGTTCTTGCTGATCAGCTGAGTGGTTCCGATTTATTGTGGTACCAGTGCTTTCACATCTCTTATGTTCAGTTACATTCTTAGATAGTGGGTCCCTTTCTCTCTGTCTCTCTATCATTGTGTGATTGGTTGTGTATTGCGTTGGGTACTGAGTACTAACATGTAAATTGTCTCCCGCCAGTTTGTTTACCAGACCTGGATGTCCGAGTCAAAATCAAAGGAAAAGAAGAAAGAGCGCAAAAGGCTTCAGAAGGAACGAAAGGAATGGGAATCACGTAAAAAAAGAGAAAAACGCGGTAATGTTTCCAGGACTATTATTTTGTAGCCATGTAAAATACTGCACTGCTCCGTCAAGTATTTCAAGTTCCACCATCCACTGCATTGGTTTTATCAAGTCGGACGTTTTTCTTATTGGGTCATTTTGATTGGATTCAGGGTTGTCTGTCCTTTAAAAAAAAACAGAATCAAAACCACAGTCTACATGCAAATACTGTCTGTCCCTATGAAAGAAAGTGCTATTCTACATTTTCCTTCCATAAATTTCCCGAACTGCTGGTCTAGTTTGGGGGTATCATAATCCCCGGGATTGCCTGTGACTCTCAATGCAAGTAGTCTGATAGAGGGGTCCATAGCCCCGGATGCAGTCCATTCATCTGACTCAGTCGTTGGTCACTTAATAGAAGCGAGACTCATGCTCTTGGTCCACAGGTCAATGCGTTGCATGAGTGATGCTAAACCATACACAGCAAGAAAATCTGTGGCTCTCTCATCTCCAGTGAGTTATGTGATCTCTCCCTCACCCCCCTCTGCCCCAGCTTCACCAATGAGCAATGGTCTCTCAGGTCAGAGACTAAAGAGTTGCTGATGTCTGTGGAGCCCAACCAGTGTTTGAGCCGTTACCCTAAGAAAACAAAGGGAAAATATTAAAGTAAATTGTGGGAGGGGAAAGAGAACATGTAGTGGTCATCGAGATACTATTAACGCTGCAGTTTTCACAGTGAGCACTGTTGTCAGAAGCATACAGAGCTCAGCATCTCCCCTCTCCTTTGTTCAGATCACATTGCCATTGAATGTGAGGAGAATGAAGAACCACCATCAGAAGAGGTGAAGAAGCCAACGAAGGCACCAGGTATGACAGGTCCTTATCTCAGAAAGGAGACGGAGACATAAATCCTTCAAGCAAAGTAACCGCTGAGTTTTAAATTGTGTTTTTGTGTCTGTAAATTTAAGAGGGAATTAGATAGCTTTGGGCGAATGAAGAGACCCATTGAGGTGAGATTAATTGAAGCATATGAACCATATGGGTCAAATTGCGGTGTCCCAATTTAACACAACCATAACAATCACCCAACCCACTAAGTGGCAACACTCTCCTCCAGCTCAGTGCTTCCTTCCTTTCCAGATACTAGTGTCCTCCATTTATATACCCCCTGCAAAGGAATAGTGAGACTAGTTGGGTCAAATGACCTGTTCCCTTATTGTAGCATTCTTCATGACTCTGTAATAATATATAATAATAATCCTTACATATTATTATTGGGAGGATATCCCAAGGTGTTTCACATAATAAATTGTAAAGTGCGAGTGACTGTTTTTTATGGGGAAAATTATAAACAACAACAGCAAAATTATATTTGTAAAAAGTCTTTCACATCGGGAGCACGTCCCAAGATGCTGGACAGATAGTTTCGGACCCAAGCTGAGGGTCGGGGTTAAGGAGGGTGGAGGACAGGGGGGGAAGCAGGGAGATCAAAAGCACGGTCGAAGAAGAGGATCTTGAGATGGGTCTTGAAGGAGGCAAGGAAAGGAGTGAGGCGGAGGGACTGCGGGATGGAGTTCTAGAGGGTGGGGGCAGAGCAGTAGAAGGCCCGCCCACCATTAGTGGGGCGAGCGAGGTGGGGGACGTGAAGCAGGTCAGAGCCCGCTGAGAGGAGGGAGCGAGCAGGATGGTAGCAGGTTAGGAAGTCGGAGAGGTAGCAGGGAGCAAGACCATGAAGGGTTTTGAAGGTGATGACCAGGAACTTGAACTGTATCCTCTGTGTGATGGGAAGCCAGTGGAGTCAGGCGAGGATGGGGGTGATAGGGTCACAGAGCCTAGTGAGGGAGAGGACATGGGCTACAGAGTTCTGAATGATTTGCAGCCTATGGAGGGAAGAGTTAGGGAGGGCGACAAGCAATGAGTTTGCATAGTCAAGCCTTGATGTAATGAAAGTGTGTATGAGGGTTTTGGCGGCCTGTGGTGTGAGACAGTGGCAGAGATGGGCGATGCTGTGGAGGTGGTCTATTCTGTGAAGCGCTTTGAGACGTCGAGAAGACGTGAAAAGCTCTATATCAAATGCAAGGATTATTATTATTAAACATTATTGTTATTGATGTCCGACAGACATTCTGTCAAAACAACTACAAAATTTACATTTATGCAGCGCATTTATATAAAAGAAACATTTTAAAGTACTTTACAGAATGAGATTAGTTAGCAATGAAGTGCATGTTATGCAGCAAACACAACAGCTAATTTGCACCAGCAACAAGGGGATTTTTATTGTATAAATTTAATCTTCATTAGATATACATTTTCCAGTGTTGATCTGCAGAGGAAGCCAAAAGCTTCACATTTCTTGACCAAAACTTTATTTATTCTTTATTTATTCATAGACCGTAAGCCTAACCTGTTCTTTTGACAGAATGTAAGACTAATTGGATCTAAGGAATCAGGGGATCAGTTCCAACAAAAGATGGGGGAAAGATTTATACTAATCTCATTGCTGTTTATGGGACGTTGCTGGCACTAATCAACAGTCACGTTTGCTACAAAGCAATCACTTCATTGTTAAGTAATCTAATTCTGTAAAGCGCATTGAAATATTTCCTTTGTGTAAACGTGCTGCATTCGTTGTTATCGAATTAAGCAGAATTACAAAGAATGCTGCAGTAGAGAAACAGGTGATTCGGCCCAACTATTCTGTGCCAGTGTTTATAGTCCACACAAGTTTACACCCCTCCTAAACCCCTCTCCCATACCCTCTATTCCCTTCTGTCTCAAGTATTCATTAATATATAAGTATATATTGATGTTTTCTGCTTCAACCATAGATTCTGACAGGGAGTTCCTTACCACTCTTAGCATAAAGCTTCTCTGAAATTCCATTTTAAATCTGCTGACAGGTATCTTATATTTAAGAGAATGCTGTAAATGTATATTCTACAATAAATGCTAGCCTAACCAGGTTAATGTCATTTGCTATATTTCTTAGGATTCCTTAATTTGTGTTAGGAGAGAGGTGATCAGTTGATAAAGTACTAAGCTGTCTGTCTCTCAGAGCCTGATGATTGCATAATACAATTTCCATTTAGATAGAACTTTTCACGACAGGAGCACATCTCAAAGAGCTTGACAGTGCTGGCTGGACACCCCGAGTTGGGGGTGGGAGCCAAGGGGAGATTGGGGAGTAGAATGATGACCGAAAACCTGGTCAAGGAGGTACATTTTGAGACAAGCCTTGAACGAGCGGAGGGAAGGGAGGGAGGGAGTTCCAGAGATTGGAAACACCTCTGAAGGTCAAATGTTAGCAGTATGTTTTCATTTGGTGTTCAGTCTTCAATGATCCTCTTTTGTTTTCCCCCCTTTGATTCCCAGATAATGTTATCAAGCGGGTGTTTAATATTCTGAAGGTGACATGGGCCCTCTTCCTAGCCTTGGTGGATAGCTTCACCAAGTGGCTCAACTCAATCTCAAGGGAAAACATCGACATCTCCACAGTGCTGAGGAATGAGAGGTGCATGCTTACCAGGGAAGTAAAGAAGGTAACACCGTTCTTCTTACAATTTGGGGAATTGATCAAAAACCCTTAATCAGCGAAAAGAAATGCTGGCATCTGATGTCTGAGGTTCTGAGCTTCTTGCTTAATAAGTAAACCCATCATTTTTTTAAACCAATTTTTATTTTTTTTGTGGGCACGAGGGGAGATTTAATGTGATTTACTTTTTATATATTAAAAATACAATACGGTACACTGTCCTGGGAAGAGGTTGAGGGAGGGGCTGGGTGAGGGGTCTCTGAGAAAGAGTAGGAGGCAGGGAGGGTAATGCATTTTGTAACTGGTGTAATCCCGCACGAACAAAAGAACATGTGTAACTCAAGAAGAATTTAGCGACAAACGGGGGCCTCCTTCCGATAACCGGATGTGCATCACGACGACTGAAAGTCCGCTCTGGCAACAACAACAACTTGCACTTACATAGCGCCCTCCACTCAGAGGCATGAGCTACTGGGTTGACGGGAATTCAAATGGGATTCCTTATTAAGAAATCCTGTTAAAGAAATGCCGCAAACTAAGCCCCACTGTAGCAAAACTATTGGAATCCATCGAATCCACCAAATCGTAGAATGTTAGACTGTCTGAGAGTATTGTTCTGGGTTTACTTTCTCAAATTGTCAATTGTATATCTCCTGTGAAGTCAACCAAAACACAAACTGCTTTCACTTACTGGAAATCCGGACAGAATGTGTCTTTATCCAGCTTGCATTTGATAGCTGAAACACAATTTAATCATTCCATCACCTGTTGTTGCTCCTTTGTCCCTCTGCTGTAGGGAAACGTCCCAACTCGTGAGAGTATCCATAACTACTACAAGCACCAGATGAAGATACACGGGTCACGGGAATCTGGCTTGAACAAGAACTGTGCTGGTGCCGGATCCTCTGCATTAGCTGTCCGTGAATCAAACCGAGAGGTTGCTGCTCAGAGAATGGACAGCACAGACTCTGTAGCTTCACGTGATAGTCTGTCCAGGTAGATGCTTTTGAGAATCCGCCACTTTCTAATACTTTACTGTTTCTGTTAAACATGTGAAATGTGTGAGAATAATGTTTCGGTTCAGCCATTTTACATCTGTCATTGATCAATTCACAGATTTGAGCTGGGGATGCGAGGGAGCATTAATTAAAGTCTAAGAAAGCCTGAAGGGTTCGCCCACAAAATACGCAGTCTTTACAATATATTTTGTGAGCGATTTGAGAGATTTCAATGATGTGATAAAGGGCTATATCAAATTCAAGAATTATTCTTAATATATTATAAAGTAAATGAATCAGGGGGTATAGTCTACAGACCTCAAACTAGCCAGACTGTCTGTCGTTAACTGAGTTTGAATAGGTAGCTCCTTCTTTTGGTGAATGCTCTTTAAGATAAAGGGCATTAACACTGGTAAAAAGCCATACTTTGTTCTTCTGTGCAGTAATGTCAGTACATCATTTAACAGGTTAGTTGTTGGCTATAGCAAAGTTACATGCGTAGCAAAGTTTTCTCTATAACTTCGCTCCCCCACGAGCCCCCTCCGCATCCCCTAAATAAATGCCCCCTCAGCCTCCTTCTCCCACTTCTGATGAGGGCTTTATTCTGAGTGACAATTTTTCAACCTCAGCTCTGTGTGGCTATGGCTTCCGAGTTAGATTGACAAATTGGGGCAGTTGTGGGCTCATATAATAAAAATAATAATAGTAATAATAATAATAATTCTTGCATTTGGCATACTGCCTTTAACATCAAAAGGACGTCTCAAGGAGCTTCACAGGATATACTATAAAGTGTAGTGACTGTGTGTTTTGTAGACAAATCCATCCAGATCCGGCAAAACTCAGGGCTGAAATTGCCAAAATCACTTAGAGCAATACAGCAAAAGGTTGTGAAAAATATCGGCAATGAAGTAAGTCAATGATACTCCAGGTATTAATTACAAATGTTCAGTCAACACTCAACAGGAAGGGTCACTATGTTAGCTAGACTGTATTCAACTGGAATGCTGACCATTAGCAAGTTGAAGAAAGAAAAGCAAGTTGAGACTTTCTATTACTTAATGAAGAATAAAAGAATAAATGACTGAATGTAGGTATGTTTGTATGTATTTATGTTAGTGTGTGTGTGTATGTCCCAAGTACAGTTATAAGGTTTTGATGGGTTAATTTTGCTAAGTTCATTTATCCATTACTTCAGTTTCTTTCTTAGAACGTTTCAGGATCCCATATGTAACCAAGTGAAGAATTCAGCCCTTTTTAGACAAATTCTCCAGGAGACTATAATACTGGGCTTTTTTTTTGTTTGTGTGTTTTGCTTTTTACTCTGTGTTTTTTTTTAGTTAAACATTAATGTTATTTCTAAGTGTTGTACGCTCATTACACCTAGAGCCTTGGTGATTCCGCCTTTCTTTTTACCTTGTGTGCATGTTTGTGCAGTTTTGTGTCTAATTGCTGTGTCGTTTTTAACTTTTTTACACTGCTAGCTGCTACACTGAAGCCACCATGCTGTTCTCACGGCAGTCAACACTAGATGATATAGATGATATTCCTAAAACAAGTGAGCGTGCTCGACCTAGGCTTCGTAAAGTGTACAGCGTTGATATGTCCTCCTCATCGGTTGAAAGTGGCAGTATAGTGTCAAGGTGCCTCATTCCTGCATGCTTAATTTTAACTAGTTACTTCAAATATATATATATGATATATTGTATTAATATATATATTATATATAAAACACTTGTGCATAAGATGTGCTTGCATGATTCCTACATTCAAACGCAAGGTTGGAGGTTGCAAACCGTGAGCAACAATGCAAATAACTTGTTCCTTCATGTAATACAGGGTGACCAAACAGTCTTAATTTTTCACTTACCCTTTTATCTAAAATAATCATCATTTTGTTAAGACTTATTAGACATTGTAATGGTATCTTGACTTTTTGGTCACCCTGTATATTTTATGTTAGACAATGGCAAATTAATGGGGGTGGGGCTCTTCACCTTTGGAGAGATATTACCACTTGTGCTTTCAAGCTCTGGATTCTTCACCTGCATTTTCGGAGCATATCACATTTGCACTGATTTAGTCTGCAGTTAACAAAGGCTGTTGATTTAAGGAGTCTTTGTCAGGGTACTTGAATCAAGAGCTGCCTTTGTTACACCTGCAGCTTTAAATGAAAAGGATTACATGCCCATTTCCTAAAGGAGCTTGTGTAGAATGTATCCCATTCAAAAATGCATAGGTTGAATCTTGTATTAGAACCAAGTATCTATTGGGTAAAATTTGTAGTGTTCCTTAACTATTGCCCACTGATCAGCAGCAAAACATCTCCAAGTGAATAGTTCATTCCTTTTCAGACCCCAGTGCCCAAAAATGTTAGTGAGCATCTCAATCCACAACTGTTTGTGGGACACTGTTCTGGGCAATTGGCTGCTGCGTTTTGCCCACAAAATATACAATCAACTTTACAGTATGTTCTGTGAAGCACTTTGAGACGTCTCAAAGACGTGATAAGGCACTGTATCTAATGCAAAGATTATGATTATTATTATAACTGATTAAATTGTAAATTGTTGCATGGGGGTGGATAGAGCATTGATTTTCCTCCCTCCACTCTCCTTCCCTTCCCTTTCTTCCCGATCAGATCAACGCTAGAAAATAAATGTTCTACAAAAAAAAACTTCTAGGGCCTAAAATTGACAAAACAAAAACCCTCACTCATTTCTAAATAAAAACGGTGGACATTGGGATCCGAAAAGGAAGAAACCACTTATCTGGAGACGTGTGCTGTCACCCAGTGTCCGTTGATTCAAAAAGGCTGCAGTCTGTATCCCCATATTCAGTGATAGATTTCTTATTGAATGTAAAAAATCTTAATAATTTTTATAAAATGAGTTATCCCACTTTTAACTTTAATGTCTTCTCTAATATTTCTTCATCCACCAACATTTCGGACCCCAATGTCGAATTATCTCTTCCATGGTTAATAAGTCTCCAAACAGCTTGTTTTCTACTTTCATGCTGAATATTTCTTTTTTCCTAAACAACTCTTACATCTCTCCAAAGCTCGAGTTTATCTGAGACCTGAATTGTGCTCCTGTACCTGGAGAGGATCCTCTAATGATTGTGATCCTTCTCTTATTTCTGACCTCCATTCTCTTTCACTCCATCTTAACCATTCCTTTCTCTTTCATTGAAACCATCACTAATGTGGTAACCCATCATCTGAACTATCTGCTGCAAAGAGATTTGTAACCAGTGAATCACTGATGTATCAACACTGGCCAACCATATGGAATTCTACTCAGACGCTGGTCTTGATTCTGTCACCATTGTCCCACATGTCTTTCCTCCTCCTTGCACCTTTTCTCAATCTAAACTCATCAGTCTGCTTCATTCTTTCTCAGGGCTTCAAGCTACTTTCCTCGCTCAATCTTCCCTCTCTCATACAACCTACAGACTTATAGAGCTCAAGCTTAGCATCCATTAACCATTTACTCTTGACTTCTCTTCTTCCTTTGGTATTCTCTTCAGGCTTGTTTGAGTACTGCGCAATGGTGCTTTGGCCCTTCAGGTTGGTTCTGAATAAGAGAAAACTCCCAAATCAATCTGCTTGAACATATTCCCTTTCAGCTGCAACGTGGAGTGACCAGCCTGCTCCTTGGTCTCTCCCAATATTCATCCCACCTTTGACTGCAGCCAAAGGGGTCTAATTTGCACTATTTCTTCACTGGAGTCCTTAATGAGGAATCTCCTTAGAATTCCTGTCAACCAGCGGTGGTCTGGGACATTCCCTTTGGTAAAAAACGGGCATTCAAGTGAAGACCAGGGTATAAGAATTTTCCAAAATTCTAAAAGTTTAAAACTCATGGTCTTTAGCCATGAGATATTGGTGTCTCTGTTCAAACCAGATTGGGTCTCCTGTGATGCCAAGCCCCTATCTCCCTTCCACACTCCGTATGAATAGCTCGCTTGCACTCACCTTGAGCCACTTGAGCAAGGGATGTTTGCTGCAGTGGTTCCAGAGCTCAGTGAGCTTTATTGTTTCAAGAAAAGAAAATGGATGCAGTTTGTAACGCAAGCGATATGAAATGCCATCCAAAGCTACTCTTTTGACCTTGCACAAGTTTTATTGCATTCGTCTCATTTCATTTTTGACGACACACATGCATGAACTGGAGAATATATATACTACATCTTGGTGACTTCAGCATGTGGGATGAATGTATGCATGAAACTGGTTCAAAATACAATGAAGACTTTGTGCTAGCCGAGATTGGCAAAAATCTGTTGCAATCTTTTTGGATGGGGGGACAGAAATGCGACATGTGATATCATGTCAGGTAAGAATTATCACATTGAACAAAAATGCAATCAAAGACAGCCAATAAATATCACCGGCTTTAAGGTTGAAGTCCTCCTTCTGTCTCCCTTGACCTCCCCCACCCACTACCACCACGACCCATCATAGGATCATAGGAACATAAGAACAGGAGGAGGCCATTCAGCCCTTCAAGCCTGTTCCACCATTTAATTAGATCATGGCTGATCTGTACATCAACTAATCCTTTCAATTCCAATTTCCCGCTTTCTCCCCATATCCCTGAATACCCTGTCATACCAAAAATCTATCAACCTCACTCTTGAACGTGTGGATGGATTCAGTATCCACGGCCTTTTGGGGGAGAGAATTCCAGATTTCTACTACCCTTTGAGTGAAAAAAAACTCCATCCCACATGGGCCTATGATAACTACATTACCTTTGATTGCATTCTTGGGCAATAACAATTATCACGGGCGAAACAACAACGACAAAATTACATTTGTATAGCGCCTTTCACGTCGGGAGGACGTCCCAAGGCGCTGGAAACTATCACATGCCGCATTTTTCCCCTCCTCCACCTTGTGTTGAAAAGAAGGTAAATTCCTCCTATCTCGAGGGGAGAAGGTTACGCATCTAACTAATATCTCACGAAAGGGGCAGCGATGGTTTCCCAGCCATAAGATCTTATTGAAATCTCTAACCGCTTCCTTCTCTTCCTTTACTTGCAGTGAGCCAACACAGTGCACAATGTTGTATTCCCGTCAAGGGACCACAGACACAATCGAAGAAGTGGATGACGAGCAGGACGAGGAGGCGAGAGGGGCCATGTACACTGGAGACATCCTGACAGAGGAAGTACCTCCCTCCTACAGTAAAGCTGTAGCCTCGATCGTATGTCTTTTGGCTCAGACTCGGCTGGTGAAAAGCACTTGATGGCACTTACCCCAGAAGACGATAGTGCAGCAGACAGGCTGGAAGACAATATCTTTCCACAGATGAGCCATGAACTGACAGCTAGCGAACTGCTCCTCAACAAGTAAGGCAATTTCTAATGGGGTTTGTGGAGGTTCCATTCTGCTCCCCAATAATAGGCAGTGGAAAATGCCCATGTTTCACGACAAATTCAGTCTGATAATTGTCAGTGGAAATCTGTAAATGAAACATTGTATTTCCCTCCCATTCCCCCATCCAGGTTTCTTTTCACTGAACTTGTTGTTTACAGGCCATTCTGATGTCTAAGCAATTCTCAGTTCACATGTACTGTACTCATGAACATCTGCCCTGCACATTCAGTGAATTCAGCGTGAGACCCGATATGAGATGTGGCCCATAGGAAATAACTGCATCTCATTGCAAGGATTAGTACATAATCTAAAAGCGTGCCAAGAAGATTACTTTCACACTAGCAAATTATTATACTATTATCGAATTAATACCCTCATTTACTAAGGGACATGCCAAATTGTTATTTTTACGTATAGTATTATCTCTCGTTTGCATTTTCATAGATTCGAGCTACAGCGGTCATGTAAACTTGAATTAAAATAATGAATTGCAATAATAAAAATAATCCTTTCATTTGATAGAGCGCCTTATGACATCGTCGAGACCTCTCAAAGTGCTTCAAGAATATACTGTAAAGTGGTGTGACTTTGTGAGCAATTATAATGTTTGTGGTAATTGTAATTATAAAAATAATAATCCTTGCATTTGATATAGCGCCTTATGATGTCACTGAGACGTCTCAAAGCACTTCACAGAATATATTGTAAAGTGAATTGACTCTGTATTTGCCGGTAAAATTGTAAACATAATTGTAATGTCAAGTCTTCTTCTTTCAGGATGTTTTATGACGAAGAATTGGAAGAATCAGAAATATTCTACGGACACCAGCCTCGAATTCTCCTCCTCTTCTTCGCCCTGTACAACACTCTGGTGGCTCGGTCAGAAATGTTGTGCTTCTTTGTCATCATACTGAACCACATGGTCTCAGCCTCGATGATCACCCTGGTGCTTCCCATCCTCATTTTCCTCTGGGCCATGCTCTCTGTACCCAGACCCAGCAAACGCTTCTGGATGACAGCCATTGTGTACACTGAGGTATGCAGGGGGTTGTCCCCTCTGTGTTTTTGTAGTAAAAAAACATTTTAATAATGCATCAAATGTGATTTATATGGGGTTAGGTTATCATTAATAATATGTAGTGATATTAAGTTGATGCAGAGTTGTGGATGATCTGGAGCTTGTGGAGGGTAGAGTTGGGAGCCCACAAGCATGGTAATAGAAAGTGGAATTATACTTGGTGAAAACTCTAGAGGTGAAAAAAGCATGGAGTATTGCCTGTGTCAGAGGATCAAATGAGGGGTCAGAAACTGTTTTTCCAGTTATTACACTAAAAATAAATTTAAAAACAAAAAGCTAAAGTTGCAGAGCCTCCCTGGGAATAGAAAAAAGATTGTCCCTTGCTAAACCAAAAAAAAAGACATTTAGAAGAGAGAACCTATTTCCTCTGATGTGGGAATCCAGAACAACAACAACAACAAGATTCCATTTAGAGAGCACCTTTCACGTCGGGAGGACGTCCCAAGGCGCTGTACAGTTGGGTCAGGACCCGAGCAGGGGGGAAATGGTCAGGGTGAGGGGAGGGAAGGGAGGGAGCGAGGAGGGGGAAATGGTCAGGGTGAGGGGAGGGAAGGGAGGGAGCGAGGAGGGGGTAGAGAGTCGAGAGGGGAGCTGAAGGCACGGTCAAAGAGAAAGGTCTTGAGACCGGCCTTGAAGGAGGAAAGGGAGGAGGCAAGGCGAAGGCACTGGGGGATGGAGTTCCAGAGCCTAGGGGCTGAGAGGCTGAAGGCCCGGCTACCAATAGTAGGGCGGTTGGGGCGGGGGATGTGGAGCAGACCGGAGCCAGAGGAACGGAGGGTACGGGCAGGTGGGTAGGGGGATAGTAGGTCAGAGAGGTAGGAGGGAGCAAGGCCGTGAATGGCCTTGTAGGTGAGGATGAGGATCTTTAACTCGATCCTCTGGGGGATGGGGAGCCAGTGGAGGTGAGCGAGGGTGGGAGTGATGTGGTCGCGGTGTCTGGTGCGGGACAGTACACGAGCTGCAGAGTTCTGAATGACCTGCAGCTTGTGGAGGAGGTGCCGGGAAGGCCGGCGAGGAGAGAGTTTCCATAGTCCAGCCTTGAGGTGATAAAGGCGTGGACCAGAGTTTCAGCAGCGTGAGGGGTGAGGTAGTGCCGTAGTCTGGTGATATTCCGGAGGTGATGGAAGGCGGTGCCAGTTGTGGCGCGGATATGAGGGAGAAAGGACAGCTCAGGGTCGAACAGAACCCCGAGGTTCCTGACTGGCTTTGAGAGGTGGAGAGTGCAGCCTTGGATGCTGATGCTGTCAGCGCCTGAGATGCGGAGGCGCTGACGCGAGCCAATCAGGAGGGCCTCAGTTTTACGCACGTTGAGCTGAAGAAAGTTGTCTCTCGTCCAGGGGGCATAATCTTAAAATTAGAGCTAGGCCATGTCGGAGTGAAATCAGGAGGCACAAAGGGTAGTGGAAATCTGGAACTCTCTCCCCCAAAAGGGTGTGGATGCTGGATCCATTCACATCTTCAGGACTGAGGTGGATAGTTATTTGTTAGGTCTGGGTATTAAGGGATATGGGGCAAGGGCAGGTAATTGGAGTTGAGATGCAGATCAGCCATGATCTTATAGAATGGTGGAACAAGCTGAATGGCCTACTCCTGTTTCTGTGTTTCTGTTGAGAGGGAGAAAAGCCATGTTGTTGTATTGTGTTACTAACACTTTATTGTATTTTTTTGTAGGTAACAATTGTGATCAAGTACTTTTTCCAGTTTGGCTTCTTCCCATGGAATAAAGAAATACATCTGTATATGGACAAGACAGATTTTCCACCAAATATAATTGGCATTGAAAAGAAAGAGGGTTACGTGCATTATGACCTGATACAATTACTTGCACTGTTCTTTCATAGATCCATCTTAAAGGTAATGTTCTGTAATGTCTGTAGTAAAGCATGCAACTCCTCAGTGCTGTGGCCTCTTCTTTTATAGGTACAATACAATACAAATTTACATTTATATGGAGGCTTTCATGTCAGGAGGATGTAACAGAGCGCTTAACAATACTGACTTGGCATCCAAGACAAGGGTAGCGACCGAGAGGGGTGGGGAGGGGAAAGATGACGAAAAGCTCAGTCAAAGAGGGAGGTCTTGAGATGGTCCTTGAAAGAGCTGAGGGAGAGAATGAGTTGGAGGGACTCCAGTGTGGAGTTCTGGAGAGTGGGGGCAGAGCCCTTCCACCAACCCGACAATGATGGAGCAGTTGAGACGGGGGACATGAAGCAGGCTGGTGCCTGCTGAGCAAAGCGAGCAGCTGGGTCAGTGTGGTTTGAGTAGGTCACAGAGTTAGGGTGGGATGAGATCGTGAGGGTGGGAGGTGCCCAGTCCCTCACTCACACACCCTCTGATCCCAAATCAATCTGGTAAAAAAAGAAATGGAAAGTCAAGGCATATATTACTGATAGACTGATAGATTTTTTAAAAAACAGAAGGATTAGGGGATAGGGCAGGTAATTAGAGTTAGGTCTGAAGATCAGCCATGATCTTATCGAATGGCGGGGCAGGCTCGAGGGGCCGAATGGCCTACTCCTGCTCCTAATTCTTATGTTTTTATACAGAAAATGGAGGCACTAGGACCCCGAAAGGAATAACAACAACAACAAGATTCCATTTATAAAGCGCCTTTCACGTCAGGAGGACGTCCCAAGGCGCTGCACAGTTGGGTCATGAATAAACCACCTACTTAATTTGCCACCCGCTGGTGTTCCTTAAACCATTCCTTAATTAAGTTAAGAAATGCTTTAAGGAACTCTGCAAAGTGTACCCAAACCTGTGAGTCTTATGCTAAGGTTGAAAAGTTGATTTTCCTGATATTAAGCAGCAGATAAATAAGATAGCATTTTGTGCGTTAAGACTGAGGTGGATAGATTTTTGTTAGGTAAGGGTATCAAGGGATATGGGGCAAAGACGGGTAAATGGAGTCAAGGAACACATCAGCCATGCTCTAATAGAATGGTAGAACAGGCTTAAGTGGTTGAATGGCCTCCTCCTGTTCCTATGTTTCTATCTTAATTGTTGGTCAAAGTGCATCCTCATGCTTCATGTTGTATTTGATCCCCAAGTGTCATGGTTTATGGGACGAGGATGACCAAGCTGATAAAGCGTCTGATAAGGATGAAATGGAAGAGAACCAACTGCACGAACTTCAGAGGAAGGGCTCTGTGGTGTCTCTAAAGTCAATCAATCTGCAAGCCTCCATGGATTCCATACACGTTCATTTCCCCGAACAGACAACAGCCAGAAGAACGAGTTCAACAGGTTCACAGATTTCCAACAGATCATCATACAGATCCCATCGAGGTACAGTCAAGCGCGTTGGAGACCTAAAGTCCCTCATTGTCTTAGCCCTTAAGACCATTGTCTCTAAACTTAAGATGGAATGTTGTAAAATTCTTTAATTGAGTCTTGATTTGGACAATTAAGGTTTTGCACAATTCTTGCAAAGAAATTAAGACTGAATTGAAGGTTTTCTTGGTCATAATTATGGCCAATCTTAAATGTTGAGGTCTAAAGGCCATGTGGGTAACGAGTTTCAGATGCCCATGCATCTCTGAGGTATGATGAAAAGATGTTTGACATTCGATAAATCACTTAATCTTTCTGAAAATATGCAGGTCCACAAAATAGAATTGCAGCGCAGTTCTGCATGCACTCAAAGTCATAAAGAAAATCGTACCATACTTCATCTCTTTGTGTGGTAATATCAGTAATATCAAGGAGAAACAGAAAAAAAATCTGACTTTGAAGGAGGTAGAAACTGCTCTTTGATCTTACCAAGCTCAAATGTAGTTCAGTTGAAAAGTATCGCCCACAAAATATACAGTCAATTCACTTTACAGTATATTCTGTGAATCGCTTTGAAACGTCTTGAAGACGTGATAAGGCGCTATATCAAATGCAAGATTTATTATTCTTATCAAAATCTCTTCATGGTGACTATTCTCAGTGGGATGAGTTTGCCTGCTTCCAACGCTATATTCCCAGTATTCATCATACAGATCACATAATAAATAATCATAAATATCCCTTGCATTTAATGTAGTACTTTATCATGCCATAGAGGCATCTCAAAGCTCTTCATAGGGTTTCACAGTGATTGTGTTAGCCAATTCGCACACAGAGATGTCCCACAAACATCCATGAAGTGAAATAGTGTTGATAGCACACAGACAAACTGGGTAATGTTCTGTAATGTCTATATGAAACATGGCAACTCCAAGTGCTGTGGAGTTTTCATTTAGAGATGCAATACAATACAAATTTACATTTATACAGAGCTTTTCACATTGGAAGGACGTCCCAAGGCGCTTAACAGTCCTGGCTTGGCACCCAGGCAATCTAGGAAAGGGAGTCAGTCAATAAAGGTGTGGGGAGGGGAAAGATGACCAAAGCCATGATCAAAGAGGAAGGCCTCGAGAAGGACTTTGAAAAAGGTGAGGAAAGGGGCAAGCTGGGATGGAGTTTTAGAGAGTGGGAGCAGATAGGCTGAAAGCCCAATCACCACTTGTGGGGCGGTTATGGCTGGGGACATGAAGCAGACCAGTACCCACTGAGCAAAGGGATGGCTGGTTTGAGGAGGTTATAGAGTTAAGGTGGGGCAAGACTGTTAAGGAATTTGAAGGTTAGGATTAGGATCTTGAATTCCATCCTCTGGGAATAGGGAGCCATTAGAGCTGGGCAAGGAATCCACGACTGTTTGTGGGACACTGCTGTGTGCAATTGGCTGCTGAGTTTCACCCACAAAATATACAGTCAATTCACTCCAGGCTGACACTCCAGTGATAAGGTGCTATATCAAATGCAAGGATTATTATTAAGGAATGGGCTGATAGGCTTATGGAGCTTAGTATGGGGAAGGACTTCAGAGACTTGAACTTGATCCAATCTTAGCCTTAGGACCATTGTCTTAAAATTCTATAATGTGCAGTATTTTGGCACCCAGAAGGCTCCAATTGCAATGCATAAGGAAAACTATGAAGTCATCCAGAGGGGCAAAGCAATGGCAGTAGGCTCATTGGTCACTCAATCCACGATTGTTTGTGGGACACTGCTGTGTGAAATTGGCTGCCGCATTTCGCCCACAAAATACAGTCAATTCACTTTACAATACACTCTGTGAAACACTTTGAGACGTCTCGAAGATGCGATAAGGCGCTATATCAAATTCAAGGATTGTTATGAAACAAAAACAGAAGTCACTGGGAACCCTCAGCAGGTCAAGCAGCATCTATGGAGAAAGGAAAGTGAGTCAACATTTCAGGTCCACGACCCTTCGTCAGAACTGGGGCATGTCGGGAGCGAGGACCTTTAAGGGCTAACATAGAGGGGGGAGGCAGGGCAAGGAAGACAAAGGAGAAAATGGGATAGAGGGCAGGGGGTAATGGGTTAACGAGCTGTTGATGATGCAAAACAAAGGGGTGGGGGGATTGCAACAAAACAGGAGAAAAGATGTGTTAATAATGCAAAACAAAAGAGGTAAAACATTATAACAAAATAGACAGACCAGAGAGAGAAAAGGTGTGTCTGGGACCCAGATGATGCGGTATTGGTAGTATTTTGTATTTTGTCAAGGATTATTATTGCTTAATGAAGAATCTTACAACTGATCAGTGCAACCCAAACACTGGAGCAAATGCAACGATTTGAATTCAAGTAAATCATTTCCCTGTTTTATCTTCCCCCTCGTCCGCCCCCACCCTCTTCTTCCCTCTGGTGGACAACAGGGAGCACTAGCACTCGAAACAGTTACAGCCGGAAAGGAAGTGGCTCAATAAGTGTCCAAGCGAAGAGCAAAAAGGAGATTCTGCTGGAAAAACTCAGAGAGCAAATGATTAAGGCAAAGGCATTTACAATTGCAAAGTAAGTAGTTTAGTTTTGTGTGTCTTCAATAAGACAATGAATCCTGATCTGTCTTTAACAGTGATTTTTAGTACTGCAGACCCAACTGGCTCAGGAACCAGACTACCAAAACTGCTACAGATGGTTGTCTCAATTCCAGCACTCGATTTCCAGGCACATTACCTTGGAGCTTCCTCAGTCCCAAAGAGGTTAAGTTCTCACAGGTTAGCATGAAGTACATGGGGTTGTGGAGGAAACTCACTTTATATCCCAAGGTGCTTTCTTATGGTATCTCTTTTTTTGTCGGTGAGCACTTTTTCAACGCACTCGTTGGCTCAGAGAAGGTAGGCGGTCTCACCTGCACTTCCCTTTTGCTGCACTTGAGTCTCAAAGATGCGATGGAATTTTTACCCTCAGTTGCCTATTTGACTTCTGAAGGCTAACAGTCACATTGTCTTCTACTTTTCAGGACTCTTCAGATCTACGTCCCCCTCAAGCAGTTCTTCTATAACATTATCCACCCAGAGTACAGCGCCGTGACAGATGTGTATGTGCTGATGTTCTTGGCAGATGTTGTAGACTTCATCATCATTATCTTTGGGTTTTGGGCCTTCGGGGTATGTTAATTATTTTTGCATACAGTCACTCCACTTTACAGTATATTCTGTGAAGCACTTTGAGATGTCTCAATGACATGATAAAGTTCTATATCAAATACAAGTATTATTATCTAACTATGTCAGATGTGCAGGTACAATTATCTTTTCAATTCATTTCAAAGGATCAATTTGCATATTTGAACAACAACCACCACCAAAAGATTACATTTGTATAGCGCCTTTCACGTCGGGAGGACGCCGCAAGGCGCTGGACAATGTACAGCATTTCAGACATGAGCTGGGGTCAGGGAGGGAGAAGGGAGAGTGGCTGAAGACTCTCCTGCCAATGGTGGGGAGGGTGGGTCGGGGGACGTGGAGCAGGCCAGAGCCGGCTGAGCGGAGGGAGCGGGCGAGTTGGTAGGGGTTTAGGAGGTCGCAGAGATAGATTGTGAACAATCACAAAGAATGTTTTATTTTTGTCATGGAAACTTAGCATTCCTGCATCACAGCATAAACCCCTCGCTTGTTTTTTTTAACAGAGAATTCGTTTTTACACACACAGTAGGTCATTGGAATTAACATAAGAGCATAAGAAATGCTAAACGCAAAAAAGACCAAGCTCCATGTAGGTCGCCTTCCACCTTCCTGACAGTCGCATGCACATATTTTCCGAACTATCTATGTACCATATGCCATCATGTTATTAGGGTTAGGGTATTGAATACCCTATCAGAAAAAAAAGTTGAAGCAGAATCCATATAGGTTTTAAAAAGAAATTTGATAAATGTTTAAAACTAATGGAACTATTAACGCTATGAGCTATCAACAGGCACATTTTATTTTAAACTGTGATGTGAGGTGTGTTGTGCAAGACAGTAATATCCCCCTTATCTTCTGTTCATTGCTACAGAAATATTCAGCAGCTACCGATATCACATCATCCTTGTCAGAGGATCAAGTGCCAAAGGCATTTTTGGTCATGTTAATAATTCAGTTTGGAACTATGGTGGTTGATCGGGCACTCTATCTCAAGAAGACAGTCTTAGGCAAAGTTGTCTTCCAGGTCATCCTTGTTTTTGGAATCCATTTCTGGATGTTCATCATCTTACCGGTTGTGACTGAGAGGTAAGATCTTGTTTTATTATTAACCAAATAGAAACTCACTTTGCATTCACTTAATTTAATTGTGTTCTTTATTTTACTCCTTAACTATTCTGCCAATCCCACAGCAACCACACATAGTGATAATGCAGTGTTAGCATTGTGAAAGGTTAACCAGGAAGTCACAAGATTGGTTGGGATGAAGAACACCTTTCGGCCCATTTAATCTCATCCTTCCAGAATACCCATCCTACTGTCCTCCCATCCACAGCATCAGGCTGTTTTTTTTATTAAAATGAGTTCAGCATCCTGACCTCAACTACCCTTCCTGGTGCCTTGTTCTATTCAATTACCCGTTCTGTACATAAATATTTCCTGGCATCCGTCCTAAAATATTCTTTTACACCCTTAAACCTGTATCCTTAAGTAATTTAAAAGAGCCGAGCATTTAATAATAATAATAATAATAATAATCCTTGCATTTGATATAGCGCTTTTCACGTCGGGAGGACGTCCCAAAGCGCTTCACAGAACACACTGTAAAGTGAATTGACTGTATATTTGTGGGCGAACGCGGCAGCCAATTGCGCACAGCAATGTCCCACAAACAGTCGTAGATTGAAAATGACCAATTTATTATTGTTTTTTTTTTTTTGGAGGGATTATTATTAGGCTCTGTGTGGACTAAGGAAACTTGCCCAAGGTTTCGCCCTGCCTGGAATTGAACTCAGGTCTCTCGCTTGCAAAGCGAGTGCTCTAACCACTGAGCTACAGGACTCCACTTAATTTAGTTATTTAAATAACTAATATTTACTCCCAATATCCATTGGCTTCATCTTAGTATTAGAAATCAATGCCAGGGCTATTTCTGACTGTTTATCGGGAATATATATTTATATTCTGTTAATACAGAGTGAAAAGTTCAAGCTTGGTCGTTTTTTTCTTCGTAATTTACATTCAGTATTGTATAAACGTGGAGAACATGTAATGCACTGAGAAGGAGCAAGATACTTAATAAACTTACCCGAAATAATGTGCAAATTTATTTATGTATGTATGTGTGTGTGTGTGTGTGTGTGTGTTTTGTTGGACATCATAATTATTTATTTTTTTAAAAATCTGAATTTTTTTTTCCTCTTTGTCTTTTTCTTACAGAAAGTTTAGCCAAAACACCGTTGCCCAACTTTGGTACTTTGTTAAATGTGTTTACTTTGGGCTGTCAGCGTATCAGATACGCTGCGGTTACCCAACTCGTGTGCTCGGTAACTTTCTCACAAAGAGTTACAACTACATCAACTTGTTCCTCTTCCAAGGGTAGGAGAAATTTGTGGTACAATACTATACTGGTTTACATTTATACAGCACCTTTGTCTGAAAGTTTAAGATTGTATGGAAAAGTTGGAAAATTCTTAAATTCAGCCTTAATTATGGAAGCTGCTAACTTCTTAAGAATTCAAGAAAAACTGTTTCTGAATGGAACATTCAAAATTTTACTCAACTTCACATGCTAGGGAGTTATTTCATAGAACAGTGTTATTTCCACTGGTGAGTCAATGACTAGATAGCATCGATTTAAGATTATTACCAAAAGAGGAGATGGTGGAGCAGGCGAGGCAGGGAACGTGAAGCCTGCTGAGCGGAGGAAGCGGGCAGGTTGGTAGGGGGTTAGTTGGTGGCTGGGGTAGGGAGAACCAAGGCCATGGAGGGCATGGAGTCAGAACTTATCCATCATCCACAATGTTTCACAAGCAAATATTTAGCCAGATCTTTAAAACCATGTGCTTTAGTTTCATGGCAGCCACCAAAGCCAACCTACTATAGTTCCGTCTCACTCCATTTTAAAGTTCTTTGATCGGGTGCCTGTGATTGTTTCTCTCTCTCCCAACAAAAATTAGGCAAAAATAAATTAGAATTTTTTAACAAATCAAAATTGTAACTAATGCCCAGTAATTTGCATTGACATGTTTGAATGGATTTGACGAGAATTAATTCATAATGAGTGTATGTGGGATTTTAATGCCTGTTTAATCCTGGGGCAATTTGATCTCCTGACCAGATTCCGGCTGGTGCCATTCCTGACTGAACTCAGAGCGGTCATGGACTGGGTCTGGACGGACACCACTCTCAGTCTCTCCAGCTGGATCTGTATCGAGGACATTTACGCCCACATCTTTGTCCTGAAGTGCTGGCGTGAATCAGAGAAGGTAAAGGAGCACGATCCACATCTGCAAAATTATACTTTAAATCTGACCAAGTTCTGCGATTGGATATTTTTTTGTTCAACAACAACAACAAGATTACATTTGTATAGCGCCTTTCACGTCGGGAGGGTGTCCCGAGGCACTGAACAGTGTACAGCATTTCAGACCCGAGCTGGGGTCAGGGAGGGGAGGGGAAGGGAGGGGTGTGGAAGGGAGGGGAGGGGAAGGGAGGGGACAGGAAGGGAGGTGACCAATGACATGGGCGAAGAGGAGGGTTTTGAGGCAGGATTTGAAGGAGGCTAAGGAAGGGGCGAGGCGGAGTGACTGGTGGATGGAATTCCAAAGGTTGGGGGCAGAGTGGCTGAAGGCTCTCCCGCCAATGGTGGGGCGGGAGGGTTGAGGGACGTGGAGCAGGCCAGAGCCGGCTGAGCAGAGGGAACGGGCGGGTTGTTAGGGGGTTAGGAGGTCACAGAGGTAGGGTGGGTGGAGGCCATGAAGGGCTTTGTACATGAGGACCAGGATCTTGAACTGGATCCTCTGAAGGATAGGGAGCCAATGAAGTTGGGTGAGAATGGGGGAGATGGGGTCACGGAGTTTGGTGCAGGAGAGGACACGGGCTGCAGAGTTCTGGATTACCTGCAGCCTGTGGAGGAGGAGTTGGGAAGGCCGACAAGCAGCGCGTTTGCATAGTCGAGCCTGGAGGTGATGAAGGCATGAACAAGAGTTTCAGCGGCCTGAGGGGTGAGGTGGTGGCGGAGTCGGGCGATGTTACAGAGGTGAGGGAAGGCAGAGTGGGTCATGGCTTGGATGTGGGGAAGAAAAGACAGTTGAGGGTCGAACAAGAGACATTGGTTCCTGACTGGCTGGTGAGTTGTAGTGTGCAACCATGGAGGTTGATGCTGCCAGAGCCTGAGGTGCAGAGACGCTGGCAAGAGCCAATCAGGAGGGCCTTAGTCTTGTTCACATTCAACTGTAGGAAATTTGCCCTCATCCAGCACTTGAAGTCTGACAGGCAGATGTCAGGACAGTACAACAACAACAACAAAATTACATTTATAGAGCGTCTTTCACGTCGGGAGGACGTCCCAAAGTGCTGAACAGTCAGGTGTCGGGGCCCGAGCATGGGGGAGGGGTGGTGTAGGGGTGAGGGAAGGCAGAGAGGTGGGAGGGAGACCAAAGGCACGGTCGAAGAGAAGGATCTTGAGACCGACCTTGAAGGATGCAAGGGAGGAAGCGAGGCGAAGGGACCGTGCGATGGAGTTCCAGAGTGTGGGAGCAGAGAGGCTGAAAGCCCGGCCACCGATGGTAGGGCGGGTCGGGCGGGAGACATGGAGACTGATGAACGGAGGGAGCAGGCAGGTTGGTAGGGAGTCAGCAGGTCAGAGAGGAAGGAGGGGGCAAGGCCATGGATGGCCTTAAAGGTGACGACAAGGATCTTGAACTCGATTCTCTGGGGGATGGGGAGCCAGTGGAGTTGAGCGAGGGTGGGAGTGATGGGTTCATGGAGCCTGGTGCGTGAGAGTACACGAGCTGCAGAGTTTTGGATGATCTGCAGCTTGTGAAGGGAAAAGTTCGGAAGGACAATGAGGAGGGATTTCGTGTAATCGAGCCTTGAGATAACGAATGCGTGGGTGAGGGTTTCGGCAGCCTGAGCCGGAGCTGGCAATGTTGCGGAGGCGGTGGTAGGCAGTGCCGGTCATGGCGCAGATGTGGGGGAGAAAGGACAGTTCAGGGTCAAACAAGACACCCAGGTTCCTGACTGGCTTAGTGAGGTTGAGTGTGCAGCCATGGAGGCTGATAATGCTAGTGCCTGAAGTGCGGAGGCGCTGGCGCGAGCCAGTCAGGAGGGCCTTTGTCTTGCTGATGCTGAGTTGGAGAAAGTTGGCCCTCGTCCAGGACTTGATGTCGGACAGGCAGTCGGTCAGGACCCCAGTAGTCTTGGAGTTCAGGGAGGCAGAGAGGTAGAGTTGGGTATCATCCGCATACATGTGGAAATTTACCCCATGTCTGCGGATGACGTCACCAAGGGGGAACATGTAGAGGGTGAAGTGGAGGGGACCGAGGACAGAGCCCTGAGAAACACCGCACAAGACAGTGCAGGGGCTGGAGGAGAAACCGTTTGCAGAGATGAAGTGGAGGCGATGTGAAAGGTAGGACCTGAACCAGTCAAGGACACAACCTTGAAGGTTGAGGTGGGAGAAGAGGCAGTAGAGGAGGATTAAAGTGGTCCACGGTGTCAAAGGCGGCGGAGAGGACGAGGAGGCAGAGGGAGCCCTGGTCACACATGGTCAGGATGTCGTTTGTAATCTTGACCAGAGCAGTTTATGTGCTGTGGGCAGCACAAAAACCCAATTGGAGGGGTTCATGGAGCGAGTGAGAGGAGAGGAAAGAGCAAAGCTGGGAGGCAACGGCTCTCTCAAGGACCTTGGATAGGAAGGGGAGATTTGAGATGGGCCGGTAGCTAGATAGCTGTGGTGGGTCGAGGGAAGGTTTTTTCAAGGTGGGGGTGATAGTGGCTGTTTTGAGGGGGGAAGGAACAGTGCCAAATGACATGGAGAGGTTAATGATGTCGGCAAGGAGGTGGAGCTGGGATTTAAGGAGAGGGGTGGGGATGGCGTCGAGGGAGCAGGTGGTGGATTTCATGGAGGTTACCATGTTGAAGACAGAGGAGAGGGTGACAGGTTCAAAGGTATGGAAGAAGGGATGGGTAATTGTCGGATGAGTAATTGTGTGGGGTGGGGGAAGGGAGGGGTTGGAAGTTGGGAGGGCAGTGGCAGCTGAGCGGATTCCCTCGATTTTGGACTCGAGGAAGTCCAGCATTTTCTCGCAGTGAGAATCGGAGGAAAATATCTGCGAGGCGTGTCGGGGAGGGGGGTAGGAGCCGATTAGTGGTAGAGAACAGGAGCCTGGGATGGCCTTTCGCCTCCAGGATTAACCTGGAATAGTAGTGATCCTGAAGTTGAGGACGGATTGAAAGATAGAGTTCGGTGTCATCCGCATACATATGGAAGTTGACCCCATGTCTGCGGATGATGTCACCAAGGGGGAGCATGTAGATATTAAAGAGGAGAGGGCCAAGGACAGAGCACTGGGGGACGCCAGAAGTGACAGTGCGGGGGCTGGAGGAGGAACCGTTAGAGGCAACAAAGTGGAGACGGTGAGAGAGATAGGAATCGAACCAGGCAAGAGCAGGTCCGCAAAGATTAAGTAAAGAGGAGAGGCGGTGTATGAGGATGGAGTGGTCGGCAGTGTCGAAGGCGGCAGAGAGGTCGAAGAGGACAAAGAGGCAGAGGGAGCCCTGATCACAGATGTTCTGAATGTCATTAGTGACTTTTCACATTAATAGGCTCAGACCGGCTTACACGCTACGTGGACATCTTTGGCAATGTGACTGGGCTCTACCATGCCCCCTGGTATCCTTGTCCAGCTAACAGTTGCCCACTGTGTGAAGAAACAATTCCAGATGTCTGTCCTGAAATTGTTCTTCACAATCTTGAGCCTCAAACCTCTTGTTCTGCTTCCTTGGTGTATCCAAAAGTAATTCACGATACCAAGATCACTCGAGAGGAGATCCAGTGTAACTATTATTTGCATCTAAGTTTGTCAGGTTTTCAGAAGCACCAAAGCACAAAAGTTGTTATAAGGAATTATAATCATATATTCCATTTACATCCAAGCCAAATCATTGGTCTTGTTACAATCTCCTGAATTGCTCTAACATATATCGTTAGGGTTTACTTTCTCATTCTTATTTAGCAACTGATAACAACAACAATAAAATTACATTCCCTTTCCTGTCCAAGGTCCTGGAACGAGTTGTCGCCTCCCAGCTGCGCTCTTTCCTCTCCACCCATTCAGTATTTGAACCCCTTCAGTCGGGTTTCCATGCTGCCCTTAGCACAGAAACTACCCTGGTCAAGGTCACCAATGACATCCTGACCATCTGTGACCAGGGCTCCCTCTGTCTCCTCGTCCTCCTCGACCTATCGGCAGCTTTCGATACGGTCGACCATGCTATCCTCCTCCACCGCTTGTCCTCCCACCTCAACCTTCAAGGCCCTGCCCTGGTTTAGGTCATACCTCTCCCACCGTCTTCACTTTGTTTCCACGAATGGCTTTTCCTCCCCCCCCCCCCGCACTGTCTCGTGCGTTGTCCCTCAGGGCTCTGTCCTCGGTCCCCTCCTCTTCACCCTCTATATGCTCCCCCTTGGTGACATCATCCGCAGACATGGGGTTAACTTCCACATGTATGCGGATGACACCCAACTCTACCTTTCCTCCTCTACCCTCAACTCCACGACCACCGATGTCCTAACAGCCTGCCTGTCCGACATCGAGTCCTGGACGAGAGACAACTTTCTTCAGCTCAACGTGCGTAAAACTGAGGCCCTCCTGATTGGCTCACGTCAGCGCCTCCGCACCTCAGGCGCTGACAGCATCAGCTCCGCACTCTCCACCTCTCAAAGCAGCCAGGAACCTCGGTGTTCTGTTCGACCCTGAGCTGTCCTTTCTCCCTCATATCCGCGCCACAACTGGCACCGCCTTCCATCACCTCCGGAATATCACCAGAATATGGACTACCTCACCCCTCACGCTGCTGAAACTCTGATCAATGCCTTTATCACCTCAAGGCTGGACTATGGGAACTCTCTTCTCACCGGCCTTCCCGGCACCTCCCTCCACAAGCTGCAGGTCATTCAGAACTCTGCAGCTCGTGTACTGTCCCGCACCAGACTTCGGGACCACATCACTCCCACCCTCGCTCACCTCCACTGGCTCCCCATCCCCCAGAGGATCGAATTCAAGATCCTCATCCTCACCTACAAGGCCATTCACGGCCTTGCTCCCTCCTACCTCTCTGACCTACTATCCCCCTACCTACCTGCCCGTACCCTCCATTCCTCTGGCTCCGGTCTGCTCCACATCCCCCGCCCTAACCGCCCTACCATCGGTGGCCATCCTTCAATCTCTCAGCCCCTAGGCTCTGGAACTCTATCCCCCAGTGCCTTCGCCGCCTCCTCTCTTTCCTCCTTCAAGGCCAGTCTCAAGACCTTTCTCTTTGACCATGCCTTCAGCTCCCCTCTCGACTCTCTACTCCCTCCTCGCTCCCTCCCTTCCCTCCCCTCACCCTGACCATTTCCCCCCTGCTCGGGTCCTGACACAACTGTACAGCGCCTTGGGACGTCCTCCCGACGTGAAAGGCCCTCTATAAATGGAATCTTGTTGTTGTACATTTGTATAGTGCCTTTCACGTTGGGAGGATGTCCCAAGGCGCTGGACAGCCAGTGTTTTGGACCCGAGCTGGGTGTCGGGATTGCGGAGGGTGGATGGCGGGGGGGAAGCAGGGTGGTTGAAAGCACAGTTGAAGAGGAAGGTCTTGAGATGGATCTTGAAGGAGGCAATGGAGGCAGCGAGGCAAAGGTACTGCGAGTTCCAGAGGGCAGGGGCAGAGTAGCAGAAGGCCTGCCCGCCAATGGTGCCTCAATTAGGTCCCCAATAAGGTACCTCTTTTTGAGGCTGATTCGCCCTGCTTATCTGGTTTTACCTTGTGGATCATCCTTTTAAAACTAGGCATCATTTTTGTTATTCTTTTCAATGCCTCTAAGGCTTGGGTATAATAACTGTGGTTGGACTAAATCTGTGTTCAAGGATATGATGCCTACAAATACACAGTCACTACATTAGACAGCAATTCCTTAAGAAATATTTTAAGATAGTAATCTTAACATCTCAGAGTGCTGCACACTCTTTTATGTAAAGTGTAATGCAACAATCATAAAAAAAATTTGTATAGGGCCTTTCAAATCTGGAGGGTGTCCCAATTCGCTGACTCCCAAGACTGCATATTTCTAGATAAACAAACAGCCCATTTTCACATAGCAGTATTCCATAAACAGTGATGAAGTGAATGAACAATTCATCATGAGGATTGTCAACCAGGACACCGGGAGAAACTCCCTTTTCTTTTGTAATGTTGCTTGCCATGTGTCTCATCCAAATGATGGCCCCTCCAACAATACAGTGCTGACCCCAGCTCTGCACTTGAGTGTCAGGTGGCACTTGTCAACATCGAGCTTTGTCCTGTCACTGTAAGAGGTGTCACTGGTGGTTTGTCTTTCATTGCAGAGGTACCCTCAGCCACGTGGGCAGAAGAAGAAGAAGGTAGTGAAATACGGCATGGGCGGCCTTATTGTCTTCTTGTTGATCTGCATTGTCTGGTTCCCGCTTCTCTTTATGTCCCTGATCAAATCTGTAGCTGGTGTGATTAACCGGCCTGTGGATGTTTCTGTCACAATGACTATTGGAGGTTACCAGGTAAAAATTAAACTCTCTTTACTGCCTCCCAGTACTGCCTTCTGTTTCACAGAAAAGAAATAAGGAGAGGTTATTTTGTTAATATTGTACTAAGTTTGCATTGCAACCAAAAGTGGAGCCGGGAAGTGGGGGGTGGGGGGGGGTTAAAGAAAGTATTTTTTGCATGGGAGATGTTCACAATGTGGAATTCTCTGCCATAAATAATTTTAAAAGAGAATTGAATAGATGCATTGAACTGAGTATGGGGAGCAAGTGGGATTAGGATATGTGAGGACAGAAGAATACCAGTATAGATGGGCAAAATGGTCTGCTTCTATCATGTAGCATTCTATTTGTTTTATTCATGTGGTAAGTAGCAAAATCTGTTGTATCAAATGCTGAATTTATTTTCCAAATTTGTTATTAAAATGAACAAAAGCAAATCACATTCTATCACCAACCTCATGGAGGGAGGGAGGGATGGAGGGGAGGAGGAATGGATTCAGGGAGGGATGGATGGAGGGAGAGGGAGGGAGGTTTGAATGGTTTGTCATTTTTTTTACAGCCCATATTTGTAATGAGTGCCCAGCAGAAACAACTGAGGAATTGCACTGATGAAGATTACAGGAATCTTAACCAGAGATTTAAATACAAGTCTGTAAGTCCATTTTTTGTTTCCCGTCAATTTATGCAAATAGATCAATAGGGAAACATCAGTGGCCCAACAGTTCTTAGGATGACAGGTTGAAATGTTAAGACTGTTGTATATTACAGAAAACTCTTAAATTTAGTCATAGTTTGGAAGCCAAACTGTAGAAAATTAGCTGTACACATTAAGATTGAATTTAAGAAATTTTCTGACCAGCCTGGAATTTTAAGACAGGCTGACACTAGGTGGAATTTCAGTCCTTTGGTTAATGTTAGCTCCATTGCACCACTGTGCAGTTGGCCACCTTTCCCTTTCCCCTCCACACACCCACAGCAAACAATAGGAAGTTTACACATCATGCATAATGGGTGCTCACCTGTCCTCTGGCCAGTTTCAGCCATTATTTCGAGGCTTGCAGGCTTATGCAGTGCAAGAGGTGCATTGTGTTATCAGAGGTGCCATCCTTTGGATGAAACGTTAAACTGAGGTCCCATACATGTCTGTTTAGGTGGGCGTTAAAGATCCTATGATCCTATTCGAAACATTTGGTGTCCTGGCCAACAATCCCCCAGATAAGTTTGATCATTCACTTCAAAACTGTGGGTGAATTTAGCAGCCAATTTGCACAAAGCAATGTCGCATAAACACAGTTCATACAGCCACTGCCCTTTAAATTCCTATGAAGGGTTTTGAGATGCTATTGACGTGATGAAGCCTGTATGTTAAATGTAAGGATTATTATTATTTGCCTCTTTGCCATCTGAAAATGGAGACGTGGACATCGTGGTGGAATGATAGAGTTAATTGCGCCTCCTTCGTTTCAGGACGCTATGCAATTTCTGGAAGCGTATTTGAAAGAAGACATTCTGATTGTTGAACTTGAAGGCAATTCAAACACTCTTTGGACGATTAGTCCACCGAGTCGAGCGAAGATGATCGAGGTGTTAAACGATAATACATCAACGGTCCACTTTGTCATTTCTTGGATTGTTCAAAGGTAGGTTGACTCAAAACGTACCATCTTTACCCTGGCTGAAAACGTGAGACTTGAACTCCCTGTCTGAACATTAGCCTGTTCTTTTTTACTCTCTGGGATTAGATAAGAAGGATGCATCCCTCCAGGGAGAGAGTACACCTACTATTCCTGAGACTCTCAATCTGATTTTGGTTACTGTTAACGCGGTGGTGGGCTTCCAACAACAACAACAAATTAAATTTGTACAGCAGCGCCTATGACGTCAGAAGGACGTCTCAAGGAGCTGGACAGTCCGGAAATTTCCACACGTGTAAGACATCCAGCTGACCAAATAAAAAGATAATCCACGTAGGAATGTTATAATTTAGACGGCAGTTTCTTTCCTTCCCCACGTATCCACCAAGGTTTTTTCCATGTAAAGTGTGTTTTATAATAAAATTTTCCACACTTTACATCTTGCAGAAATCTCGATCTCGGTGGAAAATCAGAATTAGCCTCTGATAAAATGTTGTTCGAGATACCAACAAAGACTAGAAGCGCTCTGGCCTCAATGATGAAAGAACAAAACCCCAAAAATGTGTAAGTCTCTCGCATTTTCCTTTTGTGCTCATGTCAGTTCATTGAGTCTCCCACGGATGTCATAGGAAATCTATGGAACAGGCTCCCCAGTGAGACAGTGGAAGCAGAAAATGTCGATTCTTTCAAATATGAATTAGGTTTATTTTAGGTAATAATATTCTGGGATACAATATATGATTAGTTCAGGACATGACATGTGCACACGACTGCCAGGATGGTGGAAGGCGAACCTGATGGACCTTGGTCTTTCCTCATCAAGCGTTTTCTATGTTCCTATCTCTCAGCTTTAAGACCATCACCATAGTTTTTAAAGTTACTCGGAAAACCTTTTTTAAAAAAAATTCTTAAATTGAGTCTTAATTCGGAAGCTGGTTTTCTGCAGCCTTGTGCGAGGGTTGTTGGCCTATCAACAACTACATGTTACCTTTGTATAGTGCCTTTCAAATCCAGAGGACGTCCCAAGGCGGTGGATAGCCAGGCATTTGGACCTGAGTTGGGGGTTGGGATCAGGCAGTGGTGGAGGGCAGGGAGATGGGGATAGGAACGTGACCGAAGGCATGTTCGAAGAGAAGGGCCTTGAAGGAGACAAGGGAGGTGGCAAGACGAAGGGACTGTGGGATGGAGTTCCAAAGGGTGGGGGAAAAGAAGCTGAAGGCCTGATCGCCGATGGTGGGGCAGGCTGGGCGGGGGATGCGGAGCAGGGCAAAGCCCACTGAGTGGAGGGACTGGAATATCACCTAAAATAGAGATGGTGTGCAGTACAGAAGGGAAAAGGGTGAATAAAATAAAATCACTCAGTAACAAGAAGAGATATCAAAGCATCAACATAAAGGCTTGTTCTTCCTTAGCCCAGATGTGAAGAATTAAAAAAAAGTTTGTTGCCCCAATTTTCGCATCATTTTAATATTGACTTGCTCCAAAAATCCTATGTTTTAGTAGACGGTATGAATAAATCGTCTGTATTTTTGCAGGATACTTGAAAGGGTATTCCCAAACTACATTCGGGCAACCAGTGGTTCTAGCGCGAGTTTTGTGCCGCAACTTTTCTCAAGTAAGTGTTATGTACTGAACGTCAGTCTGGCTTCAGTCAGGAGCACACTCATCTCTGAGTCAGAAGGTTGTGGGTTCAAGCCCATCACTGGGACTTTGAACTCACAATGACGAGGCGGACACTCCAATGGTGTCCTTTGACTGGATGTTAAAGATCCCATGGCACTATTTGAGAAGGGAAAGTAGCCCCCCATGTTCTGGCCATCAATCCCGCAAACAAAATTCACTGTTCACTTTATGGCCATTTGTGGGAAATTGTTTTGCGCAATTTGGCTGCTGCTTTCGCCTTCAAATAAATGCTCAGTACATATTTCACAGTAACAATTTTGTGAAGGACTTTCAGACCTTTCATCAATGTGATAAAATTATATCAAAATGTAAGGGTTAATACATCATTGTAAAACATGAACCGACCGCCCATCCTATAGCTCAGTAGCTAGAGCACTCGCCTCGCAAGCGAGAGGACCTGGGTTTGATTCCCGGGCAGGGCGAAACGTTGGGCAAGTTTCCTTACTCCACACGCGTCTATTTACCTAGCAGTCCATAGGAAACCCGTTTTTAGTCAATTGGCAGATCGCTTTTCCAGGGGTAATAAATCCCTTAAAAAAAAAAAATAATAATAATTTGGTCACTTAATCCACGACTGTTTGTGGGGCTGCAACTGGCTGCCGCGTTTTGCCTACAAAGTATGCAGTCAATTCACTTTACAGTATATTCTGTGAAGCAGTTTGAGACGTCTAGAAGATGTGATAAGGCCCTATATCAAATGTAAGGATTATTAATATTATTATTATTGGTCTGGACCTGAAGATGTCTATCTTGTTGTGGGATGTGGCAGCTGCAGGTTAGCTGCCCACAATGGTCACTGCACTTCAAAGTAACTCATTGCGTGTAAGGCTTTTGAGACATTCCCAGGTGATATGTGCTGCATTCGAATTGCAAAAAGGAGCTAAACTAAAAGTGTAAAATATTACTATTATTATTGCTACCTCTTTTGCAAAGAATACAATGAACTTTCCTCACCAGGTAAACTTGACTACCGGAATCTCAGTGTACAACTGGTTCAGGATAAGAACACCACAGAGAGTGTCCGGGAATGGTGGAATGTCAATCAACTGAACAAGGTGGTCATTGATAATGTGAGCACCAGCATCGAACTTTTTGTATTCAGTGATCGAGTCAGCCCTCCAAGTCTTGGGTTTCTCGCTGGATATGGGTAAGTGTAAAACAATAGCGGTTTGACGGCTTTGCACATAAAGCATTGGGTCACTTATGAGGGACAGGGAGAAGTGTTTTTCTTTGAAAAATGCTTCTTTGAGGCCTTTGAAATGAAAATTGGGAATACCTCATCGAATTGACCTCAAGAGCTTCGCCCCAGATCACACATACAACATACACACAGAACCCCTATACACACACAGCCCCTGAACACACTAAAATCACACACACACAGAATCCTTACACACTCGCACAGCCCCCACACTCATGGAACCCTACATACAACTCCTTACATATACACACGTGCACAAACCCAAATACAATCCTGTACACATATAACCCCCAAACGCACACAACCCCACGTACATATACAATATAAACCCCACATACAAACAAACGTGCACATTTAATGATGCTCCCCCCCTCCATACACACATACACACACACCCACACATACAAACAAATCACTGATCCCACATTTGCAAAATAACAACAATATAATAATCCGATTGCATCCGATTAAATCTGATTACGTTTAATGGTCTTGCTCCCCCCTAGCTCTGCGACCTCCTAACCCCCTACCATCCTGCTCGCTGCCTCCGCTCAGCAGGCTCCGGCCTGCTTCTCGTCCCCTGCCTCGCTCGCCCCACTATTGGCGGGTGGGCCTTCTGCCACTCTGCCCCCACCCACTGGAACTCTATCCCGCAGTCCCTCTGCCTCGCCCCCTCCATTGCCTCCTTCAAGACCCGTCTCAAGACCCTTTTCTTCGACCGTGCTTTCGATCTCCCTGCTTCCCCCCCCTGCCTCCACCCTCCCCGACCCTGACCCCCAGTTCGGGTCCGAAACTCTGTCTGTCCAGTGCCTTCGGACGTCCTCCGGATGTGAAAGGCGCTTTACAAATGTAATTTTGTTGTTGTTGTTTAACGATTGATCAGTTTACCTTTCCAGGGTCCAGTTCTCTTTCTTTGTTTGATGCTTGACTTTCATTCCTTTTCAGTATCATGGGTATGTACGCTTCAGTGGTGCTAGTGATAGGGAAGTTCGTGCGTGAGTTCTTCAGCGGCATTTCCCACTCCATCATGTTTGAGGAGCTGCCGAATGTGGACCGAATCCTGAAGCTGTGCACTGACATCTTCCTGGTGCGAGAGACCGGGGAGCTGGAGCTGGAGGAGGATCTTTACGCCAAGCTCATCTTCCTGTACCGATCGCCGGAAACTATGATCAAATGGACGCGCGAGAAGACAAAGTGACCGCCTCCGTTTCAGCCGAGGCGCAGTAGTTTTCTTTTTTCTTAACAAAAAAACTTACAATTAAGAAAGAGAGAGAGAGAAGAGTTAAAAGAAATAAAGCACAATATTAAGCAGAAAAGCTGAGCTGCTGCTACGCGGTAAGGTATCAGATGCTTTTCTTGGTGGGAAGTCACAGGCGGTCGGTCGTGTGTGAATTCCTCAAAAGTACCTTTCTTGCCGACACAGGCATTAAAGACTGGATGTGGATATACTATACTTATTCAGGACCAGGTATGGAAACAATGCTGCATTGTAACTGGATCAAGTTTTGTTTCATTGTTGTCGGCCAAGTCCAGGGCTTCCTCAAAGTTCACCTTCCTGTGGACATCGGCTTTTGCCCTTCATTTTTCTCTTTAGTACAACAACTTGTATTTATATAGCGACCCTCCCACAGGGTAGCTTCCACAAAGCACTTGGGAGTCCTCCATGACCTCGGACAGCACAATACACTGTCATGACAATCCAAGTTCCTGAACAACGACAAATAGCGAGGACACGACCTATGTGTGAATTCCTGGCTGTCCGAGGTCTCTGTGATGATGTACGCCTGCGCTGACTGGCACGAACAAGGAAAAATAAGTGGACAATCTGTCTGAAATGCCTTATTCTACTTCTACAGCCGACTGAAAAAAAGTTATCAATTTTGTCAGTGACCTTTCTCAGGGGAAAAAAAAAGTTCCTTCGTCAAAGGCTGTTATTGTTTCTTCTGCATCTTCATTTGCATTATGTCGTTAAAAACAAAAAGAGAGATGCACCGTACATTATTGCAACACAACCAAGCCATCTGCAAAACCTTTCCTCAATTTCTCCTTCTTCTCGATGGAGCATGAACATACTTGAAATTAACAATGTCTTTCGGACCTAGTTACGCTAAGCTGGAGGTAGCAAAACTTTCACAAGCGTTGGCTGATTTTGCCCCACGGTATTTTTAGTGTTTATTTTTTACACACCGGGATGATGGGCCGCTTTCTTGTGAGGGAGAATGAAAAGAAACCATAGCTCGCTTGTTGGCTTCCCCACCTCACCCCTTTCCTATATTTATTTATTCTCTTTAGGTACCCTTCCCGGCTGAGAGCAAGCAACCAACTCCACGCCATCTATCAATGCTGCTCTTTAATTTAACTTCTAGGAAGTAAGCAGCATGGTCCAAAGAGGCTCACTCTCTGGTATATTCTCCCTCCCTCCCTCCCTTCATCCCTACTGGAAGATCCTTAGCAGGGTAGAGATTATATACCTGAAACAAAACTTTCACATTAACTAAGGCAAAAGGACAAGAGGTAATGGGATTAGGGTTATATTTCTTTCCATCAACAGCTGGAACAGGTTACTAGGAAATTTGATAGAGCCCAGGATCCTGGTGTCTTGTAAGACACAACTTGATGCCGAAATAGGAAGATGGCATGTGTGCATTTCACAAAAAAGGCTGAAGGACCTTGTTTATCCAAACCTCTCCAGTGATTCCTGTGAAGGCAGGTACCCTCTTTCTGGTGCACTTCTGTCCCCAACAGTTAAGGGGGGGCAGCTAAGAGAAATTACTGGTGCACACTCAAGTCCCACCACTTTGAGTCAGTGTGCTTTGGGTGGGAGATAAGCATTCTGATTTGGCAAAGTCAACTGGAAAGGCAAGTGAGAGAAGGTCAGAGAGGCCCAAGTGAAATCCAAATGTTTTAGTGGAATTTTTCTTCAACCAACATGGAAGCCGTGTGTATTCAATTTTAACCATAGAGTAAATGGTCCACAGTTACCTTTCAACAACCCGATGGGCACAATAGTGGTGAAGGTGGCTGCATAGTTCGAAAGCATAGGTTGGTCCTCCTGCCCTTTGTTCCTCGTTAACTCCATAGATATTGGCATTGCTGAGAACATTGTATATAATGTGAACTGACTGGAGTTGATTTAAAATAACTTATGTAGTTGGAAATTTGTCAGCCGTTCAACACTGCAATTTTCCAAATAGTGCAATATCTTGTGGAAAGCAGTGGACTTCTGGATCGAAGCAGATTTAGTTGACTAAATCGAACAGTTAAGCATAATAAAGACTTTCCGTATACAAACCTACCATTGTCAAGGTAAGTGTAGTACAGTAAACCATCAGTGAGAAACAACATAACAATTCTCTTTGGCTCCTGAACTCAAACTAAAATCTTGATATTTGGCACCAATGAAAAAATGGCGGTACACTTCTAAATGCATTTATAAGGGCTATGTGAATGTTATTGGTAGAGTAGAATCATTTAAGGAATTAATTTCCAATCAAACGCCTTCACCAAATTTAAAGCGAAAGATTGCTTTTAAATAAAGTTATGTTTGTAGCGAAGTCTCATACACCACAAAAGTTTGCATTACATCATAGTGCAAATAGTTTGTTGACTCATGAAAGATTACCACTAGCCCAACAAATCACTTGAAATGGTAATTTCCCTGAAATATTGTGCCTTTTATTTTTCTACATTTATTTAGAAGAATCAGTTATTACATTGGGGAATGTCCTGGAAAAACCATGTTCCTGATACACTGCAGTTGGCCTTTCCAGAGATGAGTTTGAAATTCAGCTTGCCTTTGGGCAGCTTGTCTATTGATCATATTTAATAGTTTAGCAACTGGGGAGGTGGGAGGAAATGATTGAATAATCGTTCATCAAAGCTTTCTGTTCAATGTTAAGCTACTGTCAAACAACGCAATGTAATACTAAGATGAGCCTTGAAATGAAATAAGATGTTCTGAACTTGTTTCGTTCACTGGTCAGATGATATCTGTGTGCTGTTTTCGGCAGCTCACCTTCAAAGGACATTGAGGCAGTAGAGTTAGTTCAGGAAGAGTAGCCAGACAATGATGATTTTGTGCCTTCGGCCACCCTCCTACCCGCCCCCCCCCAACTCCCTGCCCTCCACCCTCCCCGATACCAACCCTACCTCCTCCCCCACCCCCCCGGCTCGGGTCCTAATCCCTGACTGTTCAGCGCCTTGGGACATCCTCCCAACGTGAAAGGCACTTTACAAATGTAATTTTGTATTGTATTGTATTTCAGAGTTTAGAGTTTGTTCTCATTGGGAAATAAAATTCAGAGGAGACATGGTCTTTAAAACAATGAGATGTGCAGTTAATGTAGGTGCAATTAACTGCTTGACCTTTCTCTATAGGAGCAGAACGAGAAGATATAAGATAATGATTGAAAAGCTTCAAATGGAAATAGAGACGATGGGATATCTAATTGCCACAGTGATGTTTAGGAGGAGCAATGGAAGCAACTCCCTTAACATAACTGGATAAATATGTGACAGAGAGCACTATCAGAGGATTTCTGATCTCCAGGGAGTAGGAGGCAGAGGAAGTGGTATGTTCACTGTCGAGGGAAGGAAGCCAGCTTTGAGTGGTGTCAGTGTACATGTAGGACTTTTCCTTGGTTATGTTTTGAGTGACAGGGAATCTCTGTGTAGATAGAGTGGGTGGGACAAGGTCCATAACAGGTAGGTTTTTACATACATATACTATACAGTGGGGAAACAGGCCATTTGGCCAACTGGTCCCTGCCGGAGGTTACACCACATGGGTCTCCCACCTTCTGCTTACTCCCTCCCATACCCTTCTCTCTTATGTGTGCAGTGTGGAGGGCTCAAGTAGACTTGGTGGAATTTTTAGTTGCAGGAACCTGTTTTAATGGGCTTTTAAATACCAAATCCCCCCCCACACCCCACTTAGCAAACAGGCTGTTTAATAGGGATTTCTGTTCTTTCTGAAAGAGGTGAGCAGCAGTTACAGGCTGCTCAGAAAGTCACACCAAAAGGCATGGAACAGAGAGCAAGTTTTGGCACAAGACAGAAAGTAGAGTTGGATGACTTGTTTTCTGTTTGTCTTTCTGCATTTACTTGAAGCATTTTAATGGAATAAAATTCCTTCAAACCTAATAACTGAGATGCTCCAGTTCCAGGGTTCACCAACTACAATCCTTGTGGACAATTTTCAACTGAGCAAACGTACCCAAGGAGGCAAACTGTGGCTGTTGTGACCAAGTTTTGTATGGATTAATAAGAGTTGCATGTTGTTCCACAATGGATTGAAACACTCCGACCTGTTGCAGTCTATTTGTAGTTCAGTATATATTCATATATTTCTGGAGTTATTTTCTACAAAATATGCAATAACCTATGCTCCCAGGTGGATTGTCCTTGGTTTCCTTCTGAACTGGAAGCTGACAACCATACCAACACCACGTGACTTCACTATCAACGGTTTGTCGGTGAAACCATGTCACTGTTTTATATGCATTTCTAAAACGGCTCACTCGGTGATGAACATTTTCAATAAAGTTCTTGAAAACTGCATTTGTTCTCACCAACAACCTGTGTGACGTGTCGTGAACCTAACCTGAATGAGTCATTTTCGAAGATGATTATGATGGACATGGGTGGATGTAATTCAGGGTCCAGTACAGTACAGTAAACCTAACCCATAACAGTTGCGACCATACATTTCATATGACTTATGTGACACTTAGAATAGGAAATTCAACAGGACTTGGGCAGACTTAGGCGATTATTACAATTTATACAGACTTACACAAGTTTTACTGTATATCCACACTCGGAATTTCATAAAGCATTTCAAGAAAAACTCACATCAGAAGGCATGGAATAGTGCACAACATTTGGCACAAGATAGAAAATGGGTTTTAATAGAAGGAACAGAAGATAGGCATAAATGGAAACTTTTCAGGCTGGGAAAGAGTACCTGACACATGATTGTTAAGTCTTTGCTGTGTGTTTTTTATGACAAGTGATTTGGACAGTTATCCCAAGTAATCAGTTATATAAGAATAGTTCGGGAAAAGTCTTCGCAGTCCATCAGAGGTCACAAAGTAAAAGGTTTAAGCCATAATAAAAATAACACCATACCGCTTGGAGGAGTATCTTCCTCAAAGTTTCTACCTGGCCTCAAATTGCATTGTGGCATATCTACAGTAATGGAAATTGCACGCATTTTTGAAGGAGTTGGATTGAGCATCAAAATGACATATATACATTTCTGGTGGGTGTGAGTCCGTAAACCCAAAACACTCCTGATTTAGCAAGCTTGACTCAAAAGCTGAAAGAATTTACCGATTATGGGAAATCAATATGGATAAGGAGAAATTCCACCTTGATAAGAGATTTACTCTTATTTGTGGCTGTAGCATTTTAGAGCTCCAAAATGTGGCAAATGTTGAATTCAGTCTCCACTTTGAAGTTGCTTTTCTGTAGTTTCTTAAAAGAAACTTGCAGAAAATAGGCTTCAAAATTAAACCTATGTTCAAGAATTTGCCAAATTTTGGGCACTCGGAACTGGTGCACGACTATAGAGTAACTCTAGACCTTGATGGAATTTCTCCCAGCAGTTACTTTGCTTTCGTGTGTTGGTTTCAAGTGCATTTATCAGGGCAGTGGTTATATATTGCATGCATCTTAGAGTTGGGCACGATTGAATAAAGTTATATTTTGAATTTGGAGATCACGAACCTCATCTTTAAATCCCTCAACTGTCCCGCCCAATCCTAACCCCGCGACCTACTCAAACCCTACCGACCCAACCACTCCCTTTGCTCAACAACCTGCATCCTTCATGCCAACCCGCATCTCGGAATGAGCACTTGTCCCTTTCCATGGTCAGTCAAGCTTCATTTTGAAGAGAGTTTATAGTCATTGTAATCACGAGAATGGTTGTTCAGTAAAAGCACTCGTACACAGGTTCCAGGTAATTACAATACTTTACATTGCACAAGATTTCAAATGTTGCACATAGAACAAAGCAGTTTTTCTTATACATTTACACTGCTTCATCTCTAGATACAAAGATAAATAATCAATAGCATGCAGTTCCTGGTCTGCATGGTGTCCTCTCACTGCAACAATGAGCTGAAAAAATGACCATCTCAATCCTTAGGAGATTCTGCCTTCAAAAGTTCCAGTGACTTTTAATGATGGTTTCATTTAAAATTATTATAACTATAAATTCATATTTGGAAAATAGTCTTATGGAATTTTTAAATCAGAATACATTAAAATGATAATTGCAGAAACATGCAGACACTATTGTTTGTCAATTGAATTAGGCAAGACTTCAGAGAAATATTGACACTCATTCAACAGTCAATTCATGAGCATGTGCAAACATCATGTGTATTTATATTCAGGGCCACAAGTACACAGAACACTTTACAACTAGCTCTGTACAAACTTAAATATGTAGTAACTCTGTATGAAGTCTACAACTGTATGTCAAATTTCAATAGAACTGGAAAAAAAATGATGAAGCACATTTTTAAATGTTTCCTTAGCATTCCTTAAATGTTGGCTGCCATCATTAAATAACTCAATAACCTGAAAATCAGATGTAGCATCTTTCTTGGAATGGTACAATACATAATAAATTATTTTGATTTCAGTGTAGATTGACATTTGTGAGGAGCCACTTTTAAACCCAGATTTTCTTTTCACTGATTTGAAATACCCTTATTTGGAACCAAAGGAAACCACACCTTTAAGGTTATAGTTGAGATATAATTCTGAATACTATTATCTGTGAAATTATACATAAATCCACAATTGAGCAAATGGAAATGGTGGCAAAAAAGTATGGATCCTTCACAAGGTTAAAGATGCCTCTCTTATATCATTATTACTCAAATCAGAATATCACAGGCAGCAGGTTGCCTGAAGGGACAAAAATACACAACAGCTTTGGCCTTCCTTAAAAACAACTCGATGCAACCCGTTATGTCGAACTGGGATGTCCACGACTAACACAATCCAGAGGAATACTCGTCGTCATCTTCCGCAGCGTGACTTGCAGCCTTTCCCGTTGTTCCAGCAGCTTCTTGAGGTGATGCAGGAGACTTCTTCACTCCCCCTCCTGGGACTCTCAAACTCAGGGCCAGCTTAGCATACTAGGGAAACACATGAAATAGTTTCAGGTCTACAAAATGTTCCATGTCTAATATAATCAGATTTTTTTTGTCCCCCATACACGTCATCCCTGGTGTCATTCTCGGGAATCTTTGTTGTACATCCTCCATGTCCTATTCTGTAATGAACTGCCAAAAACTGCACATGAATACTCCAACTGAGGCCTACCTAATGCCTTGTACAAATTTAGCATTTCCTCCTTGCTCTTGTATTAAATACTTTAATATTTAAACCTAGCATTCAATTTCCTTTTTTAAAATGCTACTATGAATCTATACTTTTAGGTCATTCTGTTTCCCATCCATTAGAATATTGCCATTTAGGTCACTTTTCAGTTGTTTGCCCTCTTTTCCAAAATGCACTACTTCACATTGTTCTGCCTTGAATACTGCAGACACTGATGTGCCTGTAAAGAGGTTAACATTGAGGGGTGGAATCACTCTGATTCTAGTCAAGCTCGTTCAGTTGTACACTGTATAGCATAGTACTTAAATTAATTGTTATAAGATATAAGAGATCAGTTTCAAAATATCCAGGAAAGTTTATATTGGAAGCTCTGTGAGAGTATGCTGAAGTTCTAGCTTATAATTTTGACTAAATAATGACTAAATGATGTAGCTTACTATGAAGTTGATAAAAACTAGTGCATTTGGAGATTCAATAATATTCCCTTGTTCTTTCCTTTACATGCTTCAAATTAGTGTTTAGCTCGGTTCAGTGTATTGCTACACAGGAGAGGAACAGAAGCAAGCTATACTTTTAACAAGAAACATCACCACACATTAAGACGTACATCATTATCCATGTATTTGAAGAGAGGCGAGTTACAGATTGCAGAGACCTGGTCCTGGTCTTGTTCATCAAATCCTTCCAGTAACTGTTCCAGTGCAATGGCGTCTTCGCTTCCATTAAACCCAGGTATACTGTGTGTGAAGGCAAAAATTATACATTACATTTTTTTTGTCACTCGGCCACAGAAGCAATTCCTTAAAAGCCAGCAGCAATCTCATCAGTGGTTGCTCTTGGCGAAAGGGAAGGCTTTTCGCAACCACAACCTATCTGTCCTTCAAGAACTGCAAGAATTCAACTTCTACATTTAAGATTATTCTCAATTTCTGGACAATTTTAAATTGTAAGATGATGGTTTCAGCGCCTTGGGACGTCCTCCTGATGTGAAAGGCAAATGTAGTTTTGTTGCTGTTTAAGGATAAGACTAAGATTTTCAGACAAAACTATATGGTATTCCCTGTGCTACCTCTTCACTCATCTCCCCACCAGTTACACTGTACTAATTCACTTAAAGTATCCCACACATTAAGAGTTAACAAAAACGTATATCGTTATCCATGTATTTGAAGTTTTCCACCCTAGAAAACGCACACAGATGCTTACCTATAACTTTCTCGAACACATTTGTCTGCAGCTACATAGTCATTCCTGTGCAGTTGAACCAGGACTTGTGCAATTGTTTTCTAAAGAAAATAAGCAGGAACACTTAGAACTTCTGGGTGGGGAGGAAGGAGAAAGAACCTTAATGATGCAACAGGTTTCCTGAAGCAGTTCAAACACCTGGCTGTAAATTGACAAAGATGAAACAACCAAGCTACCATTTAAAAAAAACGCAAAAAATTACAGTGAAGATGCCATAATTCTATAGCTCTATCAAATTGACGTGATGCTTTCTTGGTAGTATCACCATTCTGTACAATTTGGCCAATGTAGAAGAGTTTGTGCTACAGTAGGGAATGTGTGGGTTAAGGTCTCCACTGGTGGAAAGAGTTTCACAACTTACCTGGAAGCATGGCATTAAAATAATAATCCTTGAATTTGATTTAGCACCGGTAATATCATACAGCACTTCACAGGTTAAATGTAATAACTAAAACACAGAAGCCAATTTACATACAAATCCCATGACAAGAAGTGAATTACCAATTTATCTAAAGGTATAAAGATTCTAAAGAATTCTGCTGCTGTTAGGTGACGAACAATAAAGTGAGTTCTGAAGACCAGACTCTTGATTGTGAATTTGTTTTTAAAATAACTAATCTGACCCAAACCACAGAACAAGATAAGCCCCAATATGAAAATACTTCTGCTCACCTTAAAACAAGTTGGGTAGTTCTCGATCTCCTTATACATGTTCTTTTCCTTCAGAAGTGATACTGCAGCCTCATCAAGTCTTAAACACAAAAGATTTCCTGAATCACCCACAAATATAAAGTGGTTTTTCATCTCTACATTTCCTTTTAAACCTGCATCATTAAACAACAATTTGCGTTTATACAGCACCCTTCATGCAGGATACCATCTCAGATTGATGAGCAAAGTGGTGGGATTGGACACTGAGTAAGGGAGAAAAGGTAGCGGGAGATGACTATAGGTAGTTGAAGTAGGAAGTCTCAATGTGGGATTGAGGTGGAGGGATTATCAAGGATGATATTAAAAGTTCCAAATCAGCAGGTTCCACAAGCTATGTTTTACAGGCGTAGAATGAAGTGAAGCACGCTGTGGTAAAAATGTAATCATCAATTGCATTCTCAAGCACTTGAGCAGCACATACCACACAGTACGATACGTACCTGCGAGACCTGACCAGCAGACGTGAGACTTTTCCCAGCAATTCAACAGACTGACGCAAGCGCTCTTCATTCTGCCAAATAAAAGGTTAGTTTCCAAATTGAATTGTAAATTGAATACATTTTGCAGCAATTTTACTCTTGATATAAAACTGGAATGCAAGGGAACACTGTTCTCTCTCAATGCTATTTAGAACTCACTTCAAACACTGAAGCAGCCTGTTGGTAAAGCTCCACAGCTTTGTTCAAGTTTACATTCTCTATCAGTCTGAAACAAAGAGAAAAATGCAATAGGTTAGACCATTCTCCTCTACAATTATTGAAATAGAGGACAGACAGCAGCTGTTTGACCTATAGATTATGCTGGTGTTAGCTCCTCCACTAGAGCTATATACTCTTAACTCAATCCCCTGTACACTTTCTAGAGTTTCTTTTCAAAGGCCCCCTTCTTTGAACTCAGATCGGACAAGTGTAATTCAAGTATTCCTTTCCCAAAAGCTGGGTGGGTCCCAAGTAAAAAACCTGAGGAAGACCGAACTAATTTCTAACTGGTTGTCATTCCACAGCAAAAAAAAGTCTTAAAGAGTCACAGCAGAGACAGCTTTACTTGGTACCTGACTAAGTTATCCTGACCAAGGAACAAATGTGAAATCCCTCCTAACGTTAAAATTCATACATGTTTAATATCAAACACTGAGGAAACCAAATTAGTTTATGATGAATTAATCTCCTCCCTCAATAACAACCAACCCTCTCCTTGGAATTCCTTTAATTTTTCCATTCAAAAGCTAAACCATAGTAAAGCTTTAAATAGAACAGTAACAAATAAAACCTGGGTCACTCTGGTTTAACTGAATCAGTACCTGATTTAGTACTTGGCGTTACCTTACCCAAAAGGAAGACATTGTAAATTTATTTTCATACTTCAAGATTTGCTGCTCTTCCGACTTGCTTTCTGTTGAACGCGTAAGAGTAGATATAATAATAATCCTTGAATTTGATATAGTGCTTTTCACGTCGGGAGGACGGCCCAAAGCGCTTCACAGAACACACTGTAAAGTGAATTGACTGTATATTTGTGGGCGAACGCGGCAGCCAATTGCGCACAGCAATGTCCCACAAACAGTCGTAGATTGAAAATGACCAATTTATTATTGTTTTTGGTTTTGGAGGAATTATTATTAGGTGTGTGGAGTAAGGAAACTTGCCCAAGGTTTCGCCCTGCCTGGAATTGAACTCAGGTCTCTCGCTTGCAAAGCGCGTGCTCTAACCACTGAGCTACAGGACTCCACAAAAGATATCGAAACATGCTAGGTTGCCAAACCTACATTTAGAAACAAGCTTTTTAAATGGTCACTACGGTTTTGAAATCTGTAAAGCTTAGAGCAGGAGAGCTACAGCTTTTATAAACTGATAGCACAGAGATAATTCAGATTGGTAAACTATATTAGCAATAGAAAGCGCACAGCAAGCCTCATTGCCCCTAAGATAGAAAGTCTTCCACAGAACTAAACTGAACCGTATGCATCCAAGTGGAGTAGACTAAATTTCTAAACTATGTTTTTATGCAGTAATCGGTCTAGAAACATTTCTAAAAGTAATATTTGAACCACAGTTCGGCACCACCAATAAGATTCCTTCAAGCTCTTACTTTCCAGCGCGGTCCAGTGCCATGGCAGCTGTGTCTGGGGTTCCGTTCTCTATGAACATCATACTGGCTTTCTCAATAAGAAGAACTGCCTCTCCCAACTGCTGCATCTCCTGCAAAAAAAATCACTATCTATGTCCATGTGTACATTTGCTTCAACATCTTTACATTAAAGAAATGGTATTTGCAGCTCAATTTCAAGAACACCAGGGTGCATCGCACCGATTAATAGGAGGATAAACAATGGGTGGGGAGGAAACTTTTAATACTGAGTTTGTTTAACAATAATAATAATAATAATAACAAGGGAGGGAAATCTGAAACCTACAACTATGGAAGCTGTGCCCAAGATGAAATGTTACCTAGCATGTAGTGAAATATTAGGTTAAACATTTCTGAGAACATTTAACCTCTTTACCCTTGCACAATTCATTAGCAACTTTTGTGATGTTATTTGGTCAAAGTCTTGGGCCGATGAATACCTTTTTCAGCCAATCAAAAATTTAAACTTAAATTTTGATCCATTTTATGGATTGTGGAAAAAAGTGAAGTTAAACTCTGGATAAAACACTTCAACAACAGGTTCAGATTAGTGAATGGTGTTCATCATTATGCTGGGTAGAGGTGGCTGTGAAAGGATATATTTTGTAATAAGGCTTGCATTTGATATAACACCCAATCACATCTTCGAGAGATCTCAAAATGCTTCGCAGAATATACTGTAAAGTGAACTGACTATATTTTGTTGGTGAAATGCGGCAGCCAATTGCGCACAGCAGTGCCCCACAAACAGTTGTGGTTTGAGTGACCAAATTATTATTATTTTTTAATATCCTATGTCTCCAGTCTGCAGACACACTGCCTCATCCTAGTGACATGGTCTTTACACGTCTCTTTTGCACACACACACTCACTCCAGCAAGGGTCACTGGATAACAATCAAATGCAGGAACCCTGGCAGATTTGGGTTTCTTTCTTTATCTCAAGTGCACCCGGACTGCTTCTCTATCTTAAATTAGCTCACTCAATACTGACTGATTCCCCATGATTCAATGTGCCTTGCCCTGTCACCACATGCGCACTTACTCATTGGAATCACATTGAGTCTCGGGAAATACATTTCTGCTACGTATGCATCGACGGATCAAGACTACGTTTCTCGCGATTCAATGCAGCTGGACAGCAAGTGCACATGTGTCAACACGTCATTTTCCACGACTCAATCAGCCGGTAATTACTCGAGTAATGGAGGATCGGAAGCCGTGTTACGAGTTAGGAGGCGATTAATATGAGTAGTGCAAATCAATCTAAGTGGTTTGGTTAGGAAACTGAATGGAACTCAGGTGAATGTAAAACTTAGGCATTTATATAATTTATAAAGGTAAGCCTCATGTGAATTTTACTGGTTATACATCAAAATGGCAAATAAAATATATAAAATTAAGCTTGGTGAAATAGGGAAATGCTGAGTAACATATCATCTTGCGCCTAGTGGGCTAACAACTATGATAGCAGGGTGCAAACCAGCGTTACAGCTGCCCTACCTGCTTGGATGCCCCACGCTTGGAGAAGACCTTGCTCTGTGGATTGGTAATGCCAAAAAGCAAAAACATGCCTTGAAACTCAATACATCAAGCTTAGGAGAGAACTAAATGCAAGTCACCCTGATTCTGGATCAAATGGCATTACATAAGAACTGTATATGGGTTAAAACAATGTAAATCAGTGAGAATAGTATGATGTGAAGCCCCACCCTGCTAGAGTACAAGACATAGAAGAGAGACGTGTGGGTCTGAGAACTGTGAAATACCATCATCTGGCATAAAAGGTAATGAAAACCCGAAAAAAGTTCATCCTCAATGATGCATCCATTTTCCCAGAGGAGGAAGCTCACAGTATAAGCTCCACCTAGAGTTGGCAAAAGACCTTGCGAATTGCAGAAACGCATCTTTCAGTCACGCATTTCTTTTTTAAAAAAACCTCAAACAGATCAGTATTAATGCATTTTACACCCACGAGACAGATTTAGCACAAACATTTCAGATGTATCGGCTGATCGTAAAAAAAATATGCATTTTAAAAGCTGCGAAGAAGCAATTAATATTTGGAGGTGGCGTGGGGGAGTGGTTCAAAGAATAAAGAAAAGCATTGCACCCTCTACCCAATTCGGATAATATGGATGTAAGCCGTGTGACAGACCCTGGTTACAATGACCGACAAGGCACTCTTTTGCTTTACCATTAGGTTGTGTTTGAGTGACAGAAATACTCTCAGCCATACTCCTGCTCTTTCCGCCCAGCAAGTCAGTAATCAAAGTAATGCAGTTTTCGTTTTCAGATTTTTACTGGTCTAAATTCAAATCATTCCAGTGACCCCCACTGCACCACTTTTACCAGTATAAAATGTTCCAGTGACACACGAACATCAACGCAAGGAATTAGCCAAGAATTGTATGAACAACAAATCACATTTGTATAGCGCCTTTCACGTCAAGAGGACATCCCAAGGCACGGGACAGTCAGGAATCCACACACAAGCTGATAGTTGGGATCAGGAGGGGTGAAGGATGAGGAGGTAAGGTTAGAGGTGTGACCGAAGGCACGGTCGGAGGAGGGTCTCAAGGTGAAATAATAATCCCTCCAAAACCAAAAACAATAATAAATTGGTCATTTTCAATCTACGACTGTTTGTGGGACATTGCTGTGCGCAATTGGCTGCCGCGTTCGCCCACAAATATACAGTCAATTCACTTTACAGTGTGTTCTGTGAAGCGCTTTGGGACGTCCTCCCGACATGAAAAGCGCTATATCAAATGCAAGGATTATTATGTCCTCCTGAAGTGAAAGGCACTATACAAATGTAATTTATTGTTGTTGAGATGGGTCTTGAAGGAGACAAGGGAAGGGGCGAGGTGGAGTGACTGTGTGATGAAGTTCCAGAGGCTGGAGGCAGAGAGAGGCCGGCCCTCCAATGGTGGGGCAGGGAAGGCGGGGGATATGAAGCAGGTTGAGCAGAGGGAGCATAGGTTGGTAGGGGGTGAGGAAGTTGCAGAGGTAGGGAGGAGCAAGGCCACGGAGGGCTTTGAAAGTGAAGCTCATTTCTCAGTGAATTTGCAGAAGACGGACGATGTACTGCAAATAAACAGCTTTACTCTTCTAGACTGTCATTTAAACTTGAATGTTTCAAACTATATTCATACACACACACAAGGAAAATTGACTCATAAAGGGTGTTAAAATTAGGTGAATAAAACTAAAGCACTGACCTTCAACATCATTCCAGCCTGTTCATATGCTCTAGGAGGCAAAGGAGAATAAATCATCAGCACTCAATATAAAACAGTCAAAATTTTGCCCAACATTGTCATAGTCACTTTAAAAAGTCACAAAGAAATCCAATGCAGTGAGTTTTTTCTGCGACTACTGTTAAGGTACACTAAAGCAGTGTTTGGCGAGTGATCTTGGGACACCTGAATTAACGTATTTAGGCATGATCACTCTAGAATCCTGCCTTGATAACTGTCCCTAGTGATATAATTTCTATTCCTGTGATGAATAACTCCTACAAGCCATTTTTACCAATCAATTTTGTCAGCTTTCTCAATTAAAATTTACATTGGATTAAATTTGTAATCCTTTTTTTGATCTCAATGCATTTTAAAAACTATTAAATTACCTGTAGTTCCTGCACTGTTGCACAACAAATATAAAGCAGACGGAGGAGCACACGAACTCATTACTGACGTAATTTCCAATTTTTGCAGAAATTCAGCTTTTTAAGAAACAGCAGTATTTATGACTTTTTTTTTTACTGCTTTGCGATTCAAGTTACATTGGATTTGTATAAACTGTAATGAATATGGTCTTTGTTTTGCAAGGCTAACTCACGCTTTCTAACCAGCCCAGACATACTTCACCCTTGAGTTTTGGGCAGGAGTGAGAATGAAACTACCCAAATCGTTGCAAGTCCTTACCCCAGCGTAAAGAGTATGAGTTTTTGAACATGATCATGGTTAATTTTCACATTGCCAAAATTTAAACACCTTATTAACACTTGCTGCTTAAAGTTCAAACATTAAGAATGATCTCTTGGGTGATCTACCAGAAGCCAACTGGCACCGTGGAATTGTACCCCAGAACAGGTCAACTGCACAAAATGAGAAAATCAAGAGAAAAATACCAAGGCAACAATGAAGTGAAGTACAATATTGTGAAGCTCTGCAAAAGTACTTACTTAGCAGCATGGAAAAAGCTGGAGTGAATTGACAGTTAAGGAAGATACAGTTCAGCACCTAAGACAAATCAGTATTACCATGAACAGGACACAGTGTTTTGGTTTAAGTTAGAAAACTTCTGTTCCCTCAGAACATTAGCTCAGCAAACACTTAATAAGCCAATCAGTATTTTCCTTTACGGATCACTGAATTTAGAAAAAACATTCCCATCACGATGCTCAGTGCAGACTAGTGTAATGTTATAGCATAAGTTGAAACTTTTTAAAAGCACTTTTCATGAGGATTTATATAAATGTTACATTTCGGTCCAGGAAACAAAGTTCTGGATTAGGATGAAAATGAAATACAGTACATATGAGGTATAAAGCAAGTAGGAAATGTGATTTGCAAATATTTATTTAACGGAGCACTAAACGTCCTGTACAGCTTTCAAAAAAATCTTGATATCCAACACTTTTAAAAGTAGCTTTCTGGAGAGTTCCAGTGTTGACTATGGCAACACAAGGCAGTAACAAGAGGCGAGTGTCAAGTGTTTTAGTTAAAATTCAGGTTTCCAGCCCATTAATTTAGATGATGGATATAAACAACCATTCTTGTGAAGCATCTATACATATATATTACACAAAATCTAGTGCATGTCTTGGGTTCTAAGTGTTCCAAATAGAAAATGATTTGTTTTATATGTTTTTGTGTTTTCTCAAAAACTGACTGATGCCGAGTCCAGACTTTGCAGCAGGAAAAACACAGAACAAGAATTTTTCTCTTTTAAACTAATGACCTTTCCTCGTGTACATATAACAAAAGGATACGCTCGATTGTTCTGATGTGACTCAGCTTCTCGCAGGTATGCATCCTTCGCTTGGTCGTACTGCTTTGCATTTTTGAAGGCGACGGCTGAGGGGAAATGGAAGAGTTAGATTAAAAAANTTAAAGCAATTCATGTGGCCCACTGATTATACAGTATTCTAGCTCTAACACAGCAATGATGCACAGGACGAGACACTGTCCCTCCAAGTCCAAGCAGGAGGGCCAGGCTGACTGGTCTAACATCAGCGTGCCCTGGAGTATTGTGGACCTGTCTGGCTCAGGAACCAGACTACTGAGACCACCACAGAGGATTGCCTCGATTCCAACATTCTGTTGCCAGACATGTCACCTTGGAGCTTGTTCAGCTCCAAATACACCACGCTTTTCTACCCCCACCGCAAGAAGAGAATTCATATTGAAAAATTCACATTCAAGCAACCCTTGAAGTTTTATACCAGTGAACAGCACATTGCTCCCGAGAATCCTGTTCCCGATAGGATCACATTCCATGATCAATTACAGTAGTCCTTGGCTCAAATTATATATCATAAAATGCTAACCCCATATATCAACCTGTCCACTTCCTCCGCTCAGCAGGCTGCGGCCCGTTCCACATCCCTGGCCGGCCCTCCCACCATCGGCGGCAGGCCTTCAGCCATTCTGCCCTCATCCTTTGAAACGCCATCCTACATTCCCTTCACCTCACTCCCTCCCTTGCCTCCTTCAAGGCACGTTTCAAGACCCTCCTCTTCGACCGCGCCTTTGGCCACCTTCCATCCTCCCTGATCGAGTCCAAATCCTCCCGACGGGAAAGGCACTACACAAATGTTATTTCGTATTATAAAATGCTTCGTTAAATACTTGCTGGATAAAACTGACTGAATTTTAAAATAAATGTATTCTAATAGAACCTCGTTATAAGGTATTTCACTGATGGCTTCATGGCACAGCCCAGCCAGGTTCCTACAGGCTAAAAATGCCCCACTTCTAGACTCACATCACGGTCATTTCGGGCATACTGCACATGCGCAATATGCACAGAAAGTGCTTGCGCATTGTACACATCTGCAGCAGGTAGGAAATATGGAAAACATTATAATAATAAGTGAAGTGTTGGCAACAAGCTGCCTGACAATGCAGTACAAAGAAAATCGCCACTTTTTTTTTTAATCTGTAGCTACATTCTGAGTTAATGAGCTAAAATACTTATTTGAACTGCACAGATTTTTGAATTAAAATTTACAACTAGGAACGTTACTTCGGATGCCAAGGTTTTTTTTCCCTTACCTGCTTTGGCATACTCAGACGCTGCACTGTCATAGTCAGGTTTCCACTTCATAAAGCTGGTTTTCAAACTGAAAATGTAACAAGAGTTACAGAGTAAATAATAGAGTACAACAACAACATGCTCCCTCCACGCAGGGTAGCATTTCAGAGCGCTTAAAAGCACAACTACTGTACCTAAGTTGTATTTCATTTAATTCTCCTTCTACAAATTCATTGCTGAATTAATCCTTCAGATTCTAACAACGTCCATTTATACAATGCTTTCACATAAAATAAATGAAACTGTACAAAATAACATTGATTAAAAGTAAAATGAATGTTATAACTGACCTACACTAGCAATACACTAGCAATGAGTATCAAATTAATTTTAAAGTTAGTGGCAATATTGGATTAGAGGGGACAATATGGCAGGATAAATGAGAAAAATTCCACATTTCTTGCAAACTCAATAGGAAGAAGGTGTCCCTTATAATGTCTATCTGCCTGTGTATTTTGTAGGCAAATGTGGCAAACAACAATATCCCACAAACAAAATGAGTAAACAATTTTATTTGGGAAATTGCTGGTCAGGTCACCAGGGAAACTCCCTTCTCTTTTCAAAATGTGCTGTTGGATCTTAACATCCACCTGACCAGGCAGACGGGCCCTTGGTTTAACATCTCATCCAAAGGACACCCACCACCTGTGTCAAATTCAGCGATTCCCAATTCCCAATTCCCAATTGTGAGTTCAAAGTCCCAACATGTGGCTCGAACCCACAGTCTACAAACTCAGAGGTGAAAGTGCTGCTACCAACTGAGCTACGCTGACACCTGGCGCTCTGTCATTCTGACTTCAAAATGCTCTTACATTGATATATTATTATTATATATAACTTGGTTAATGATGTCAATTATTTTCCTGGTTCACCAACCCAAGATTAACTTTCTCCAGATCTAAATTCTAGTGCCCAAAGTACTGATAAATAACAATACTTGCATTTGACTTAGCGCCTTACCACGTCTTCAAGACGTCTCGAAGTGCTGTATAGTGTATAGTGAATTGACTGTATATTTTGTGGGCAAAATTGTGATGTTATGTTTCTGCATAGCCCCACGTCTCTTTAATGGATTTAGTACAGGCCTACCTGAAATTATAATTATCTTGGTTGTGAAAAGTCATCTCCAGGCACTGTACCACTCTATAAATAATGCAACAGAAAATATATTTGCAGTTGCAAAAATAAATCTTCTACAATTGATCTGCTTGAACTACAGAGATCCAAGTTCCTTTAATCTTCTATTTCCCTTAAGAATGACTATTTTGATTGATATCTGGTTTTACAGCTTCATCATTTTACACAAGCGGGCGGATCATTTTTCCGGGGGGGTTATAATCCCTTCGAAATTAAAAAAAATTTGGGCACACAATCCATGACTGTTTGCGGGACACTGCTGTGCGCAATTGGCTGCTACGTTTCGCCCACAAAATATACAGTCAATTCACTTTACAGTATATTCTGTGAAGTGCTTTGAGATGTCTCGAAGGCACGAGAAGACATTATATCAAATGCTATATCAAAGGATTATTATTATTAATATTGTAATTGCATTTTAAGATTATATCTGATTTACTAATAAGCAAAATACTATGAGCTTACATATTCCGTCTAGTGATCTGAAATTTGGAGATTAAAAGGCAAGTGTGATTAAGGTACATATTAAACAGACACTGCAACAAACAAGAATAAGATTGATGCTCAAAATTAGTACACTAAACTGATCAACATTAGCAGGTACAGTATTTAACCAGCAAAATAATCTTTTTTTATATAAGTCAATCTAAATCTACTTTCTCATGTAACTGCAACTACTGCAAAACACCATCTGTTCCAATGTAAAAGCCAACCTACACTAAATCTAATAAAAGGTACAAATGATTAGCTGAAGCATTTGAAACACTCCTAAAAAAAATAAAAATAAATAATCCTGACAAATATAAATCTTTCTTTGAAGGTCGAGTGGCTCTACAGTCTTAACTTCAAGGCTTACCGCAATACAACGTATTGCACAGCTTCACGTTGTTAAATTAAGGCATCTGAATGATTATATATTGACACTTCATTTTGTTCAGTTGATAGGATGGACCCACCGAGTCAGGCAGATCAGATATTAACGCAGTCTGAGACTCTCACTATAACATAAATTTAATCTAAGACAAGGAGGGATCTTACAGAACAACTACAGCAACACAACCAGCACAGAGGGGTGAAGGCACTTGAGCACCCCCTTATAATCCTGCACCCCACCGTTATAATCCCGCAGCCCCCCCACCCCACTATCCATCAACTATCCTGGGGCCAGCAATGCGGTCTGGCACTCACGCTCCCTGGCCGATGACCAGGCCAGGCACTTGATCCTTCTCAGCCTTGACCCAGCACCAAGAAAGAGATGGGGGGGGGGGGGGGGGCGGTGTCAGCAATAACCCGATCATGTTAGTACCATCATCGGATGTCAGTCTCTGCTGATTGAATTTGGATTAATGCCCAAAAAAATCAAGAGGCAGCCATTTTAACTGAAAGGGAGGGACTTAACTTTGAAACCAGATCCTCATAATGATTTTTAGTACAAATCTGAACACGTCACTTTTAAATCTCAAATCCCTTTCAAAAACAAAATAAAATATACCTGAACATACCAATATGTCTAGGATTGGTTGGTGAATCACTGACTTATCTCCCAACTTCACCCTCCCAAAGAGCAAAGTAATATTGACCTTTTTTTAAAAAAAAACCCATCTTGATTATGCAATACTTAAGTAGAGAGCCTTCCGAAGCAATTTCAAGGTATGGAGCCTTTCATTTCAGATTCCTTTCTCGGCTGAATTATTCAATAAGATAATTCAAATACAGGAAGCAAAGGCGGTCGGGTCCGCATATGAACATTTATCCAAACAGTCAACAGTCCATCGAGATTATAAAAACAGTAAAAAAAAATGCCACACAAAAACAAAATGCACAGCAGTTCGGCCTGTTTGGGGTTTAGAAGAGGAAGGGGTCAAGCGGATCAAGGCTTCAGTTATGACGACTCCCTAAATCGTCTGAGATGCTGATTGGCGTTGCTGCGGCCAACCTCCCAGCGATTTACACTTAAACGTCACAGCTCTGAACTCTGCCCTCGTCCCCGCACAGTTCATCAAAGCTGGAGCCTTGGCCGGTTATAACTAACTGCGTCCTCCTGCAATTAAGCCTGGCCGAGGTTTCACAAAATAAACGTTTATTGTGTACTGTATGCACGAGGTTCACTCTGAACGCCCCCCCCCCCCCCCCACCCCCACCCGCTCCCCAACATACTTACAAAGCCACCAAGCCAGAGCCAGACACAACACGTGAGCCGGGGGGTGGGGGGGGGTGGGGGTCAGTCCCCTCTCCCCAGGCTCTCAGACGAGGAGAGACGATGGGCTTTGTGACTGCAACACCCGACAGTGGGTTCACAGGCAGTCAGTTCAGTTGGACCTCGTTTGACCCCCACACACACACATACACCACCCCCCCCAATAATACACCCCCCCCCAATAATACACCCCCAATAATACACCACCCCCCAATAATACACCCCCCCCAATAATACACCCCCCCCAATAATACACCCCCAATAATACACCCCCCCCAATAATACACCCCCCCCCAATAATACACCCCCCCAATAATACACCCCCCCCCCAATAATACACCCCCCCCAATAATACACCCCCCCAATAATACACCCCCAATAATACACCCCCCCCAATAATACACCCCCCCCAATAATACACCCCCCCCAATAATACACCCCCCCAATAATACACCACCCCAATACCCCCCCCATAATACACCCCCCACAGACACACACATATACAGACACAGGGCGTTAATATCTCGGCGGAGGGGAGTGAGGCCTCGGTCCTCGCCCCTGATGCAGCAGAAATGGGATTTCACCCCCTCCCCCGGTATTTACCCTCTCCCCGGTATTTACCCCCTCCCCCCCGGTATTTACCCCCTCCCCCGTATTTACCCTCTCCCCCCGTATTTACCCCCTCTCCCCCGTATTTACCCTCTCGCTGGTATTTACCCCTCCCCCGGTATTTACCCTCCCCCCGGTATTTACCCCTCTCCCCGGTATTTACCCCTCCCCCCGGTATTTACCCTCTCCCCCGGTATTTACCCCCTCCCCCGGTATTTACCCCCTCCCCCCGGTATTTACCCTCTCCCCGGTATTTACCCCCTCCCCCCGGTATTTACCCCTCTCCCCGGTATTTACCCCCTCTCCCCGGTATTTACCCCTCTCCCCCCCGGTATTTATCCCCTCTCCCCGGTATTTACCCCTCCCCCCGGTATTTACCCTCTCCCCGGTATTTACCCCTCCCCCCGGTATTTACCCCCTCCCCCGGTATTTACCCCCTCCCCCCGGTATTTACCCCCTCCCCCCGGTATTTACCCCCTCCCCCCGGTATTTACCCCCTCCCCCCGGTATTTACCCCCTCCCCCCGGTATTTACCCCCTCCCCCCGGTATTTACCCCCTCCCCCCGGTATTTACCCCCTCTCCCCGGTATTTACCCCCCTCCCCCCGGTATTTACCCCCTCCCCCCGGTATTTACCCCCTCCCCCGGTATTTACCCCCTCCCCCCCCGGTATTTACCCCCTCCCCCCCGGTATTTACCCCCTCCCCCTCCCCCCCCCCCGGTATTTACCCCCTCCCCCCCCGGTATTTACCCCCTCCCCCGGTATTTACCCCCTCCCCCGGTATTTACCCCCTCTCCCCGGTATTTACCCCCTCCCCCCCGGTATTTACCCTCTCCTCCCGGTATTTACCCCCTCCCCCCCGGTATTTACCCCCTCCTCCCGGTATTTACCCCCTCTCCCCGGTATTTACCCCCTCCCCCCCGGTATTTACCCCCTCCCCCGGTATTTACCCTCTCTCCCCGGTATTTACCCCCTCCCCCGGTATTTACCCTCTCCTCCCGGTATTTACCCCCTCTCCCCGGTATTTACCCCCTCCCCCCGGTATTTACCCTCTCCTCCCGGTATTTACCCTCTCCTCCCGGTTTCCCGGTGTTTACCATTTCTCGGCGGTGGCGATGTGCTCCAACGCTTCGTTTATCTTCTGAGCCATTCCCTCCGCTCAGGGGGTGTGTGTGTGGGTGTGTGGTGGGGGTGTGTGTGTGGGGGGGTGTTGGGGGGTGTGTGTGGGGGGGTGTGGGTGTGGGGTGTTTGGGGGGGTGTGTGGGTGTGGGGGGGTGTGTGTGTGTGGGGGGGTGTTGGGGGGGTGTGTGTGGGTGTGGGGGGTGTTTGTGTGTGGGTGTGGGTGTCGGGGGGTGTTTGGGGGGGTGTGAGAGGAGAGAGTGACGGGTTTCGGGGCAGTGCGGCGCCGCTGCCGCTCAGTGGGTCCGGTGTCCGGGCGGCGGCCTCTGTCCGTCCACCTCCCGCCCCTCTCGGCCACCGTCACCGCACTTCAAAATGTCCCTCACAGGAGCCCCAGTGCGCACCCGCCGTCCCCGACCCACAGCGCCACCTGGTGGCCGAGCGGAGGTACACCATCAATGGGTTTCCTGCCGCCCCCAATAATAATAATAATAATAGTCTTTGATACTCCTCCCCCACACCATTATAATGACTGTATAATAATCCTCGCCTTTGATATTTTATTATAATATCATTTATTATGTAATTTCACGTATAATATATGACGTATCATTTATTATAATTACAATATAATCGTAAAATTCACTTTGCAGCATATTCTGGGAAGCGCTTTGCGACGTCCGGAAGAGGTGAAAAGCGCAATATCAAAGGTGTATTATTGTTGTTGTTATTATTGATATGGCACCTCTCAGGTTAGCACAACGCCTCAAAGCACTTCACGGGACTTACTGTGAAGTGTAGTGACTGGTTTGTATTTCTGTGGGTGAACGGAGCAGCCGATGTGCGCAAAGCGATGTCCCACAAATAACGATTGATGAGTGGATCAATTTTATTTGGGGGATTGTTGGCCGGGATACCGGGAGAAACGACCTTCTCTTTTCGATCCGAATAGGTAGAGGGAGGCCTCGGTTTAATGTCTCATCCGAAGGACGTCACCTCCTCAAAGCGTTTCACAGAATATACTGTAAAGTCAATTCACTGTATATTTGTGGGCGAAACACGGCAGCCAATTGCGCACGGCAGTGTCCCACAAACAGTCGGGGTTTGAAGTGACCAATTTTTTTCAAAGGACTTATTACCCCTGGAAAAGCAATACGCCAATCAACTAACAACCAGGTTCCTACCTACTGCGAGGTAAACAGGCGAGTGGAGTAAGGAAACTTGCTCAACATTTCACTCTGCCGGGAATCGAACGCAGGTCTCTCGCTCAGGACTCCACAGTGAGTTCCAAGTCCCAACGTAGATCTTGAATGCATAACGTCTAACGCCCGTCTGAAGAATAAGCAGACGGGACTTCATCTTAATATCATATCTTAAGTGCTGCACATAGCACAGAAACTGCCCTGGTCAAGGTCACCAATGACATCCTGACCATCTGTGACCAGGGCTCCCTCTGCCTCCTCGTCCTCCTCGACCTATCGGCAGCATTCGATACGGTCGACCACGCTATCCTCCTCCACCGCTTGTCCTCCCACCTCAACCTTCAAGGCCCTGTCCTTGAGTGGTTTAGGTCGTACCTCTCCCACCGTCTTCACTTTGTTTCCACGAATGGCTTTTCCTCCAGCCCCGCACTGTCTCGTGCGGTGTCCCTCAGGGCTCTGTCCTCGGTCCCCTCCTCTTCACCCTCTATATGCTCCCCCTTGGTGACATCATCCGCAGACATGGGGTTAACTTCCACATGTATGCGGATGACACCCAACTCTACCTTTCCTCCTCTACCCTCAACTCCACGACCACCGATGTCCTGACAGCCTGCCTGTCCGACATCGAGTCCTGGACGAGAGACAACTTTCTTCAGCTCAACGTGCGTAAAACTGAGGCCCTCCTGATTGGCTCACGTCAGCGCCTCCGCACCTCAGGCGCTGACAGCATCAGCATCCAAGGCTGCACTCTCCACCTCTCAAAGCCAGTCAGGAACCTCGGCGTTCTGTTCGACCCTGAGCTGTCCTTTCTCCCTCATATCCGCACCACAACTGGCACCGCCTTCCATCACCTCCGGAATATCGCCAGACTACGGCACTACCTCACCCCTCACGCTGCTGAAACTCTGGTCCACGCCTTTATCACCTCAAGGCTGGACTATGGGAACTCTCTCCTCGCCGGCCTTCCCGGCACCTCCCTCCACAAGCTGCAGGTCATTCAGAACTCTGCAGCTCGTGTACTGTCCCGCACCAGGCTTCGGGACCACATCACTCCCACCCTCGCTCGCCTCCACTGGCTCCCCATCCCCCAGAGGATCGAATTCAAGATCCTCATCCTCACCTACAAGGCCATTCACGGCCTTGCTCCCTCCTACCTCTCTGACCTACTATCCCCCTACCTACCTGCCCGTACCCTCCGTTCCTCTGGCTCCGGTCTGCTCCACATCCCCCGCCCCAACCGCCCTACCATCGGTGGCCGGGCCTTCAGCCTCTCAGCCCCGAGGCTCTGGAACTCCATCCCCCAGTGCCTTCGCCGCCTCCTCCCTTTCCTCCTTCAAGGCCGGTCCCAAGACCTTTCTCTTCAACCATGCCTTCAGCTCCACTCTCGACTCTCTATCCCCTCCTCGCTCCCTCCCTTCCCTCCCCTCACCCTGACCATTTCCCCCCAATGCTCGGATCCCGACCCAACTGTACAGCGCCTTGGGACGTCCTCCCGACGTGAAAGGCACTCTATGAATGGAACCTTGTTGTTGTTGTTGTTGAAGACCATCCCCTTTGACAATGCAGCACTCCCCTGGCTCATTCAGGTTCACAGCTAATTTCACAAGCAGAAAGTATGGCATTTCTAGTCAAATTCATTGTGTATTTATTAGAATTTGTAATAATAATATAATAATAATCCTTGATATGCCATAATAATCAATAATAATAATCCTTGCATTTGTT